ATTTATTATTTTAGTGGTCATCAAGTGTTATAAGTTATGTCATCCAATCAGTACTGTAGTACAGTTAATGTTTCGATAATCAGAAGTATTCTGACCACTTTTGAAGGAGGTCGTATTGTTAATAATCCAACCCTGACTCTGTTACAGGTATTGCTTATCTGGGTGGTATCTGCAGTGCCAAAAGGAAGTGCGTGTTAGCAGAGGACAATGGCCTCAATCTGGCCTTCACCATTGCTCATGAGCTGGGACACAAGTAGGTGTAGTGACTAATATTACAGCAATATATCATGCTTTTATGAGAACTTTATGATGGAACATTGTGGATCTGGCCACGTTCGCAGTTTTGTTTTGCTACCACAAGTTTTAGAGACGCAGCAATATTCTGTTCATCCCTGTCCTGGTGATACAGGGAACGGTTTATGGAAATGCTTTTTAAGAATTTGGGCTACCTGAAGCCCGAGCAGGTGTCTGGGGGTGATGTTAACCACTCCCTTTCCCTCTCCACAGGCAGGATTATAAAATGTAACATTATACGACACAACTTTGTGCCAATAGTTTGATGTTCTTTTTTACTCGTGCATTCAAAAGCAATGTTTCCATACATATGATGGCTCCACCTTATTCTTTTCACTACCTATCAAACTTCTCTTTCAATGTGAATGTTTCATAAAGCTTCAGTATATATTGGATTACAGACACCGGCTAACTTGTGGTTGTTGTGGCTATCCCTGTCTACCGACTCCTGTCTCATCAGCATGGGAATGAGCCACGATGAGGACCACGCCAACTGTTCCAGCCACTCCCACATCATGTCGGGCGAATGGGTGAAAGGAAGAAACCCCAGTGATCTGTTCTGGTCATCCTGCAGCCAGAATGACCTGGAGCAATTCCTCAGGTGATGCTGAGATACTGTGCAGGACTTAGAGCTGTTAACGTTAACATAAATGTCTTGTAGATTGTAATTTGACGTGTGTGCTGAGCGGGAGCAAATGACTTGATATAGATGTTGATATGTGTGTGTGTGTGTGTATTACCATAACAGATCCAGAGCCAGCATGTGCCTAATGCACACTGACCCCAGGAGACGGTATCAGGCCCATTTTTCGTCCAAGCTACCCGGAATGCACTACAGCGTGAACGAACAGTGCCAAATTCTGTTTGGAGTCAACGCTACTTTCTGCAGTCACATGGAGGTATAGCATCCAGTTCATTTCAATATTGTGAAAGTATCATAAAGCTTCCAATAAAAATGTGCTGCACTTCTTATCCACTCCAAAACCAGGCTATTCCAATAGATTTTATATTGCAAAAAAGCTAAATAATAAGCTAGATTGTTTGTTTTCCCTCAAATAGTTGACAAGCTATATTAGACAATAAAAGACCAAAGAGAAAATCTTATTTTAAAGCCTTTTGCTCGTACTTGGTCACTTGGAACTTTTTTTTAAATGTTTTTCACTTGATTATTTCAGAGTGGGTAATTGTGCATGTCTACTGTACAAAAACAACCCTATTGATTAAGATCTAGATTCTGGCTGCGATCATGCTATGAGTTTAGTGGTCAGCCTGTGTGGACGTGCCTAAATGAATTAGAATGAGGCTGTGACCAGCAGTCGTTTCAACAAGCATTTTCCTTCCCTACCTCTGTTGATCTCTTGCACGCGCCCAGAAAACCACAGCAGAACCAACTCATTAGGATGATATCTCAAGTATGTTATGATTGCTGCTTATATGAGAAGAGATGAGTTTCTGCCTGTTTTAGAATTCCCATTTGAACCGCAATGGGGCTCGCAGGGATTGGCTTTTGTGAGAGTTTTGTACATTTCCTGGGTCATCCAGGTCTTCGTGTCCGACACCCTGGAAGTTGTACCAACTGATTAGTTTGGGAATGACTGAGAATCAATGGCATAACAGTAGAAATCTCAGCTACGCTGTATGATAATGCTAGCTATTGGAAACATCCATCCATCCATTATGGTAACCACTTATTCCCTAATGGAGTAGCAGGGGAACTGGAGCCTATCCCAGTGTACAATCGCAGGGCCACACAGAGACACACAACCACTCGCACTCACTCCTAAGGGCAATTTGATATGTCCAATCAACCTGACATGCAAGTTTATGGACGGTGGGAGGTAGCCGGAGAACCTGGAGAGAACCCACGCAGACACAGGGACATGCAGACTCCACACAGAAAGGTCCTGGTTCCCCCGGGACTCCAACCCAAAACCCTCTTGCTGTAAGGCGATGGTGCTAACCACCACACCACATTTGAAACATATATGAAATATAAAGATATGGTTCTAGCACAGAACACTGTGGCACTCCATGACTTACTCTGCCTTGGGAGGGAGATTCTTCATTCTTCAAACTTGAATCTATCAGAAAACTATTACCTTTATATCTGTTCAGAATGTGATTTTTATTACCTATACACTGTTGTTTGTCTTTTGGCTTTTCCCATTCCATTCCTGTACTTCCCTTTATCTCTACTCTGTCATCACTGTCGCCTCTAAAAGAGTCTAGGATTTCTTCTATGAAGTTTATTGTTGTAACTGCATTGCAAGTCACTTCGGATAAAAGTGTCTCCTTAATGCATAAACACAACATAACATGTCAGCACTGTGTAGAGCTCTTCCAAACAGCTATGTCCAGCCAGAAACCAAAAGAAGGAACCAGCAAAACCGAGGGAAAATGGAAATATTTTTAATATTGTTCAACTATAATCACCTCACAAAAGTAATAAAATCTTCGCTAGATGCCTTAAAACACAACAATAATAAAATCAATAAACAAGATTAGAGGCCCTAACCTGTAAGAGAGAGCACATTTCCAAGATGTTTACTAGGATTACTATAAGATCTTGTTCTTGTCCATATTTCCCTCCACATGATCAGTTTCAAATTGGAGGAATTAATCGAGCCTGTCACTAATAAAAATAAGAAAATAAAAAATCAGGATTCAGTAAATTAATAAGCAAATCACAAATGTGTTTAGGCTGCAAGAATCAAAGTGAATGGCCATCTGACTCTTGGATACACTGAGGCTGTTAACTCAGTCCTGCTCTTTTTGGGACGTACATACTACCCAAAATAAGGAGCTGAAAGCAACAAATTTTGCGATATAAATGAATAAAATCGAACTTTTCACAGACCATGTGATGGTCTACCATCAGAACTGGAGGTGGTTGTGGAATACAGATACCTGCTCTTTACCTGGACGTTGTACTAGTGCTAATGCTTCGGCTCCTGAGGTCTGCAAGTTTATGCAGGAAACTGCTTCGTGTCCCTCGGAACTGAATATAACCAGAAGAATGCTGCAAACTTCAACGATTTAAAGAACAACAAGCTCCCCCGCCACATAATTTCAAGTTAAACAAAGCAGTGGGAGGAGTGGACAGACAACTTCACATTCACCAGGAACAGATTTAGAAGATCATCGCTGTCATAATGTGAAACGTTACATAATGTTCCAGAAAAAAATTTACAACCACAGTAGAATTACCTTTGAGGTTAATGGTAATTAGAATTATGTTTGGCCCATGTCATTTTTATTTTTAAGAATTGTGCATTAAATTAAATTATCAACAGACCAAAAGCAGGGAATATTTCAGCATGTTATTAGCTGCATTTTGGTAACAAATAATGATTCAATCTCTGTTTTCTTGGGTTTTCAGCACCTTATGTGTGCCGGCCTTTGGTGTTTAGTGGATGGACAAGCACCATGTAAGACAAAGCTAGATCCTCCTCTGGAAGGAACCGAGTGCGGAACAGACAAGGTAGGATTGTTTCATTTACACCACGTCCTTCAAGCTCCACATTTATCTCTTTGTGACGTCATCCGGTGGGAGATTTACATCGGAAAGTTTGAAGCGTGTCTGAAACAGATTTCGTCTGTGCACGTGTTAGTGGTGCAGAGCGGGAGAATGTGTCAGCAAGACCCCCATCCCGCAGCATGTGGACGGCGACTGGAGTCCCTGGAGCCAGTGGAGCTTGTGCAGTAGGACCTGTGGCACGGGAGTCCGGTTCCGACAGAGGAAATGCGACAACCCCCCGTATGAGACCTCTCTATTTGTGTGTGTTTGTCTTAGGATCTATGGGTTTGGGTTCTATTCTGGTTTTTCTAGGTTGTGTCTGTTTCCTTGTGTGTCTCTTATCTTCCTTTGCTTTATTTTGGCGCTCCTCTCAGCCTCGTGGCTCTTCCCCTTGTGTGTCTGGGCTTATTTCACTTCCCTCAATTTCCCCCTGCTCTGGTTATCATCTCACCTCAGCTGTGTTCCCTGGCTCACCTGCTTTTCTTCCACTACTCTCCTCTCCTCTATATAAATTTGTCAGTTATTTCAGATAACGCTTTCTGTTGTAGGTTAGATAACTACTGTTTCTCCAGAGTTCTTTGGTTCCTGCTTGTTCCTTTTCTGGCCCTGCACATTTATCCATCTGTTCCCCACCACATGCTAACAGTTTGTTCATGTGTGTTTATATTGACATTTTTCTGCAAAGCTGATTGTACCATTTTAGCAGTTTGAATCCAGGAATGTTAAGTTAGGCCTTAAAGAAACAGAGGGATTAATTCAAGAGGTGAGGTAAACTTCCATTGAAAATCGGGTCACTTAATTGGAATTTTTTTCATAACTCTCTGAGTCATAAAACAAAGTACCTGAGGATTTCAGTAGGAAATTAATTTAAACATCCGCTTACAGGTATTTAAGATCACAAAAAAGCTCAGAGGATTTTTTGGAAGAGGAGTTTTGGGTGACTTCCAGGTAGTTCTGACAAACCACTTGATGACTCAAAAGGAGCAGGGTCCAACATCAGACTGTGCTTTGACTGGGAGGAATGCTGACCCAGAGTGAGGATATCACTCGGTGTTCGAAGCTGATCATTGAGGATCTCAATGTGAATGGTATGTCTTCAATTGAGGAAGGAGAGACTGATGACGAGGGAATGTCACCTCAAGAGGTACCAGATGTAATTTAGATCATTTATCTTGGCGTCATTTATCATGGTGACCATACCTGCTTCCAGAACTTACATTTCTATGGTTCATTTTGAATGCAACTATAGATATGTACATCTTTCCCTGAATTAAAAGTCTGTTTTTAACGTGTATCTTTGTCTTTGCATGTCTCTGCATGTGTGTGTGTGCACGTACAGGCCTGGTCCAGACGGCAGACACTGTCCAAAGGCCAGCGTGGAGCACAAGGCGTGTGAAGGCCCACCGTGTCCCAAGGGGGAGCCCAGCTTCAGGGACCTGCAATGTATGTCCTATGATCAACAGTTCAGCAAAATAAAGAAAAGCCTGCTGACTGCTGTCATTAATGATGGTGAGACACACACACACAGACAGTTCTGCTTCAACTTTTGTGGCGACACTCTAGTTAAGTGAAAGGACCATGAATAATTTGGATGGAGGCAACATTTGGCAGAATTTCTAAAATTAATGGAATGGATTTTAATGATATAAATAAATATAAAAGTGTCCACCCAGGGCTCGGTGAAATTAGATTGTTATTATTCATACCTGGTATTGGATAAGCGAATTTTGTTCATATTAATAGAGGTCATGTAACATTGGAATTATACAAAAATGGCCCCGGGTTCAACAATTTCTCCTGTCTCGGAACATCACACAACAGTGCACGTTGTTGAAAAGGAGATGGCTGATAAGTTAAAAATGATTAGGTTGATCAATAGTGGACGTTTCACATTCTGTTGCAAAGTTGCTATGTTTTTTTTCCTCAGAAGTAAACTGTATTTGTTATTTTCCAATGGTCTCACTGTTCTGTTTCATCATTTGCTGCCGCATCATGATGTGTAGTGTAAAGTGTGGAGGTCTTTTTTAAGCTGTAGGCTGCCTCCCAGACTAGAGCCACTCCCACCTTTCATGATAAGAAAAGGCTCTCAGATAAACAAGGTCACTTTGTATCCAAATTTTCTATCAAGTTACAACAGTTGAATACAGACATTCCTAAGAAAACTATGGGAGACTCAGCTGAAGACAACGATAGCCAATGAAATATACTTTTACCTTCCAAATTATCTATATCTATATAACATATTCAGAGAATTACAATACTATATCTGACAAAGCATCTGTATGTCTCTGTATATGTATGATGAATACACAAATAGGAGCCTCTCCAAACTGCCCAAAATGCAAGACTGTTGTAGGGACAAGATTCTCTGCTTCTGGGAATGCAAAGGGTTAAAAGGTTTTTGGCAAACTGTATGTGCTGAGATTAGTGTGATAATCAAGCAGCAATTACAGCCTAGTCCAATATTCTGTTAATTGGGTAGGACCCGAAGGACACAGTTTGTGCTTATGTTAGGCTGGAAGGCTGTTATGACCAAATGGGTGGGAGAATAGCCTCCTTCAGTACATTTAGAGAAATCCTTGATGTCCGACTACAGTTCTCTGGAAAGTGTAAGACTCAATATTAACCATCAGTTGGAGTAACTCAGAGGGTAAAATGTAATACCCAATAACGACATGATTGAGGATGTATGTATACATATATATATGTATACACACACACACACACACACACACACACACACACACACACACACACACACACACACACACATACACACTATTCGTTTTTATTCATCCTACTTTTGATAAGCTTTTCATACATTTTTTTGTTTAACTGTGAAACAAGTCCATTTTATGTGTTCTCCCTTCATTTTTACTAATACTGGGTTTATTTCCATCTGCTTTGTGCTCAACTGTTTATGAGCAGACAAGCCGTGCGCATTGTTCTGCAGTCCGATTGGCCGAGAAGCCCCAGTCCTGGTGGCTGATAGAGTGATAGATGGGACTCCCTGTGGCCCATACGAGTCTGACCTTTGTGTTAATGGGAAATGCATGGTATGTATGAGCACGCCACCGGTAATACAAAGAAGCAGAACGGTGAACAGTCACATGGCCTTAGGACTAGTAACCTCCTTGTTTTCAGTCAATTGCTGCTTTAGCTAGCTGAGCACATGGGGTTATCATTGTCCAGAATTGAAATAAAAGAAGTAATTAGCCATTTATGAACTCTAATCCTCTAATATGTAGATGCCCCAAACAGTAAGACAGGACCTGCATAACTTGGATAAAACACTTGGACTTCTTTATCTATTTTAACAGAGTAGAAGTATAATATAATGTATGTCAACTTACTGATCTTAAATAGTTGGTTCAGGGAAGGGGTATAAATAAAAGTAGAAAGGGATGCAAACCCTGGTGTGGTAGGGAGTAATAAAAACATAGAGGGGGCTGGAAGTGGAGGCAGAACAAGACACAGCAGCAAACAAACTCATCCAAACGGGAGATAAAACACCTAAACACCAATTAAACTCAGCTAAAAGAAAGCTACAAATACTGAACAGTCGTACAACAACAACAACAAAACACAAGGCCACAGAGGGCCAACTCACCATAAGATTCATAGGGTTCATTTAGAAAGTCAAAACTACAACAAAAAAAGAAAGACCTTAACAAGACACCCGGTGAATTTAAGCCCAGTGGAACCTTTGGAGGTGTTTGGAAGTGCCTTTGCAAACCTGTGCACTTCAGGGGCCGAGTGGAGAGCAGCTCTCAGGGAGAAATTCCTTATGAGCTTCGTTGTTGGTTCATGCCTAATCCTTTAATATAATTCCTTTTCTATAATTCATACTGCAGCAAATTACTTTAGCTGCTTATCGTCTTTTGTGAGCAGACGATTGGATGCGACGGCATCATTGGCTCCTCGGCCAAGGAAGATGCGTGTGGAGTTTGCAATGGACATGGACGCGCTTGTAAAATAGTGAAAGGAGACTTCAACCACACTAAGGGAATGGGTAAGTGTTTTATGATCTAACTCAGTGTTTTTCAACCACTGTGCCTCGGCACACTAGTGTGCCGCGAGTGATGGTCAGGTGTGCCGTAGAAAATCATCCTATTTCACCTAATTGGTCTAAAAATACTTTTTGATAAGGAATTAATTATCTGCAAATAATATGCCATTTTTGAGTGTCTGTGCTGTCCCAGGGACTGGTGGCGTAATCATGTAATAATTCCTTATGACTAGATTTTGTGTATAATTTTATATTTTGAAGTGGACATGTTAAGTGCAATTTGAAAGAGGAAATATAAAATATGATAAAAATACCTTTTTGTTTATTTGATTTATATTCAAGACACTTAAGATAAGATAAGAATAAAATAAGAATAACTATAGTGTTACTATAGGCGGATACAGATTTCTTTAATATTTTTGGTTGGTGGTGTGCCTCGTGATTTTTTCAATGAAAAAATGTACCTTGGCTCAAAAAAGGTTGAAAAACACTGTGCGAAATATGTGTACACTGAGGTATATGGAGTGCCTGCTGAGCATCAGGAAGAGGTTGTCAAAAAAATGCTGACGCATTTATTGACGCACCGGTGGTGATGATTCACTATGGTGTCAGAATCTGTCGTTTTTTTATAATATAGCATTAAAACACTGTTTCATCGATGCTGTCCTCAACGAAGTGAATGTAGGTGATAGTGTCCAATTCCAAAATGTCCAATTCAGACAGTCCAAACATTCCTGTTCTCACACAGCCTCACTGATCTAATGTTTTGATGTCCTCACAGCAGGATTGTGACAGTTTATTTTCGGCCTGTGTGCAGGAATGAAATGCACCATGATGTGGTCAGACTGACCCACAAAGGCTCAAAGACCAGCACCACAAGCACAGCTGACCCTAGCGCATGTTTGAGGAGTTCGTTGGAGAGATCTTTGATAAAGTCAAAGAACAATAACCAAGCCCTCCTGGTTAGAACATTCCACAAATACTGTCTCGTCAGCCAGCGGTCAGAAGGGCCCGTCAGGAAAGTCCAACAGCTCTGCAGTGTTTCAAGAGCCACTTGAACTGTGGCTGAAAACTGAATTAAAACACACATAAGGGCCAAAAAACAAAGGGAGCCGTACATGGCAACGTGTAATGAATGCTTTGCTGACTTTAAATAAATTTAAATTGTCCAAACTTCACATGCAAAGATGGTGATACATTTAATTACTTAATGGGAGATTTATGGGTATGCATTTCATCATTTATCCATTTATTTTGTCATCCCTAACCCTCCATAGTTGGAAGCTAATGCATCTTTTTGCCTCAAAACGCCACAAACTTTGTTTATTGTCATTTGTATTATATATTATTTGTTATTTGTATCTCTGTCAGGCTACGTGGAGGCTGTGGTTATCCCTGCAGGTGCGTGGAGGATCAAAGTTATGGAGGACAAACCTTCACAGAACTTTCTAGGTAGTTATACCCGAGTTTAAACACGATTATTAAAGTTTTGGAAAAGTATTTATGTAATTATCTTTTTCAATAAATTGGAAGTTTTCAGCTTTTGGCACATGTAATTGCCATGACATTTAAGTGGCAGTTGGATTTACAAACTTAAAAGTTTTACTTCACCTTTCTGCTGTTCAGACAAGGGCCATCTATCCTCATCCATCATTCAAATTTTGAGTCAACTGTTGAAAAGACCTAAGTTATCAAAACACCAACAGACCACTAAACGTCATGTATAAATGGACAAAACTTATCCTGATCCTTTTGTTAAGATGAACTTTATCAAACAGGATTTTTTACTGGATTCAATTGGCATGCAAGCTGAGTATCTGGATGGATGCCTATAGGAATGGAGAGTTATGGTCATATCTACATGTGTGTGTGAGAAAAAGTGTAGGAAACTAGAATACAGAAAACTTGTTATGGAAACATGATATGGAGTTTAATTGTCACATAAAACAAGAAATGATGACCAAAACAAGCAACTAAATAATACTTAAACCACGATAAAAAGGACCAGAAACTCAATACTTAGAAGTCATGGAATACTATGAATGAAAAAAAAACTTAAATTTGTCATGATAATTTAATTTTAAACCAATAACTCAAAGTAACAGGAATCCACACAAGGAACAGATCAGATAAACTAATTCGAAATTTAAAGAAAAGAAGAAAAAGATCCACAAATCCTAAACCTGTTTGCTAGATATGAAGTTAAGGCAAATTGAGAAAACATTTTTTTCCACATGTTACATCTGTAGCTAAAACAGTTTTGCTGATGTTTCCAACTTTTGTCTTCTCTGATTTTCTTGTTCAATAACTGAGGACTTTTTATAGAATTAGCCCACTTTGCAGGACACCAAATTCTGCATCTGGATTCTTTCCAAAACCAAAAAGGTATAATTTTGACCTGGTATAAAACAACTAAATCTATAGAGAAATCCAAAAAACAAACAGCAACTAATATACAACATGTTATGAGAAGGGCATGTATGTGTAAAACAAAACTAAATTTCACATGACAGCAAAAACATCCTCTGATTTCCTTACAGCTTTAAAGGACTCCAGCAAGAGATCCATCAACAGTGACTGGAAGATTGAACTCCCAGGAGAGTTTGAGCTGGCTGGAACCACTGTGCGCTATGTTAGAAGAGGGCTGTGGGAGAAGATGTCCGCCAAGGGGCCCACTACCACTCCTTTACACCTAATGGTATGAGCAGATAAGTAAGCAGAAGTCTGCTAACTATGTTTAGCCACAGGGCCGTGATATGTTACCACATGCATGCTCACAATATTTAGCTGGAGATGATTTTTTATGGGAAAAAAATGAAGTTTTACTGTAGAACAAAGAGCGTGAGGCAGATGAGAAGATCCAATGGACAGGGAAGGGCTCAAAAGCAGAATGGCAACAGGCAAACTGGATCCAAACAGAGCAAGGCAAAACTCACTGAAATATAAAATAAAAACAGGGTTGCAAACTTTGTTTGATACATAGAATAAGTCAGATGATCTGGCGCTGGAGCTGACACTGAGGAGGGTTTAAATGCACAGGCTGACAACTGGGAGGTATCACTGACTGACAACCATGATAACAAGACTGTTGCAGAGACATTTCATTTCAAAACTCTTCCTGATAACGAGTTTTATTTAAGAAAAACAAAAACAAAAACATACTGTATGCATTGTAATGGTGACTTTTCTTCTCATCTCAAGACCAGCAGTTTGAGATATCATTTAATTTCAAAACATGCTTTACTGCCCAGCAACAGTAAATAACTTTGTATTTGATTTGAAATTATATGATTTGATTATGTTTGTGTTCACTGCAGAGAATACCGCTGTATAAAGTACCTTATTTGAAAAATATGAACAGGTAACATTTTATTGGGCTTTTCCCATAAAACTGTACTTTAGAATGTGATATACATTGCTATGTCAATTATTACATTGTGTGTGTGATTGATAAAGATTTGGGCTATTAATTGTGATTAAAATGTTTAATAATTGTGGATAATAACCGGTCCAGGATGTACCCTGTCTGGGATGGGTTAAAAACTGAGTTACAGGAGTCATTAAGACAAAGTTTCTGCATTTTCTTTGGAAATACTTTCATATTTGTTCTTGTATGAATACAAGTAAATAAGGGGAAAAAAGCCTTTTTTTGAACCCATATATGTTTTATCTAGGTGCTACTGTTTCATGACCAGAGTTATGGCCTCCATTATGAGTACACCGTGTCTCTAAACACAACTGAGGACGGGAGCCACGAGGAACAGCTGGAACCAGCGTACCTCTTTATCTGGACACACAGCAGCTGGCAAAACTGTTCTGTCAGGTGTGGAGGAGGTAAGATTTCTGCTTTGCTTTGGTTAACTATCCCATGAAACACAGACTGTTGCGCTTTATTGTGAAGACTTCTGACAGTTCTGTACATTTCAATAAACCATATTTTTTAAGATTATGGGAACACGTTGTCACAGGTCTATGCTCTTACACTCCTTAAAATGAATGACTATTTTACAGTCTGAGCTCCGTGATCTGTGTACGATCTGTGTTTCTCCTGAAGAAATGCTTTGTGTTCTTCAAGTGCTTTGGCTTGGAAACCTCTGAGGCCTTTTCTTATTGGACACTGCTGTTGGTATCCAACTTACTGGCCAACTTACTGTGTACATTTTGTGGGTTGACCTCTAGAAAATGTATAGTTTTGATAAAGTTGTCTGCTTTCTTTGATTGACTTAATATGATTTAGGATCATTAGGAGTATGGCCTTCCCTGCACACAAAGTCAGCAAAGAACAAACATCGTGGAAACGGAATCTAGTGTTCCGACTTGTATAAACTGTCTCGAACGTTGATTCAGAAGACAGCTGTGACTAACTGATGTGTGTAAATGTTTGTGTTCATGCAGGGGAAAGGAGGACAACGGTTTCTTGTATAAGGATTATCAATAAAACCATGGAGGTGGTCGGTGATGGCAACTGTCAGCCTGAGAACCGGCCACATCCCTACGTACAAGTCTGCAATACTCACCCCTGCCAAGCACCCACAAAGATACAAAGCAGAAGATATTGGTAGTTACACCACAATCATTCCTGAAAGAAGCATATAAGAACATACTGCTTAAGTAATAAAGTAGTAGTAAAGTAGTACTCTGAAATAGGGATCTGACATCCATGCTTTCTCCTAGAAACTTTCAGTTTAAATCCCTTCTAAAACACACAAAATGATGCAAAGTTAATAAGCATGAAATGCCCTATATTGCTCAATCAAGGGTATTTAACAGTCTTAAAGCACATCTTTCTCAAATCAAGACAAGCTGGTATGCCTCATTTCACGACCTGATGTTTCCACAGGTGGATGAGCGGGGAGTGGGGGCCATGCTCTGTCACGTGTGGCGAGGGGGTTCAGCACAGAGAGGTATCTTGTGTTTACCACTTACAGAACAGCTCGGTCTTCCACAGCCAGGACCAGTACTGTCCAGGGGGGAAACCCCCTGCCATGCAGACCTGCGAGGGCCCTTCTTGCTCCACGGTGTGGCAGACTTCAGAATGGTCAAAGGTACATCGACGTTGGAGTACTTTGATTATATTCAATCGATGCACCTAAAGATGGTATTCTAATAATGTCTCCACAAAGGAAAGCCCAGAATAAGATAGTCCAATGGTTTATGTTTAAGGTAAGCAAATTACAGCATCTTCCAAGTAAATCTTACTGTGTTTCCATTTGAAAATCAGGGTTCCTACATCCATATCCGCATCAATATGAATTTAATTTACTAAACAAAAAATGTATCTTTTTCAAAGACAGTGGAAAAACATGTGAATAAGGTTTTCATTTGTTTTCCTGCCTCTTTTAAATGAAAGAGGGTGTCTTTTCTTATTGTTATTTTAATATAGAAGATAAGATTGATTTTTAAATACATACCCTTCATTTGGAGAAATACAACCATGACAATAGCTTCAGAAATACATAGTTCATATTAAAAAAAGCAGATATAAAAAATGATTTTCCTTATGATATTCTGTCTTCCTCTGCTGTTTCTGCAAATAACCTTAAAGAGTTGCTGACTAATTCTATACACTATGACTCACTTCGGGCTTAACAGTTATAAAGTTAAAGTTAAGCTGTGAAAGCCAGAAAGATTTCGCTTTCAGGTTTAGGTTCGGACTTGATTCTTGTATTTTCCAGGCAACCTGTTGAACATTTGCTGCCTGTGTTTGGGATCGTTATCCTGTTGATAAACTACTTGCAGCCAAGCTTCCCGAGCGTGAAGCTGTGCATCCTGACCAAACGCCACCACTCCGGTCTAATGAGTCCGAAAGACAAAAGTCCTGTGCTTTAATCAGATGTCGCTTTACAAAAACATCTAATCCATTGACAACAGTGCAGAATCCAATCCATCCCAATACAGTCTTAATCCAATGCGATCATCATTCCAAATTTGTCTTATTCTTCCAGTTACTTTTAAAGTTAAATTTAAATTAACTCTGTCCTATGATAGTGTGCCAATGAAGTTTGAGTATTTGATGAATACTTACAGGCAGATAACAATTAATTGGGCATGTTATTACGAAGTGAAACACAGGTTTTTTAAATAAAATACATCTGCCATAGAGACAGATGGTGAATTGTAAAAGCTAAAACATTACATGAAAAACCACCAGGTGGGTGTTTCAATCCCAGCCTGCATGCTGAGTTGCCTGCAATAGAAAAAAGCATCTGATGAATGAACAAATGACCAAAGCCGTGGCCACCCCAGGCAGGAAAAAGCAACACCAACTAAGTAACTCCTGCATTTTTGCTCGTGATTACCTTTTCTGTGTTGGAGGTCCTTTCAACTGCAGTCCCCTAGTCAGCACTGCAAAATGACAATACCCTAAGGAGTTGTTCACCTGACCTTGTTAGGGGTTGCAGAAGTGGGGACAGAGCTCCCATTTTCTTTATAGAAACACGTGTTAAGCCTTTATAATATCACAAATCAAGGAGATGAATTTAACAGCAACAAGGACTAAATTCAACATTTTGATTCTGCAGCCGGGCCTGAATTAAACAACTTTTTAGGGATTACAGAAGAAAGTGTCCATAAAGTGTCAAAACAGAAAATAAATACCCTCCTTCCTAATCAAATTTTTTGTGGCTTCCTTCAGTGTTCATCAACCTGTGGTCAAGGTGTTCACAAAAGGACGGTGGTGTGCACAAACCCAGAAGGAGCATGTGATCCTTTGTCAAAGCCAACCCAGGAGGAACCTTGTGAGGACAACTCTGAATGTTATGAATGGAGATTTGGAGGCTGGTCCAAGGTAGAATGATTTTAACCCTATAATGCCACATGTATCATTTTTTAGACACATATTTTCTGAAATGTTTTGCATCAGGTATATAGATATATTAGATAACAGCGGACAGAGGATTAAACAATTATTTAAACTTATCACATGGTAATATATTATGAGTATTCCAAAGATATTTCTGTTCATTTTATTTCAGATTTTTTGTTAAAGGGGCAAACAAACAAACAAACAAAAAAATCAAAAAATTTTCTTGGATCAGGCTTTAAAGGGTTAAAACATCAGGTATCCTGTATTGTTGGGAATTGATTAAGGATGGGCAACAAAATCGAATCTGGCACTTTGACATGTTTATTTGAGTCTATAGATTTCTATTGAGTTCTCGTACAGAATATCACAATTACCCCTAAGAAAACGTTATGGATGGTTTGTCAGAAATCTCAGGTTTAGCTTTTTCTCAGTTATATTCAACCTTCTTTTTATTCACAGCTTAATCACAACGGTATTTCTATCTAATAGTACAAACTGAAGCCAATAAAAAATATGTACAAATAGTAATTCAGTATAGATTGGTCCAATTTCTACAAATACAATTAAACTAAGGTTTCTGAGCTCAGGAATCCAACAGATTTAACCAAAACCACACTTTGATCCTATTTCCGATCCTGATACCTGATAGCTCTGCCTCTACGAATCCCCAGTGCATATGCCGTGTGAAAGCAAACTCTTCTGCGACAACAGTGATTTAGTTAAGATATGATGGAGATTGGTCATTCAGAGCATTATATGTGAGCAACAGAACTTCTGGAGAACACTAGTTGTGCATGTAGCATTAAAAAAAATGCATTTTTACCACTATTATTAGTTCTGTTCATATACAGATGCAAATCAGTCTGCCCATCATTGGTAAATAGCTCTTGTAACAATGAGCTAATTTAAAGGTCAGGTTGCATTTAACAGGCAAACTTACTGGTAAGTAAGTCAACTTCTGGGGAGTGTTGACATAAGTATTGACAAGAAGTCCTTTTTAATTGTCTGTTTCAGTGCTCCTCCTCCTGTGGGAAAGGACTGCAGTCACGAGTGGTCCACTGCATGCACAAAGTGACCGGACGTCATGGCGACGACTGCCCAGTGACGCTGAGGCCGCCCATCTACCAAACCTGTCACCGTGGGATCTGCACTGACAAGGTGGCGGGGGACAGCACAAGCCCCCGCAGGCCCGGTGAGACCGGCAACATGAAAGCCGTTTAATGTTTCCAACTAATCTGAACGACAGTGAATGAAGGGGCAAATACTCCACAGCTGTAAAATGTGTTGCCGCTGGTTTTAGTTGCCTTTCTCACTGGCGTCCTCGCTGTCTTTTATGTTTAAAACCAACAGATGTTTACTAAAAGGAGGATGATGCCCAGTGGTTGGCTATTCTGCTCTGGAGCCCCAGGAACGGGTTGTTGGAAGAGGAATGTTGCACAAGTCCTTAAACACAACACACTGTCTAAACAACCGAGCTTCCTAAGTTGGATTTTTTTTTTTTCAACTACACTGCAATGACAATTTGTACAGGTTATTCTTAGCAATAAACAGAGGGGGGTGCAACTCCCTTAAACTGAAATGCATGGTGTATCTGCCTTTTATTTGATGTTAGGTTGTTGTTTTTTTGTGGAAAAAAGCACTAACAAAATACTTCACCTGGGAACTAATAAAGTTTTACTCTGTTAAAAAATTCAATTGTTCTCTTAATTAGGGATGAGTTTGTTGTGATATAACTATGGTCCAATCTAACTGACCAGCTGAGTGCCACTAGACAAGTCATTTATGTTATGGACATAATATTTGATGTATTCCCTTATATTTTAACTAAAAATAAAAAGCTGTTGTTTAAAGATTGAGTCTTTCGGTTGGAAAATAGGGTCTCATTTAAGTGACTGTTGTTTTCAACTTGCCTAAATTATTGATTTTACAAATACAATTGACTGAACTGAAAACATAGGCTCTATATATTAACAATTGTTACCAGTATTTCGAGAAATCTAGCGAAGCTACAAGTTAGGAAGGACACATCAGCCCCAGAGCAAACTGGTTAAAGTAACACACGTCAAAGGGAACTACATAGAAAGTAGCAGACTACATAAAGATGGAGAACAAACCTCTGTCTGACTTTCCCTCTTCATCAAATGATACTGGACATTAATACTAATGGAGAGACGTAACCCTCACAACTTTAGTCATTGTAAAAGCTCTGGACTGAGTTATAAACTTTGAGTAAAAATAATCTGCTGTCATTTACAGCGTCAAAAACACATGTTATAGTCAAAATCAAAAATTGGTTCTAAGCTGCACATGGGATGAGCAGGTTGGTAAACAAGTTTGACAGAGCAAATGTGAAATCATGTGAGTCTCCTTGGTGTTATTAACCCCAAAATAAATGCAAAAGACTTAACTATTTTTTGCGTGTTTGTCCATTTAGGAGTTTCAAAGGTGTAATTGAAGATGTGTTTTTTTTTCTGTGTAAAGGGATAAAAAACACCTTTCCTGACTGGGGAGCAGTTTACGTCATTCTGCTGGAAACAAAAGAACCGCATCGACCACCCAGAATGACACCGGCCGCAGCCGGAAATGAGCCCAGTGGCCTTTATAATAAGGGCTCAGGGTAAAAAAATAAATAAAATAAAAAAGACCAGTCTGAGACTGCTGCTCATCCATGCGCAGTGATGGGGTGGCTTGAATTTACCCTGCATTTAAATAACATTGTTTTATATCAATTGCAAAATTTAAGTTTTGCAGCTTGTCAATGATCAGAGCAATGCAAAGTTTGCGTTGTAAGAAGAATATATTCATTTTTTTCCTATCAGTAAATTGAAAATAAGGTTGTTGTTTTTTTTGTTAGAAATGCATCTTGGTCCTATCATTTCAGACTCTCCCGGTGAGACGCGTATTTTGAAAGTCTCCCCCGGAAATGGCCGCGAAACCCATTGCAATTTTGCGCCTTTCGCTGGAGAACGCAGTTCAATTTGTCCGAAGCGCTCCATCTCGCATCACCGCCGCCGCCGCGATGGCCGGTGGTCCAGGACAGGGGGAGGCTGGCGTTCGGACGCAGATGGAGCCCCGCTCCGGGACCTGAGGGGGGGGTGGAGCCGTTCTGAAAGGGTATCTATCCGCTACCTCCTGGTCCAAACCTCTGCGTCTGTGCGCCTTTTTTTTGTGGGGAGGATGATGAGCTTTGCGTCGCACACCCTGCTGCATTCCTCTTGACACGCTGGGGGACTGGGAAAACATTCTGTAGACTAGTGACAGAGATGTGGCCCACCTGCTCCAACGTTCAGACGCAGATAATACAAGATTAAAATGAATCAGACTCCCTCAGTGTTGAAACGCACGTTTTTACCCCCTCTTTTTATTATTTATAATTAATATTTCCAAGTGGGAGCGACATAGCTATGTGTTGTATTGGATCTGTGTTTGCAAACGCCTTTTTTATTTTAACTGAATGAAAGAATTAGAATAAAAGTTAAACATGTTCTGACTGAAGGTGTTATTTCCAGGTGCTGAGCTTCTCGTAGGACCTTCGCTGCTGGCCTGCTCCCACCGCTCATCACCCATGGACCCTCTTCCCGAGTATTCCCTGTTCCTGGGCAGGATCCTGGAGGAACTGGACACCAAGCGCAACACCATGACCTACCAGGATCTGTGCCAATCCCTGTGCGCCCGCTTCGACCTGGTGCACCTGGCCAAAATCCGAAGCCTGCTGTTCTACACGGCCTGCCTGGACCCTGCCTTCCCGGCCACCCTCTTCAAAGAGAAAATGTGCTGTTCCACCGAGGACGCGCTGTCCAAGAAACTCATGGTGGCCGCCGACATCGTCACCATGTTCAACTTGATCCAGGTGAACGGGGACATGGCGAAAGACAGGCTCCCCGCAGCCCATAAGCCCAAGACACACAAAAAACCGTTGGAGCTGCGCAGGTCCGACAGCGACGCCTTTAACGGGGAGGACTACGTCAGGATAACCGGTTACGAGCACACGGATCACCCCAGGGATGGACATCACCATCACCATCACCACGGCCAGCTCCAGCCGCCCCTGGAGGCTCGCTCTAACTCTTCCGAGTGCAATAACTGCCAGTTTATTCCCACCTCAGACCCCAACTTCCTTCTGCACGTCAGCAAAGAGCTGAAATGTAGCACGGCCTCTCCGGACAAGCTGCACCACCTTCCCCAGATCTCCGGCAGCAGTCCGCCCTCAGTGGCCTCCGACATGCAGAGCACTTACTTCCCCATGGATATCGACAGTGAGTCCGTCACCGATCAGGAGTCCCTGCAGCCCATTGGCCATCCCGACAGCTTGGCTGTTTACTCCTGCACCCAGAAGAGGAATGTCTTCAAGGAGGATTTTCACAACCTTGTGGCATTTTCACCAAAGGTTTGTGCTTACAGGATGTGAATGAAAAAGACACAAAAAAAGATGTGTTAAAAAGAGAGAATTGTGTAAATATGTTTCCTTAAAGCTAGTTTAAAAAACGTGATCCAGTTTTTAGTTGAAAAACAAATAGAATTATGTGTTTTCTTAATAAAAACTCAGAATCAACATCACAGCTAATGTTTGCAAATGATCTATTCAAGTAAAGTATTGCATTTTAATTTAAAGATGGACAGCACGACGGACCTAGTGTTAATTCATGATGTGCAATAAGTTGAACTTTTATTTAATCTGTAAATGTCCCGCTGAGATGAAAGAATAATTATTTTGAAAGGGTGACCTATGCAGCTGTAATTAATGTCTCCTGTGGGGCACCACCAGGTGACATGGCACCGCTCACCGCTCATTTATAGAACATTTCTCAAGCAAAGTTCACAAAGTAGCACCATTGGAATTGAGGTAGACAACACTAGAGAGTCAGTTGATTTACTTAAAAAATAATTCAGTCATCGAGACAGGCTGAGGCAGTAGAATGGCCTGAAGAGATCAAGAGTACATGATGGCAAAGAAAAGAAGAAATGGAAAGATGAACTCCGAATTGGAAATTGACTATCAAAGTCCATTCTTGGATTTTAAAGGAATAACATGGGTTTAGGTCCACTTGTGTGAGTACATCCTCACACTGAAACCATAAGAAACGCTCATGGATTAAGCCCACAGAGTGGTCTTCATAAAACATACACTGTCATCATCCATAGCAGTCCAAAAGATTTTTAAAGGGGGCCAGCTCTGACAATGTGAAGGCTCCCAGGGGGCGTTGGTCCCTTCTGATATCTTTCTAAACAGTAGAAGTTACATACACATGCACTATTCTATAACAATTTAATTTTTTATTATCAGGTGCTTATCATTTTTATTAAATGAAATTATAACTAAATCTAAATCTCAGGCGTTAACAATTAAAAACAAAAAAACAATTCTGTCCTCTTTTCACACATGCATATAACACCTTAAAAGTCCATGAAGCTGATAAAAATCTTAAACCCATGTTATTTTTTGGGATAATTTGAATTAGCAATGCAAAGGCTTTTAACATTAATCTTAAAGACATATGACTCCTGCTTTTATCGTTCACAAGACCATTCAGAAAGTAGTCCTTTGTGCTACAAGCACAGGTACGGAACAGCAGCAGTTACAGGCAAACCGTATTCAAAAACTTAAAACGATAAGTGCCAGCTGTCCATCTGCCTGTAACTGTGCCTCTGGCTTTTCCCTGTTAACAGTGACAGGTGTTATCATCCGAGACGCTCTGAAGCTCAGACCAAGTTACGGGTAACTTCCTGACACTAATGAGAAGGCTGATACTGAGATCTGAGTTTCAGTGGACAGGCAAGGTCTGGGTTGAGATGTGCAAAATGTCACAAGGGTGATCTAATTTAAGTTCCCGGCAGAGAATGTCTCCTCACACAACAATAATAATAGGCTCAACCTTTTCGCTGCAAATGTCCGCTTTTCTGGAACCCTGCCTTTATCCAGCTGCTGGTAAAAGTCTGCTGCTGGTGTCAGCCACACCACGTGTTGTCACACTGTGCCTCGATGAGCTCCAGCTGCAGCTGGAGTGACCCATCAAAGGGGTCAATGGAGAAGGGAGAAGAAAAGCAACATGTCCTTTTAAATGTTGCAAAATATCACAAAGAGATCTGATGGCTGCCGCAAACTTCCTCGTTAGCACATCGATGTTGTCCCAAACAGTCTATGACCTCGTGTGGCAAAGGGTTCATAGTGATGTATTTGGAACAATTGCAACTCAGTTCCAAAGGCTTTAATATTTACAGTTGGCTCACCACTGCGTCTTGTCCTTAGAGACTAATGCTCAACATTCATATGCTTCCAAACCATAAAGTCTACATTTGCCAGCCATGCATTATCAGACAATTCTTGCATGTTCCTTTTCAGCCTCCTCCGCTGACTTGTTGCAGATCAATGTGGACAATCCAGTTTGTTCACCAACCATGTCGGGTGCACCATCAGAAATCATCCCACCTGCTGTACTCCATGGTAGTTTCATATCATACCCAACTTCACCCTACAAAAACAAATAAATATGTTCCTCTTGTTTGGCCTTAAAGGCTTTGGAGGTCAAGCAGCAGTTACATTCATCTCATCGTAAACTCTGCTAAAAAAATAAAAATCAGTTGGTGTGCAGTGTGAGATTCATCTGTGCTTTAATTACAGGCTAATGAAAAATAATCAGAAATCATTCGCCTGTCCCCCAGTTGTCTCTGAGTATCTGCAGATATGTCTTCTATTGTCCCATTCTACTCTATTCTGACAGGGTTACAAGCCAGGAAGACTGTAGGAAATTCCTGCTTCTTGTCGGGTTCTCCTCCAGTTCCATGGCACAGTCCTTGATAAACGTACCTGTGTGAATGGTTTATGGCCAACATCTTTGGCCATAAACATGGTAACTTCATAGCTTGAATTGTGACAGATTCATTTGAGTTGATGTGAGGCTAAAGCAACTTAGAGCTGCTTTACTTTTTTGCATGCTCACTCCCTGTCAGCTTGTTGTATGTGTTTGCACGTTTTGGAAAGAAAAAATGTTGTCGAAAATTTTTACTTCCAGTTCCATTCATACGCTTCTGGTCCCAGAAATGTCCTCATGCGGTTTCACTGGAAAACAAAAGTTCTGATCCAAGAGTTTTGTTCGTAAACTGAAGTAGATGCTACTAGCCCCCTACAAAAGCTCAGCCCAATCCAACAGGAAGGTCTCATTTGACCCAAACGCTTAGAAATGAGAGCTTTAAAAAAGAGCCCGATACTCTCTCCCTGCTGCTCACTTGTCATTACACAAGTCAGTGGGGTTAGGGTTAGATGGAAGGAGCGATCAGGGCTGCCAGACTGAAGATTCAAAGCGGCGACAAATGTTTAACTCATCACAGACCAAGAACAACTTACTTTACCAGCTGAATGCCTAAAAACTTGTCCTCCATTCACTTATTGTCAGCCCCTAGTCTATAACAAACAGGCAAACCAGGGCGGATAGCTGAAAATGGTGGGCTGTCATGTTTATCTGCACAAGTTCAAGAGAGAGATGGAATCTCTGGACACTTCAAGCTGCATAGATGCCCTCTCTTTCTTCTTTGTCCTAAGAGGCAGCACCAAACAGTTGTTACCTGATCGTGGCACTAACATTGTTGGAACTTCTAAGAACTATGAATGGACAAATCAGTGCATGAGTACCTAACAGAGCAAGACTGCAGCTGGGAGTTAAATCACATGGGATCTTGGGAGCGCATGATCCCAGAATTCTGGACGTCATGCTTCTGCAAAATAAGATTAAACTAACTCATAAAGTGTTATAAAAACTACGGCCATTACTGACCTTGATCCACAGAACCCCTCTATGCTGTTGTCCTGTTGTCTACCTCCACCTTGAGAATTTGTGAAGAAAGAGCTTTAAATAAAAAAATGGAGATAGGTTCAAGCTCATTCCAACCCGTTCTGGACACGCTGGAGGCGACAGTATTTGCCCTCATCACAACAAAAGCAGAAACGGACTGCGTCACAGGCTACACGCACCAGCACACACCTTTGCAAGTGTCACCGCCACATTCCCTGGCAATGACAACTGAGATAGAAGGATTGAGGTAAAAGCATGGGATCAGGGCTGATTTATGTAACCAGTTACAGAAGTCATCCTCCCCATACCAAAGGACTGAGTGTCCGTCCATCCATCCATCCATCCATTTTCTGAACCGCTGCTTCCCAAATGGGATCGAGGGGGGACTGGAGCCTATCCCAGTATTCGATGCGCAAGAGGCAGGGTATACCCTGGACGGCGCGCCAGTCCATCGCAGAGCTACTCAGAGACATACAAAGACAAACAACCCCCGACATCTCCTAGGGGCAATTTGGATTGCAGGTTTATGGACTGTGGGAGGAAGCCAGAGAACCCAGAGACACAGGGCGGACATGCAAACATACAGAAAGGTCCTGGTTCCCCCAGGGACTTGAACCCAGAACCCTCTTGCTGTGAGGCAATGGTGCTAACCACCAGAACACCGTGCCGAGGACTGTATAGTTTATTATTTATGGTGGCCTCCTGGAGTGTGTTGCCCTCAAGGTATCTTTTTGGAAAAGTTAGGTGGTTTAAATGGATAATTCTATAGATATTTCTGTTATAAGGAAAATGATTACAATTGGTTTAGTAATCAATTCATGGTAAGTTTTTGTTGACAAATGTTATCAGTATCCTGGATCGTCCTTCCAGTTCTGGTCATATACCTCTGGAACTAGCAGTTGTGCGGTTTTAGTGTAAAACAAAGGTTCTGATCCAAGAGCTTATTATGGAATTATAAATCAGGACCGCTTTAACTTTCAGTATGTGGCAGTTTATACATAGGATTGGATATTATAGCTAATTTCACTGAAATGTTATTTTAATAAGCTTAATGCACTTTCTGTAAACATGCCTGTACGTGTTGAGGTAGAGTTTATTACTGTCATTTTAGTTTTCACCATATGTTCATGAATTCAATTAAACAAGATGCAACTAAATTCCAGAGTTTTCATTTGTGTTGAACTTGGTGTCACCAACATCTTTGTTGAAAACACAACAGCAGTGAGTTCTTGACATGGCAACAGTCTCTTGACAAATTAGGAAAACATATTTGCCTTGATGTTCAGCGACAAAATTCCCATCTCTCCTAGAAGTGGTGGCCCTCACTGTCAGCTTTCTTCATTTAACAACAACAAGCGAGAAGGGTTCATAGGAAGGTCACAAAGCTTGACAGGATTAGAGTGGTGCTGTCACCATGAAGTGAAAGGAAAAATAGCACTTTGAACCTTTTATGATTTATTTGACTGTTTGTCAGTCCTAGCGAGCCATAAGTGTTACATTATAGAACCAAAGCTGGAGCTGTGGGACCGCGGGCCATCATTGGCTCCTGGACTGGACTTTGGACATCCACAAAAGAACCAGAGCAGCTCACCTGATTAGACAGTACCAGTAGATGCTGCCATGACAGTTGAGTAGAGATCAGTGCTGGATAACCTCTATCTATTGATTATGATTCCTAACAGAAGGATCCTTCTGCAATATCTTTGCTAGTCTACTGTGCAAAAGACCTGTAGACGAGCAGCAGTATCTTTTGTCTAATCTCAATAATTTCCACTGATGCAAAGGTGCTGTCTAAAGTTAGGGATATTTTCAGAAAACCCTTTCCAATACGAACAGATGGGTTTGTTTGTTATGGATTGACATCCAATGATATTTGGCATTTAGTTCATATAATTGATGTCTAATTCTTACTTAAAGAATGCTGCCTTCTATTTACATTTGTTGTTGTATCTTGTGCATTTATCTTATCTACATCAGAACAGAGGACCTGGACCTGGATGTAGATGATGAGTAGCTGTCGTTGGTTCTTTGAAATTGAGTATATTGATTGGGAAGAAAAAGTCAACATGTAATTTTTTAGGAGAAATCTGTTAACAAATTATCAATCCAATCATTAGTCAAGTGGTGGTGGTTTATCAAGAGATAACTGCCTGTAACTGAATTATCCTCTTTTAAGATCTGTAGCTATGAAAATACATCCTCCCTTAATGCACAGGGGCTAGGGACGCTCATGGCAGATTCCTTCAGAAGACACTGGCACCCATCTCCTTTTTCACAGTACTCCACTTATTTTGTAAGGCAGAAGCCAACACCTTAAAGACATAAATGTTGTAGCTACTGAAGCTCTTTTTTTATCACATGGACAAAGGGGAGTAGTGATTGAGTGCAGCTTGGGAATAGAGCCTATCCAATCTGCAACTGAATCTCTGCAATCTGCAATCTCTCCCGGCAGCACATTATTCAGGAACCCATGTGCAAACTCATTCATCTAGCTGTAGCCACCTAACTTTTAGCCCACAATTGGCTTTTTTTGTTTTCTTCATTTCAGTAAGAGTAGCCTACTTTCCCCATCCCTTACAAGTTTCTTGCTAACTCCAAACTTTCTTTCTGCTGCTCGATTACCGTTTTCGGCTGCACATTTTACTACTTGCATCTTGCAATCTTTCTTTTTGGTGCCATTTTTGTTTAGCCCTTCTCAGTTGTTTTTATAAGTTACCACCAATTTTTAAATTATCAACACAGGCCTAAAGCGCCCTCTTGCGGTTTAGTGTGAAAATAAAATGTGAAATTATATAATAATGTGTTAATAATCTCACACATAAGTCGCTCCAGAGCATAAATCGCAGCCCGGGCCAAACTATGAAAAAAACTGCAACTTATAGTCTGAAAAAAGTTTGTTGATAAGTGCCAAATTTAGATGATTAATCTACATTTAAATTAATTAATCTTATCCTTGTGTGTTTCATTGTTGCAGGTTGTAACCAGTGAATGTAAAAAAGGAAGTAAGGCTGGAGATGGCTACCCCAGGAGGGACATGCACAAGCCTGCTACCTTCTTCAACCGGAGCTTTGAGCTGCACTACAGTAACCCCTACTTTGAATCTCCCGTCAACGCCCCGCTTCATGACAGGCTGAGGGTCAAGCACGAAAGCCTGGACGATTTACAGGCATCCACGTACTTCGGTCCAACGACAGTGTCTGAGCACGTCACCAGCAAGAAGTACGCCAAAAAAGCCGGGAAGCAGCCGGCATGGCCTGTGAAGAGTTTCAGCCTAAATACGGAAGAGGGTCCGCAGGATTTTGACAGACCTGTCCTAAACAGCAAAGTATTTAAGGAAAATCACCCCTGCAACATCAGTGTGATCAATACTGACAGTGAGCAGCACTTTCAGTGCCCAAAGGAGACAGTGGTACACTCTCCTGGGTTTGGAAAAACAGCTAATGGAATAAAAAGCAAGAATGTTGCATTGATGGCAAGAGGGCCCACGGGTTTAGACAAACAAGCTGCAGCCAAAAGACTTTGGGACAAAAGTAAGAATGGCACATTGTTTGAAGATAGAGACAGCTCTAGTGTCGGTACCCAAACAGAGCAGGCTGAGCAGAAGAAGGAAAAGGACTACTTGTCCAAGTACCATGACAGAGAGCGTCATAACCTGAAACACTCTGAGATGGACGCGGAGATGATTCGAGATGATATTAGTGACATCTTCCGTTTTCTGGATGACATGAGTGTTTGTGACTCTCTGGGCATTGTTCAACCATCGCATCATAACAGTAATGGATCTCTCTCTCAGGGAACACTGAAATCAGATGTTGATAGCTCACCTGAGCGCAACACAGTGAAACTAGCCAAGTCCAAGCTGGACCGTCTCTTTAATTCCCTGGAAAACACCGATGATGAGCTAAAGCTGAGTGTGTGTAAGCTTGTGAGGAGAATCGGTGAGATTGAGAAAAAGCTGGAGTCCTTGTCAGGGGTTCGCACGGAGATCTCCCAGGTGCTTTCCAAGCTGAACAAGCTGGATGAAAAAATCCAGGAGCCCGAGACCAATGAGAGGCACGGGGAGAAGACATCAGGGTCGGAGTCTGGTGCCACCCCAGATAAACCGCACCCCAACCCCAGCCCACTTTCAAGCAACCACCTTCCATCTAATGTTTTTCAATGCCACACGACTGGCCACAATGTGAAGCTGGAGCCGGGCCACACGGGGGAGTGGGTTCCCTCCGATGAAAGTAATAGTAACAGCCTCAGGTTGAAAGCTCCGAAGAGGACCACCTTCACAAGAAGGCCATCCTGCTCGACCAATGAGGAGAACTGTGCCAGCGAGCCAAAGGTCGTTAGCATCACCAGCTCTGCATCCGATTGGAGGACTATGCCACACACTTGCCATCAAGGAAACAAGAGCAAGGACAAAGACAGAGAGCGCGAAAGCAAGGACAGACATAGGAGAGCCAAAGAGGTAATTTTTTGTACATTTACAGTCAGAATGAACCATAAGGGAAATTTATGCTGGAACAAATGTAGAAACCCAAAACTTAAACAATGGATTATTTTTAAATTACAAGAAAAAGTCTGAAAAATAACATCATCAACATTTGTTTACATCAGGGTTAGCCTTATCGCCAGATACCAGTTTAATGCCAAATTCAGCTGAGACATAAAATGATGTAAAAATAAACTTTTACGAATTCATTCTCAACAAATCGGCTGATGTCAAGCCACATGCTGCAGTCCAAAAGAAACTTTAGTTGCCATATGTGTTCTTGTGATGTGTCAGGGGACAGATTTACAGTATATTGTCTAAAAGACAAAACTAGTGTTTACCAGTAAAGACACAGACTATTTTTTTAAAGCTTTTCACACAAAGCTCGTTATGTATCGATATTTTATGTGTGAAAGCTTAACCAGCAAGTGAGTTAGTTATGGAGCTGACAGAGAAAGCCAACATTGTGACATGAACAACAAGACTGCCAGCTGATTCTACGCTGACCTGAGGTACACGCTGATCTGCCTGTTTGTGTCAACTACAAAATAGAAAACAGCAGTGGGTCATTTTTACCATTAGATTGCAACCAGGAAGTGAAAAGGACTAAAGAAAAAGCTTTTTGACTGCAGTGTTGTTGCAAATAACACAATTTAAACTTTGAAATGCGGTGGGGGAAATATTGAACGAATGAGTGCTTTATTTCAATTTAAAAAACAAAAAGTAATATCACATTTTTACAAGGAATTTATCAGACAGCTACTTAAAAAAGGAAAAGGCTGAAACCCCAAGGCCTTTTGTCCTCTCCTGTACCATCCTAGTAATAATTCAAAATCCAACATCAGCACTAGAAAATCTTTAAAAAAAATACACATAATAGTTTGAACTGAAAAAATCCACTTCAATCATATTTCCTTTTAACCTTTTATCATTTTAGGTTTAGTCTTCTTGTAACATAGAATTACACATTTTTAATTAATCATTTAGGCCCTTCCATAATTTGGCACCCAAAACTGACACACATCTGTATTTAAGATTAGTTACTTTGTAAGTTTAAAACTTTATCAGCCCATTTAAATCATAAATCCCCTGTCTTACTTAAACCTTTTTTTTTTTTTTAAAGCAAACAGGAATTGTCTATGGAGGTACATTGCATTCATGAAAAGATCTCATAATTACCAGATCTTTTTTCTAATTACGAAATTCGTATTTACGAGATCTTTCCTTGTAATTACTCCTTATGTTTCCTGTAGAACAAAATGAATTAGTATCAACTGCAAAAATAACACGTTTAAATGTTTAACTTAATGTGCAAATGTCATTTATATAAAGTATCCATAAGTTTGGTCCCAACACTGAGCCTTGTGGAACTCCACAGATTTAAAATGAGATTTACATATTGAAGCCTATTATTCAAATAACTTAACCAAAGTTGTTAACCCCTAATGCCATATTACAGTGTGTAGTTGCATTACTTTCTAAGAACTAGGAAAAAAAAAAGATATTTTTTCCCCAAAAATAAACAAAAATACACTATTAATCTTCATTCAGATCAGATCCATTTTAAACTCTTTACTTAAAAGTATATTTACCTGCTATAGTCTGCAACATTCTTCATTGCAGACAAAAAAAAACTAAAAAACAGTAAATTAATGTATTGTATAAATGTGGCTGGCTGTAGCCCCTGTTGATGCTGCATTTCTGTCAAGTGCTTGTTGGATAATTATTTGAGACGTGGTAGTGTGGTGGCTAGCACTATTACCTCACAACAACTGTGTCACCAGTTCTAATCTCAGTTTAGAGTTCAACTATATTTCTGGAACTTTTGAGGGGTTTATCTGGAGACTCCAGTATACTCTCATCATTCAAATGAATGTGGGATTGACTAGGAATTCTGAATTAACACTAGGATTGTGGTTTATAGGCTTTACATTGCCATTATATACTTTTCACAGCTCCATGGTACACATTGTATCTGTGCACAATGAATCTTTTATGAGGTCTATGTAACTTGTATGCCTCATAAATGAGCATCAATTTTTTAAAGATTTATAACATGATGACATCTCCTGCTTCTGTTATTTCTGTATGAACCACAAGAGGAGAACATCCATCCATTCATCGGCTTAATCTGTTTTTCCTAGTAGGGTTGGGGTGATGGAGCTAACACACCTCTGTGCAAGCCTAGAGGAGGGCATCTTAATAAAGACAAACATTTTGTCATGCTGATGTACGTGATATAACTGCCGCATGTCCTTTTAGGTGATCTTTATATTTTCTGCTTTTTCTAGGCAGAGCGAGAGCAACAGTACGAGCTCTACCAGTCACAGCGGCCTCCAAAGCTAGCAAAGGATCCATACCTGATTGAACAGGTGTTCTCATCCCATCCGATCAGCCCCTCCGTCAAAGCCCATGTGAAAGGAAACCTGCTGTACACAGACCCAAGATCCACCTCCTTAGCGGATGCCAAGCGCAGCCAGGCATCTTGGACCATGAAGGAGTACAGATGCAATCTAGGAGAAAAGGGAAACCCACTTACAGCTCTGGACTTGCAGGTATCCAGTTCTTAAAATTTCCTGTAAAATCTCAGGAAAAGAGCCTCTGTGCTCTTTTGCATTTATCTAAAGCCTTTCTTCCTGTATCTTTTACACAACATTTTCAGTTTAGGCATTCAAAGCAAAGGTGTCAGACTCTAGGCCTCTTTGGGCCGCTGTCCTGAACGTTTTAGAGGTGTCCCTGTTTCAACACATCTGATTCACATCAAAGTGCTATTAGCGAAGCTAACCAATGTCCAGAGGAGACGCGATTTAATCAGGTGTGCAGAAGCAGGAAAATGTTTAAAAACCTGCAAGACAGCAGCCCAAATAGGACTGGAGTTTGACACCCTTGCTTTAAAGGTATGCTGAAATGACATTGTGGTATTTTAGGCAAAAATCAAAGCAGGCACAGAATAGCTCTCGGTCTGATTAGGTGGTGTAGTTTACTAGAAAACTTTCTGTTTTATCTTTGCTTCTGGGCTCCTCTACCCAACTCGCTCTGACTCCTGATCCCTGACACACCTGTTCTCCATCTACCCTGGATTGTCCCCTGGAATCACTCATGCACACATTCCCATTTATAAATGCATCACAGCACCTCCTGAACCTTTGCTACCAGGGTTCTACCCCACAATCAACAAGAAATGCTGAATGCAAAGCCCCTCATGAATGTCAATGTGTATTTAAATGAGACAGCCGATCAATGTTATTTCACGTTACCAATGGCAATGTGGCAGTATTAGCCACCGTGGGTGCCTGGGCATACTCAAGACAGCGTTTTTCTGTTTATGTCCTTTATTCGTGTGGACATGCACGCAGTCACACACGTATACAATGCTCAGATGAGCTGGGCGCGGTTCCTCCTTGCTCCTCCGGTGCAGTTCTCTCCAGGTCCAGCAGGGTACTCTTTTAAAGAGGGGAGAGCAATCCCAAGGAGGCCTGGTATCCGGGGCCTCCATGAGATTTTCTCCCTGCACTGCAAACAACAGAGCATGCAGCCATTTGTCCCATTTACGGTTATCGTCGTGCACAAACTTGGCCGTGCAAAAGTCTTATTCAGGCGCTCCACAAGGCCGTCAGTTTGGGGATGGTATACATTGGTCCGAATTGACTTGATGTCCAATGGTCCGTACAGCTGTCCGTGTCCGTAAATTGAGTGCCTTAGTCAGTTGGTCAGGATACCGACTTGGGAGATGACCTGAAACAGCGCCTGCGCCACAGTCTTTGCAGAGATGGTGCGCTGCGTCACTGCCTCTGGACATCGGGTTGCGTAATCAAAGACTGACACAAACCAATATCCATGTGGAATGGCCCAATCAGGTCCATCCTGACCTGTTCAAATGGGACCTTGATCAGAGGTAGTAGCCGCAGAGGCGCCCTCGGGATGGACGGTGGATTAACCAAATGGCACTCAGGGCAGGTCGCACACCAGCGGCGTACGTCTGACCAAATGCCTGTCCAATAGAATCGGGCCATTATCCATTAGCCATTTTGTCATCTGTGGCCCCGTTCCGTGGACACGCATTGGTAGGCACATACGTCTTACCCGATAGCTTCTTCATACCAGAAAAGGCTGCACACAAATCCCTGACTGTTCTGTGTAATTGATTGGTCATAACTCTTCCTTAGACAATAGGTCCTTGATTGACCTAGGAAGCTTGATACTTCTCACTCCTGAATGGGTTTCAGGTGAGAAATCCATCCAGGTGGTAGGAATCACACACAGACAAAGCATTTTAGCCAAGTCCCTCAAGTTGGATTTCTCCTCAAGCAACTAAAGGATGTCCTTGCCGCAGCTGCAAGTCGCAGGACAAAATACTGACTGCACTGAACAACAACACAGCTCATCAACTCATGGGATGTGCTTCTGCAGGCTAGTCAGTCCCTTTATAATCAATGCAAAAGAGGGGCAGTATCAGTATTCTTGTCACAGTCTGCTCTGTCCCTCTCCTGCTGAGCAACAGCCCTCATCTGCTTAACTGCTTCCGCCTGCTGCTGTCACCTGCTCATCATCTCCAGTCAAACCAGTTCCCCTTCACTCGCACTTTGCCAGAATGTTTTAGAGTCTCAGTACTTTTTTTCAGACTGCTCGCCTGGTATCGAACCAACTTGCCCGACTGTCTCAAGATCTGGATTCACACCCAGCGTTAATCTGAACCACTTTCCAAGTAGATGTCCATTAGCTGTGAGTTTGGGCCGGTTCCCCTCTACCACATTCTTTGATCCTGTTGAGAACTCCTGGGGCGTTGAGTGCTCAGTAGTCTTATGAAGGGAGACCTAGGGTCACACCATGCCTGCCGAGGCAAATGGCCGAGCCATGGTCCTGCTCGAGGTGTCTGCCTCTTAAAAGGACGTTTTTCCTTGCCTGCGTCGCCTAGTGCTTGCTCTTGGTGGGAATTGTTGGGCTTCTGTAAATGACTCAGAGTAGGGTCTGACCTGCTCTGTTTGGAAAGTGCTGTGAGATAACTGTTGTTGCTATTTGGTGCTATATAAATAAGATTGAATTGAATTGAAACTGTACTTACCTGCTTGGTCAGTTGAGCATAGAGTCTGGTACCCCTGTTCCTGTTTTAACCTGCTCAGTAAAGACCTATGTGAGAAACTTGGTGCATCTGCTGTTGGATTCATGTTGTTTTCCATACTCGTGCTATTTGGCTCCAAATCAACCTGTTTTAAAGTAGACGATGTCTGTTTTTTGCCGCCAAAGGGTAGGTTATGTCAGAGGACCGTATCATGATATCTTCAAGCATGTATGTTGTAAAACTTTTTGCTTTTTTCCTTCCCCTGCTCTTCTTACTCATCAGACCCAGGAGTCCCTCAACCCTAACAACCTGGAGTTCTGGATGGAAGACGTCTACATGCCAGGCTACAACTCGCTGCTGAAGAAAAAAGAGGCAGAATTCAGGAGGGCCAAAGCGTGTAAAATCGGAGCGCTGATAGCAGCTGCCACCTGCACGGTCATCCTGGTCATTGTGGTTCCGATTTGCACCATGACATCTTAAAGAGAACAGGGAATTCATATTGGATGTACTTACACGCACTTACTCTGTCCATTTCTTTCTTTGAATGGGACACATGTTGTCTAATGCATCATATCACAGCGCTGGAGCCGTGCGTTGGGATTTGAACATTTAGTTACCTCTGTTGGTCTGATGCCAATGTAAAGATTAATAGAATAGCTATTGTACTTGATCAGCGAGTATGTATTATATACTATATATCTATCAGTGAAGCGGTTTCAGTTGAACAAACTCATGATATAAAAGTTTTGGGGACAGTTCACTGGTTGACCAATGACTTAAGTGAATACACAGCTAAAAGACTTGTTATAGTGACCGTGTGTTAAGGTACAGTATTGTACTATGTATATTATTTTTGGTATTTTGATCAAAGTTATTTTTGATGATATATATGAATGTGAACTTTCTCCATAACTAGCATTTTAAATGATTGAATTTGTGCTCCATGTTTCTCTGAACACTTGGTAAAAGAGATACAGTTGCACACAGAAAGCAGACAAATTGTGACTGTCTAGTCTCAGTGAATGTATTAATCATATAAGCTTGCTCGCTTGAAAAATAATAACTTTGAAATTAACTTGACTGTTGTTACCCCCCCCTTTTCCTTTTTCTGAAATGTCACCAGCCAGCAGGACCTGTCTAAGGAGGCAGCTTCTTTCCACCTACTTTTCATCCACCTATTTTCTGGACTCACTTATTCCAGATCAGGGTTGCAAGGGGGCTGGAGCTTATCCCAGCTGCCAGTGGGCATCGTGCACGGGCTGTGCTGCCGTCACAGGGCCATACAGAGATTATTTTTAGTCGCCGGTCAATGTAACACATCTGCCTTTGGCCTGTTGGCCAAGGTCTACCCACAGAGAGCCCATAAATGTGAGAGTGTGCAAACTCCACGCAGAAAGAACCAGCCGAGTTTAGAGCGATGAACCATGTTGACGTGGTGCTGATAACCACCACTGTGCAGTCCAGATGGCACAGAGGCTTTCGTAGTGTTTGCTTTCTTACTCAGAGCTGAAAGTCTTGGATTGCTGCTGCTAGAGAATTTTACTGATAGGACCAATTTCTTCTATTTCTGAAACTAACGACAAAAACAATTCCACACTTTCAGCGTTGGATTGTCCTGCGTTCATTTATTAAACAAAGTTTAATAGCTGGAGTGACTACTCCTTTAAATCTTTGCTCATGCTTTTTATGCATGGCTTTTTTTTCTGAATCACTGCAGAGCCAGATCCCTGAGTGGTAAACATCATCATTTAAGAAGTCACATTTGATGTATTCCACAATATCCTTTTTTTCTTGTTTTACATACAGTTGCATTTGTGGTCTTGGTACAAATTATAATTTTATACATCTTTTAAAGTAAATAATAAACCTGTATTTAATCAAATAGATAAAAACTATACCTTCAGCTGATGATTTTTCTTTTTTTAAAATGAAATCTAATAGACATTTCACACGCTGCACCTTTTCCAGTGACATAAAGTGTCCATGTTTAAAGAAAAGGTGTCTTATATATATTATATATATATAGTATAACCAATTATATAAACTGATGAATTCAAATTTCCACACAAAACCTCCAATAATCAGACTTGTAACAAACTTACCAGATTTGTTTTCTCCCGTTTGCTTTAGTCACTTCAGAATCAGTGCACCTGTTAAGAACAGTAGCACAGAGATAATGTTGAATTGGAGGGAACACAAATGTTGTCCGTACATAAGGCTAAGACACCTCGATGACCATCAAAGGATTGTTTCCACAGAAGCGTTTTGAGTTCTCAAAATGAAGGAGATGCATATACAGGTCCCATATTTTCCTGTCAATCAACAAAAATGTTTGCAGACAATCCTTAAAATGTTTAAAGGAAAAACATCTGCTGAAACTGCTCTCAAATTGTATGGTTTTGAAATCTTATGTAAACCTCAGAAAACATTGTTTTGAAATATTTTTTTCTGAGAAAATCTAAAGATGCACAGAAAGCCTAAATGTTTCCAGAGCTGCTATCAGGGAACTGTCATCAAATGCTACACCATCCAACGACAATGTTCTGGAATAAATTCTACATTTAAACATCCCTTCATTCTCCATTCCGCTTATTTCTTGAAGGGTCTCTGGGGACCTGGAGCCGATCCCAGCTGACAATGGGTGAGAGGCTGGTACAGAGGGAACCCAAGCAGAGAATTTGAAAAAAACACAGAAAGGCCCCCAGCCTCTCTGGGATTTGAACCAGAAACCCTGATAGCTAAGCAGGAGATTGGCAGATTCTTTTTTTTTTTTTTGCTGTACTGAGAGTCACAGGCAGAGTGAGAACTCTTCATAGTTCAAAGTTAATAAAGAAAAGAACAAACAACCATCTACAAGTCTTATCTTATACGTTTTTCTTATTCATCATCACTGAAAGGTCTTAAAGCCACAAAGACATATTTTGGGTGAGCATGCAGGTGTAGGGATGTGATTTTGATTCGCATAACCACCTCTCCTGCTTCCTAAAGACACATGCTGAGTTTCCAGGTGGGTCATTGATTTGCAAATATATATCCCATTCTCTTGTAAAGAGAGTCCAGTGATAGGTTGAGGTCCCCTCATATGATGAATGTGAAAGAAAAGACTGGTCAGCAACATTTGGACCAAATATTATTAATGCAAAGTACATTACTTCAAACTTTGAACAAATAAAAGAATAATCATAAATCTCCCATCTGAATCAAAATATGTTCTATCAAGAGAAAAATATACTTTCTTATTAGGAAGAATAGCTCAATCTTTTTGTCTGGAATGGTCAAATTAGGAACAGTTGTGGCTTAATATGCTATAGATGAAATGAAAGGAAACCAAAGTCTTGGTTTGTTAGCTTCTGGTTGATTGTATTTGTTTTATTCTTATAGGTTTCTGGAAATAACTTTAATTTTTTTTTGGGTTCAACTCATCCTCCACATAAATTTTATATAGTCCTTGTATATACAGCATTTTTGTAGCCAAGTTGACTCTTCCAAAGTTTTAAACGATCACATGCTTCATTCACACCGCTGTTTTTATTTTTAATATGCTACCTGTTTTATCATTGGTTGATTGTTTGTATAAAAATTACCATTTTTTAAATGCACCTCTCACAGATTTTTTGGAATTGGAGTTGTTTGGGCTTTCTCAGGCATTGTGTGTTGAAGTACACCAAGAAGTCTCTTAAATTAACTCTGAGGTTTCACATTTCTGTTGTCACGGTGCTTGTTTCAACATGTACTGTGCAACAATGGTGTATCAGAGCCGAAAGTCAATGTTTGATCAGCGACTGTTTGATGTTAGAAGTCCTCCAGACTTCTTTGGCCTTCTTCCATGCTGGTAGGGTTCTGTCCAATGCTTCAGAGGAGTAAGAAAATATCATAAACCTGCTAACATGCACTGACACACAGCCTCAGTGCCCAGATCCATTTTGAGCTCCCGTTTCTGCCACTCCTCACTTCCATGTCAATCAACATTAAATTAAGTCTCAGGTCAGTGGCTCCTTTATTAATAGCAATTTTTATGGTTGATTGCAAATTATATTTATTATGAAACAAGACATCTGTACTTACAAGCTGAAATTCATTGAATATATTAACATTACTAGTTGCAGAGGGTGTTTTGGATTTGGAATGGTTGAGAAAAAGCAGAAAGAAAACTAAGTCCTAAACAAACCTGGACTGGCACACTATCTCATCCTAAATTAAAGAGAAATTAATGGGTTTTGAACAATCACTAAATTGGTTTTCTCTTTTTTTGGTATATATAAGGTTTCTGCCCTCAACAGCATCATAACTCACATCTATGTTGTCACACTTAGTAAAATCTAATCAAGCTCCATTCGGATTTTGCAGGGGGACCAAAAATTAGAGACTTATTTCTGTACTTCTTAGCTGAGTATCTGTGAATGAGGTTAAACGTGTCACTTCTTGATGCTGCAGTGCCTACATTTAGTTGGATGTCTCAGTCAATAGCCTAGATACTGATGTATAAAGTGGGACGCCGATACCACTGAGAGATAATGAGAAGCTTGGTATTTGAGAGCTGCCTGCGGTAGAGTATTTGCATAATCATTAGACCAGTCAAGTGCATTAAAACGAGAAACATAAATAAAACAAAAGAAACTGTGGTAAATACTGTACAGGTCCCACGTGGATGGCAGCTGTTTTATATGTATAATGGGCTTCTACAACTCAGTGCAGACATATAAGCATTGAAGCATTTAGATTTTTCTCAAATGGTAAATGATTTGGGATCGGTACCCCTGAAAGCTTGCTCTGTTCTTCTTGTAGTGACTGTGCTCGCTATGGTGGGTAGCAACAGGGTAACTTTTTTAGGCTGTAGCCTCTTGTAACCAAGGAGACCAGATTCTTGTGCAATCTTCACACAAGTTTAAATGAAAGCAACCGCTAGTTATTAGATGTCACAAACATTTGCTAAAAGTTTGAGACATCTCACTTGCCTCCTCAGCTTTCAGAAATACAACAACTATGAAAAGAACAAATGGTACATCTTCAACCTCTTGAGCCATAAAGGTATATTTTGGCTGCCTGCTTGATCGATTCAAGTATTCCTCTGCAGTTCCAAAACAATGTCAACCATCTTGTTATCAAAATGGTACAGCCTTGTATAGCTAACACACTATAAAGTATTTAACCCCTTTGGAAAAGTGGTACACATCATTCTGATTGTGGCCGAGGGATGAAGTTTGTTGTGATTTGGCACTATAGAGTACATTAACCTTGTTTTAATTACATTTTAAAAACCAATTTTCCGACTCCTTTAATGATGATTTTCATTTCAAATGCTTTGCGGTGTCGGCACTGCAAGCTTTTCTCCTCCAGTTCTTCAGACAATAGTCAGCGGATCATAATCCTCCATCTACATCCATCTGTCCATTTATGCAGACTCTCTCCTTTAACCTCCTTCCATTTTGCTTTTGCATGTCTGAATAAAAGGATTGTGACCTTTCCAAACAATTAAGATGCATGTTGAAGCTCAGCAGAGCGATGAACGGATCACTTTCCCCTCCGACGCAGTAGTTGTGTTGTTTGCCATCTGGTGGTTCCTTTTACTACTGTGCAATAAAAATGAATTATCTTTTAGAGGCTTTTCTGAAATCGTTTCCCCTGGAGTTAATTAAAGCAGGATGATGATCGTAAAAGTCTACTGAGCTGAATTGAATTGTATAACCGCTGAATCATTCTAATAACAAAACAGTGATAGTTTTTATCCTGTATAACTCATAAAAAACAAGTTAATTTGACTCTCTTTCATCTCTCTTTCTCATTTCGTCTCGTGCCCCAGGGCCTCGTCGGACTCTGAACCTTTGCCTTATTTCCTTGCTGTGAAATTCAGACTTTAGAGAATGGAATTACTTAAGGACAGTAAAAGGAAACAGTGTTAAGGGTGTGCTACTCCTTTATCTTTAGGGATTCTGTTGGGCTCCTATGTGTAGCCCTTAATGCCCAAGTATTTCTGTAATCTGTGGTTAAAATACTACAAATATTTTTATCCAAATATGACAGGGTGAGCCGGAGAGGATGGAAAAGAAAGGGAAAGTGGAAAAAAACCCACAGAAAATACAAATTAACGAGACAACAATAACTAAAAATCAATAAAAATCTGATAACAAGCTACTCCAGCTGTAAAAATTAAACAAAAAAAGGTGCTGTGCAGCCTGTGGGGAAACCAAGAAGCTCGCCATTATGAGCTCGTTCATATTTACTTTACTCTTTTGAAAGGCCACTGGCATTCCCGGTAAGGGGTGTAGATTCTACCGCCTGGGTGGATCCCCCCTCCACACAACAAAGACAGCAAGAAAGACAAAAGAAGTCTTTCATGTGGACCCAAATGTCAACTCCCTTATCAGCGTTGTGACTCCATGAGACATGTTTATACTCTCAGAAGACTTTGACAAGGCCCACGAACTCCCCATCAGATAGAACACAATAGGTTCAAATTCAGTTTAACAGTGCAACCCAATTTATCCAAAATGAAAGGTCCCTCAAATAAAAAGCTTTTCGTGTTCATTTATTTGATGGAAAAGATGCACGTCGACCTTTCATTTGGGCAAATGACTCTGAGTAAACCCAGTTTTGGAGCACTCTCAACAGGTGAGTCACTGCTCTCGTGTTTGGCCAGACGTTCTGAAAGGTATCGGGAATCTTTGAATCCTGAGGTAGAGTCTCCTCAAAAGAGGTCACACTTGTGGTGAGCCACTCTTCCCTCTTCAGCCATTCGTGGTTTTGCCCGTACTAGCTTGAACAATGTTAAATTCCGATGGTTCATGAGGTCCTAAATACTTTAGTTTTCATTTTTTGCTCAAAGGGAACAGTTCCTAATTTTGTCTTTATCAAAGAATCTGCTTAATTAGTTTTTATTTGTTTGTTTCTGGAGTCTTGGTGTCTGTAATTGCAATATTTTTAACTGTATGATTTCAGCTTGGGGCCACAACAACTATGCCTATCCCCAAGGGCACTAAAACACCACAAATCGCCCATAGAATCTTAAGGCTATGAACATAGCATCTTCCTATCCACATCATCTGTTTAGGAGGCTTTCAGGCATGTCTGACCGGAAGGAGGCCCCAGGGCAGACCCACAATTCACGGGAATTCCAGTAATGTATCCCGCGTGGCCTGGGAACACTTTGGGATCCCCCTGGATGACTTTCAGAGTGTGCTGGGGAGAATGATGTCTGGGTTCTCTCAGACAGGCTGATAACGATGCATGAATGCCCTTTGGGCCCCGATTGTGTCCAGAGATATGGGTCTGTTTATCTAGATACACTCTTTCATTTACATTTCATTAGGATTGACAGAATGAATCAGCAGTGAAAAATGCTAATAAGGGGTGGGGGCTCGCCCTCTTACAAACATCCAGTAATATAACCCTGTCTCTCCATTAATTAGAACTAGATTTGAATTACCAGAACATTTAACTGTGTGTTACTTGAATAAACGTGATGTAATCTGGTCAACGCTCTCTTGTGTGACCATGGTGGCTGTTCACATTCCTCATTCAGCATGTGACTCCATCATCTCTGCCAAAGACACAGCACCAAAGTGAATCCGTAACCAACAAGGACTTCAGCAACTCTGAGGGGTCATTGCGCTCGCGAGTCCAGTGCCCGCTAAATCCCTCGTTCTGACCTCTTGGTTGGAGTCCGTCCAAGCTCTGCTACCAGCATACGAAGGGGGGCAGCCATCTTAGCAAAGCCATTCATAAATAGCCAGTAGTAACTGCCAAAACCCCCAGAAATGACCACGTTTTTGGGATCACGGCAAGGCTCTGCCTGCTGGCAACCACCTCCGTTTTGGGTAGGACCTGTGGAGACACCCTGGTTGGACATCACATGTCCCAGCTAGCACCTCAAGCTAAAAGAAGGCAGATAGTGTGGACTACACCTTTCCGGTGTTGCGTTTGGCTAAATCTGTTAACGGTGCCCTGCAAAGTATAAACAGGGACTTCTTTAAGCTGAGGCTGTTTACACAGAGAGCTGTACAAAGAAAATAGACATTTGCTTTCAAATGAAAATTGACCATTATATAAAGCATCATACAAGTGAAGAAACTATGTCAACATTAAATGGTCATTATTTTTATTCTTAGTTAATAGTTATACATTTCTTTTTTTTTAAATAAAATACATGAAAGATTTGTCAAGTTCTTTGAGTTCATCTTTGAAATTGTTCTCTTCCCATTAGCAAATTCGACCTTTTTTGGGAGGAGACACAAAAATATTTGTTGTACAGCTCGACGTCAGAAAATAAACTGCTGCTTTTATTTTCCACCCATGCAGCACCCACATTCTATTTTGGTCTTTTGCAGAAGAAATCAGCACACAGATGTCAATCATTTCTGAACAATTGCTCCTTTAAGTTTGCTTTAAACTTAAGCTGTCCATTTTTCATCAGATCACCCAAAATATTCTAATACTGATCAGACCAGGGCGGGAATAAACCTTCCAGAGTGAATTGTGTTCATGCTTGGTAATGTTAAATCTGAGAATTTGGAGGAAAGTTGCAACATAAACCACTGTTGATAATTGCATTTTATTCCTAAATATCGAGGTGGAGGCAAATGCCGAGTGCTGTTGAAATAATTTTCACCCATCTGACAGTGTTGTACATGTTCCAGATGAGCTGCATATTCACGTCCTTCTTAACTGCTGCGGGAAAGGGGCAGAGAAAGGGCCAGGTCTGCTCCTCCCAAGCTCCCCTGCCAAGTGTGGGTTCACATCCTTCTGTTGACCCGTCCTGCATGTTGCCTTGAACTCACTGGAACGTTGGCAAAGCAGTGCGATAGTAAGTTACAACATCACAGGGTCCAGCAGGACTTCAAATCAACGACTCTCAGCTTTACGCACAGTGCTGTGGTCTGTTGATGTTCGTCCACTAAAATGAAACCTTAACGCACTGGCTAATTGTCAGTATGGTTTTGCTCTATTAAAACTTTGTTAATAAAAGACACTGACGGTGGAGTAATCAATGAGAGGTGAACACATGGAGACATAGCAACAGATCAGAATTGTGGAGATGGCTGAGGGATCTATTTTAAGACAAACCGGGTCAATAAGCCATCATAATGCACAAAACATCACTTGCTTTGTTTTTAACTGCACATTTGCCACAGCGGTTGGTTCATCAACCCTGTAAGACTTCCATTCCTTAAAGATGTGCTCTTTTTCCACACTGATGTCGTGTAGCGCGTAATTCCTCCTGGTGTACGGGCTTTTCCTGTAAGAACTCAACATCTCCAGCGGTCCAAGCTATTCTAAAAAGATACTGAAAACCGTCCCATTTCAGGAAGCTCCTCTTAATACAGAGAAATCACCAGCAACTCTGTATACCGTTTAGTTTTCTGTACAGGTCAGGCAGTTCTCAGTGGAAAGTTTAAGACATTAGATATGAGGGGACTAAAGAATGGATGGCTTGTCCAGCATGATGCCATAACGTGTATTCATTCTCCTCTATCAAGTCAGATTAGAGACATGGGAAACTGATTATTGTTAGCAGTTGTTACCTGGCCTTACAAAGCCGACCGAGAACTAATTATCCTCGTACAGGACTTCGTCTATGAGCATGTCGTTGTCGTCGACAGGGATTTCTTGGCACAGCTGCTCTTTGAAGGCCAGGGCGATGGTGTAGGGCTTCCCTCTGGGGTGCCTGCTGCAGCGCTCCAGGTAGGAGTCGTAGAAGCCCTTTCCCCGTCCCAGACGTCTCCCAAACAGGTCGAAGCCCAGGCCCGGCATTAGCATCAGGTCCAGACCTCCTGCAAAGTGAGAGCAGAGGGCAGGCTTCAGTGATCCCATCGATATACACAGGATATCATAAAATATGTGGCAGTGTATGTCACATTTTAAGGTACTAGTTTATAAAAAAACTTTTTAATCCCAATAAGATTTAATGCAAATATTCAAATAAATAAAAGTACTTTTCCCCACAGAATTCTCTTTGTATTTTTTAAGAATGTGGACACAAATATAATCAATATAATCACACCATTTCAAATCAAATACAAACACCATGAATGGAATTTCCATTAAAATATAATAATAATAAGAAGAAGACTTTGTTTCCAGCGTGCCATCAGTAACAGTTTTTAAATGTATTCATCCCCCCTCAGTCAAACTTTGTAGAGTCTTTCAGGGTACGTCTGTAGCAGCTGCACATGTAGTGAGTGACAGAGTTCTCCCTGCCCATTCCTGTGCGTTAAAACAGCTGATGCTCATTCAGATAAGACAGAGAGCTTTTGTGAGCAGCAGTTATCAGACCTTAACCGACCTCTGAGGCTGTCGCAGAGCAGCTGTATTTGTACTGAGATTAGATTACACACCGCTGGACTCCATTTAGTCTGAAGGCCAGCGGTTGCACTCAGAGAAAAGGGGCTGAATACTTTGCGTACTTCACTTTTCAGTAGTTTATTTACTGTTTTGAATCAGGTATCATTTTCTTTCTACTTCACAACTATATACTGCTTTGAGTTGGTCTTTTACGTTAAGTTCCAATTGAGTATATTCATGTTTGTGATTGAAACATGAAAAAATACAAAATATGAAAAAGTTCAAGGGCTATGAATGCTTTTGCAAGCAGCTGTATATACACAAACACATTCCATAATATTGAAAGCTAGAAATCGAGCACATAAATTCTAACATAGACGGAGAGCTGATGGTTTGGTTTGGTGCTTTTGTTTTTATTGACTTTTTAGAAGAAAAAAAAAGAGGTCAATACTGAGGTATGGTACTGAAAGACAAACTAAACATGGTGAATGATTTCTTAGTCATAGCAACGCCTCCACAGAAAGCAATTTTACTGGTCAAAACCAAATCGGATTTACAGGCTTAGCACCGGTGTCTGTCTGCGTGTGTGAGCGTGTCTACCAGAGGTCAGCGCCTCCTCCCGGCTGCTGTCATCTTCAGAAGGCTGCTTGATATTCCACGACGTCACAGGCAGAGTCTCCATGTCCTGCAGACTGCTCAGCCTCAGCATGTCCATGTGGGAGCTGCTGCTCTCATATCGGGGGATGAAGACGCTTTTCCCGCTCTTGATTAAGTCTTTGATGATTTCCTGAGTGCACACTTCGTCGTTCATGCTGAGAAACACTGCTATCCTTTGAGAGGACGCATACTTAGGGTGTCTGAAAAGCTGGGAGAGACAGACAAAGACAGAGGGAAAATGTCAGGAGAAGAGACGGTTCAAGTCAAAGGGCTCATTCTCAGTGTTACAGTCCACATTATCGACATCTTTTACTGATATCAATCACAGTTTGCAATTAATATAGATGGTAAAAATCAGGTTTTACAGCATTTGAGTGAGATTGAACCCACAACAAATGATTTCACACATAGCCCTCATTCATTTCCTTCAGAACTATCACAGCTCAGCTGGACTCTGTTCAAAACATTCTAAAAACAGTCATATTGAGTGTAACCTGGATGTCCTCTTATTAGTAGTCATCTGTCAGCCTCATCGGGAAATTAATCGGTAAAATAAATAAACGGTTAAACTTTGGACCCAGGTAGACAGAGAAAGCAGCTCCTCAATAAAACAGAACCCACCCACATGACACTCCGCTTGGACTCAATAAGGAATCACATTTAGCTTGTTTCATACATATATTAACCCCCCAAGCAATGGATCTGGAGTTACATAGGAAGCATCAGGACATCTTAGCCCAAACACATAACGTTTCAGGTTCATTTAGGCAGACGTCTATTTTGGTTTTACTAGAGTATGTATGGAAGGATGTAAATTAAGTGATTACTGTCTTTACTACAACGATAGATGACAGAACAAGCATCTGAGCAGACTTCCCTCCTCTTTTCTTTACTTGAGGGTTCATTTTTTTTAGGTTCTGACCTAAAGTACCCTGACTGTCACAAACAAGAAAACAACCAGGGGTCTGATATATCATGCAGCGGTTCATTCCCTCGGTCTCAGACGCGGGCTTGTTCCTGAGGACTAGAGGTTCCCGGGCAGGTGGAGCGCTACCCACAGCCCCGCGAGGACCGCCCCTCACCTTCCGGGACACCAGCAGGGACTGGCGGCTCCTCTCCTCCGCACTCAGCGCCGCCACGCGGGCTTTAACGGCCTTCCTCAGGGCTTGTTTGGCGGCTCTCACGGTGGCCATGCTGCCGGCGGGTCGGAGGAGGAATGCCGCGGGCTGGGGGGAGGCCCCTCCACGTCGCTCGTGTCACTTTCTTTCAGTTAAACATTAACAAACTAAGTTATACTGGGCGGGAGCAAAACAGAGCCCTTTCCAGCCAATCACAGCACGGTCAGTTCTTCTTCTATGCCTCCTTCAACTTCTTCGTGTTTTGGATTTTATGGTGCTTGGTTTGCATTACCGCCATCTACTGGTGAGGAGTGTGGCTAAAAATCTCCATTGAAAGTACAAGGATTTCTTTTTTCTTTTGTAATCAGATTCAGATGTCACACGTAGTGATGTAAGCAGGATATAGTTTGATATGGTTTATCTTAAATAAAAAGGCTCTTCCCTGACAAAGCTAAATGGCAGAAACTCTCTATTGCAGTGTTTCTCCTCCAAAAAACTTTACTGACCTTTTGAGTGGCACCTGAACGCATTTCATAATGAATTAAAGCTGCCTAATTTTTTCTATCTCCAATATAATCTTTTTTTTTTTATTTTCTTAAAATCTCACGTGGAACATGTTGCTGTTTTACAACATTCCACACAGTGTCAGTGTTCAGTCGTCTATCAGAGTCAGTTTGGAGCACCAGAACATGAATGAGGAGCAATTTCATGTGGTATTGTCATAGTTACTCCAGGCACCACACCCATTCACTTACAGCCCAACACACAAAAAACAAACCTAACAGGTTCCCACTGAGGTATTTTCCTGTGAACAAACTAAATAAAAAGGTGTGTTCTAACATAGTAGTTTTCCACTGGAAACAAAGGGAGCCACTGTGGCTCATCTCAGGTGGACTTGCTGACACTGTTAGGTCTCAGTGTGTAATGCCAGCTTTTATTTCATTTTAGAAAATAATGCACTGTTTCATATAGTGTTGTATCAAACACACAAACATGGAGACAGATTTTAAAATCATAAGACCAGTTTCTGATCATGGCCACTGTTATGAATCATATTTCAGCATCAGTATTATCAAATCTAGGAGTAGCTTTAAAGGGACCTTAATTCCTCGCGTATGACTTTCCAGTCTTTAGTTTTCCAAATAATTTTGTTGAATAACCAACCAGTTTTTCTGCCAATGAGGAAGAACCTATATAAAAAATAACTTTGTATGTTTCCCTTCCGGTTCAGAACGGGTGATTGTCACTGTGCCTGTCAGTTTCAGATAAGATCCATATCAACTATCACACATGTTAAGAAATATTTGTGTTTTAAAAAAGTGTCTGAATGTAAAAAATGGTAATTTGATTTTATGTTATTCAGTCTGTGAAAAACAAACAGCTTTGAGTCCCTTTGCCAACAATATTCTGTAACAAATTAAAGTCAGTCTGATAACTAGCCTCAGGCAACAGTTTTCATGTTTTTTGTAGAAACAGTTGCCTGCTGCTGTAAATAAAATCTGAATAAAATCAATCTATTGGTTTCAAAGTTAAATAAATGTCCTAGGAGAGACAATTTGACAGAGTCATTAAGAGATAATTTCATATAATGAATAAAACAAGAGAATTCGTTGAATGGTTTAATAAGATTCATATATTCATCTCTGTTGTCCCTCCTGATACCAAAGAGAATTTCAATGGACTGCTCAATAAACTAGTCTGCGTCCATTCTCCTTGTCCGTGACTACTGCCCTCAGTGACAGCAGCTCACATATCAGCACATACGCAAACGGATTTTATGCTTGGATAAATCTAGTTTTATTTGCTTATAGGGAATTTGCTTGCACTGCATTATTTTCAGGGCTTGTGTGTGGAAGACATTAGGTAAGTTATTCAAATCCTGTTGACTGGGATTTTTTCAGTCCTTTCCAAGCAGAAACTGACACTAAGTCATTGTATTCAGATAACCGTCAGTTCCTTTTATATCTACACATAAAAAACTCAGTAACAGAAAGTTTACCACGTTGTGTCTCGTGACTAATGAGCATCTCGGCCTCCGATGCCTGTGAGAAGATCCGCTTAATTTCACTGTCAGCTGTGGAGAGATCAAAACTAACAGGCTATTTTAATTTTAGTCTTGTCATGGCAGGAAGTATGTGTGTTTTTTACAATGTGTGTATCTGTGTGCTGGGTGTGTGTGTCTGTGAGAGAGAAAAACCAAGATATAGAGTGTGTGGTTGGGGCAGGAAGTGGAGAGGATGGTGCATGGGAAATAGTTAATGGAGTTATTTCTGCTGGGGATGCTGGTGTGAGGAGGGCTGCTTGACCTCGGTCATGTTCACACTGCTGCTAAAACAGGAAAGGAAAGGGCTAATTTTGGCTCAATCCTCAGTATCATTTTCATTTTCTTGGAAGATTAACTACAAGATACTGTCTGAAGAAATCAGAAAAAAAGAAAAATTAGAGGTTTTAACGTGCGTCAGGAAGCAGTGGGTTATTTGCCCTTAGTTTTGGGGATTTTGTTACGCCCGTAGACTCGCATTTCCAGTTTTGCAGCCGATGTTATTTGCAGGGCCAACAATGTTTGATTGTTGTATCATCAAATGTGGCTGGACATTTCCCTCCACTATGAGATAAAGGTCACATCTTTTCCACTCCTCAGTACAAAAATTAAAACGACTCAAAGTGATTAACGTGAACACTGCAACAGATCAGTTTCGTACATTTAGATTCCATCACTTTTAAACAGGGTCCTCATTTCAGGGTGCCATGATGCCTTCAAAGTGTGTGTGATTACTCAGATGTGTATCATTATTTCATTAGTGAAGGAAAACCACTATAATTTGGAGTTGAAACTGTTTGTCTTGTAAGTAAAATAGTAAGTAGAGACCGGTCTAATATCACCAGCTGTAACATCAGAAGTGTTTAATTGATTTTAGGGGACAGGTCAACATCTCTGTAAATGTTTTCCTCTCAAATTGTAGAGCTTCTTTCAGCATACTAGTCTCTTAGGCACTCCCTTGGACTCACTGACTCTCTGTTACCTTCCCCCTTCCTTCCAACCCCCCATCCCTTCCTCCCTGTATATTATAATCATTGTCACTACCCCTGTAGGGGGCGTGGCACTGGGTCTTTTTATTCTCTCTCTTCCCCCAACCACTTAAAAAAAAAGACACATATCTTTTTTCTGAAGGAAAAGGTGCGCCTCCAGATGGGCTTCCCCACAGTATTCCCTAATTCTGTGGGTTTATGTGTTTGTCGCTTTGTCTAATCTTGGACGGGTTGTATTGAAATGTTGAATTTCATTGTACGGGACACCGGAAAATGATTAATAAAGTCGTTCTGATTCTGATTATTTTCTAATGGTAGCTTGTTTGATGCTGAGATAAACACAACTTTTTAAATAATGTTTTACCGGAGATGATAAGATGGCAGATTTAAATTCAGAGAGCAGGTTTTTCCCACATGAATCTCTCCCAGACATGCATAAGCTCTGACATCACACCGGTGAAAATGGCACTTGTCCAGTGAGACCATTAGAAAAAAGTGTGATTCATGCAAGCCAGCCATTAAATCCTGAACTCGGAGAACAGACAGATGTCAGGGACACTTGTGCCTGTGAAGCACTGCTGTTTTTCTCTCAGACAAGCTGCAGCTCCGCCGCTTTCAGGGAGTTTGCTTTTTTGAGTCATAACAGGAAATTATAGTTACAGATCATCAGAGGGCAAGCCAGGGGTCTTTCCTCCCTCGGAACTCCTCTCTGTCGGTGGCTGCGTTTGCAATGGCCGCTTTATACGGTTTTGGTGTATACGAAAATTAAATATGGACTCTGCATGTGGAGCATATCTTTACACATGACTAACCTGACTCTGACACCCCACAAAGCAGACCAATGATCATCACCTGCTCAGATCCATGTGGGTATGAGAAGTATAGACATCATTTGACGCCATTTGGGGAGTTTTATATCCTTCACATGCACTGTTTGAGAGGGAAATATGTCCTGGTTCAGTGATCCTTCTAATGATAATGATGAGCATGATGAGCATTTCAGCTTCACACCTTTAAAGATCAGCAGGAACAAACTCTAAGTTTATCATCAGTCCCCCTCCAAAGGTGGTTACACTCCATGATGGGTTGCCTTTCCATCTCTGGGCCTATCCGAGACAACTGACCAGGAGCACACACACTCATTCCCTCAAAGAGGCGAGTAAGGATTTTTGGTGTATGCGTATTTCTCTACTAGTCTGAGGAAGTTGGAGTTCAGGGAGAGAACCCCCGCCCACATACACGGGGAGAACATGCACAGAGATTACAGCACTCTGGATATATCAAACTTTAAGAGACGAATCAGTGAATCTACAGCTTACCTTTGAGGTCATTTCCTGGGAAATAAATTCTGCAGCCCGCCGATTGATCCATTTCAGCTCGATGATGATGAACTTTTAATCTGTTTGAGAGGGTGATGAAAACCGGTCATTAGAGGGATCGACAGGAAATAGACCAATGTAAAGACTTCTGCTGACCGTCTCTCTAAAGTCCGAATTATCATGTGTTCTCCGTCATGCTTTAATTAGGAGAGTAGTGCAAGTTGGAAAAGTTTCCCGTTGCTATGGAAATATCACTACAAAACTCCCATCCTCATTAATAGATTTAATCAGGATAACACTCTCCCACAAGGGTCTGCCTCACACATTCATTCACAGACTTCTAGGATTGTCTTGGAAGGAAAATAGAGTGTAAGGAACTCTGAATATCTGAAATAAGGATTGTATTTTAAAACACACTGAATCCGAATGGGAATCCATTCTTTGACAGTTGAATGGTAAATAGAGGGTATTAATGAGTATGACCATGAATTTCTGTGTGAGCCCATCATATTCCTGAGCATGCCCAAATCCACTGTTCATTTCCCCAAGACAGCAAATGGATGTCATGTGTTCCTTCTCCTCATACTGACACTAAATGCTTAATGGATGTGTTTTTGTTCATTTGGATGAATTAGGAATTTTTCTTAGGGCTTCCTCCCCAAGCATGAGCAGCCATATGACGATGAACATATACTACAGGCCATTTGAGTTTTTCCAAAATGCAGAAAAAGAAAATAAAGACGATAGCCACTTCTCACATGATCACTTCAAACTGCGGGAATTTGACATTGAATTTGTCCATAAACCTGCCTTAAATTCAGTCTTCTCTTACATAATCCCCACCATTTATTCCTCCAGCATATGTTGGTCTTGAGCCACCTTTCACGAAAGAGACTTCAGGGTTTCATTAGAAGAAAAAAAAAAAATTTCAGCTAATTCAGGTTAATGAGCTCTGGTTCCTCTATAAGCGCCTGTGTTTCATGGAGGAGTATTTGAGATATTTTTATTCATTAATGACTCAAAACATAGAAACACAGCATGCAGCTAATCAAATGTGTAAACTGTCCTATTTTCCAAGCTGTGTTTATTATACAATAAATACCCAGATCCATATTTCATGCCAAATATTTCCACCGGATTACAAATTTGATTTAGTCTTGTAGCCTGGAGACAGATGCTGATCAGCTGCTCAGATTTTAGCACCGGTAGACAACAAATGTCATCTCTAGGGAAGTTCCTGCCTCTGTGCACAGAGCTGCTCTGAAGTCCCTGAAGGATGCTGATCCACCATGAAGTGTTGAGACAAACAGAAGTGTCATAGGTCTGAAGGCTTTGTGTTACACAAAGAGAGGATAAGGTGATAATACATGGAAGGCAAGAAAGGTTTAGGATTATGTCTAAGAATGAAAAACAAAAGATTACAAATGAACTACAATGATTACCCAACCACAAGTTTACAGGTAAGTAAAGAGTTGATTCTAAAAATAAGTTCCTCTTCAGTCCAATGTGTATCTTTAATTTTTTTAACAGCACAAAAAAAGCATTTCTAAGGAAGAAGAGGCAGACCATCCCGCACTGAGCAGGTGAGGAGTTGGAGTTTAAATAGTCCAGGTGAGGACACTGAGTAGTCACCAAGTGAGCAGAACCACCAATCAAGAACTGAAACCATGACAAATAATGAAGATCTATTTGAATTTTTGGGTGAAACGGTTCAGATGGAAAAGGCCAACTCAACATTTAAATTGCAGACTCTTTCTAGAGTCTGTGATGGACCCAAAATGGCCAAAGTAACCTGTGTAACGTTTGGTTAGCTTTCTCTGAAAAATGTTATTTTCAAAAGAAAACTGGTTCTGGGTTCTTCTGGGTTACAGACAAGATTATTTTGAAAATTAGGACAATAAATGCTTACATCATCTCTAAATTTAAGCTCTTTTCGGTTTGGGGTGAGGCAGAGTAAATCTAGATGTAAAAAAGTTAGGGGTGATGATAGGGTTATAAGAGAGAGTTTAAAAGCCAGCAGGCTTAAGCGGCTTAAATCTAATACCAAAACATAATGCACTTTCAAACCAGTCATCTCCTACACAGTTAAACCGATTGCATTTGTAGAATTTTTGGAGTCTGCTAGTCCACTGGAAGTGTTTTGACACATCCGGCAGCAGGGCAGAGTTTTACTTTCTGAGAGCTGCAATTCAATTTGATTTTATTCATGCGGTGCTAAATCACAGCGCAAGTCGCCTCAGCGCAGTTCAGCGAGTGCATTCCACCCAATTGGAATCTGATTCATCATGATGCTGTCACATTTCCAATCAGTTCCAGTTCGGTGAAAGCGTGTGAATAACAACACTCAGGTCCACACGTCACAGCCGTGTTCTGCTGTCCCTGCTTTTTCCTTAAAAAGAAGCTGTAAAAAATGAAAGGAAAAAACTGAGGTTTGCATCACAACATCTACACATTCTTAGTTTTTTTCTTTAAATTGTTTTAAACCGAAAAAGACACGATAAGCCGGTGAGTGGGTGTCAGCTATCAAAGGGCACCTGTGCAGATAAAATGATAAAATGCAGGAGTTAAACTGCTTTCTCCACCTCCTGTACAGGGTTCGGACTTTCCGAATATGATTTCTGTCTGACTGAGCGATACCTTCAACAGCATTGTTCACCTCAGTAAAGCAAAAGCATCCAGTGAGGAATCAAAACTATTATTGTTACAAGAAGTAGCGTGAATGCTGCCGCTTAACCGGCTTGGCTTCATCTGTGACATCATCACATGCTAACATGTAAATGCCTGTGAGTCAGAGCACTGCTCAAACATGTGGTGACAGGACCAGACAGTCTGGAAACCCAAATCCACCTGACCATGGCTGGGACGCCCTCGTGTCCCAAACAGGCAGATCATTCTGCTATTCCTCCTGTGGATTCCTGATTCTTTGAGTGGATTTGACTTCTTTCACTTTATCTCTTTTCAAGCCCTTCACTAAAATCCACTCTTTTCTTGTCTGCATGTCAATAGAGTGTGTATGTGTCTGTGTGTGTTATTTTGATTGTTTCAAGACTTCGTGATTTAAACCTGCTTTGAGGGACCAGACTGAATAAAGGACAAAGGTGTTCCAAAAATTAGAAAAATGTCAATTTAATAATATCAAAAAATGATAACAAATGTCATACTTCCATACAATACAACTAAGAGTATAAATAACCCAACTGGGGTCAACTGAACAGCAACCAAACACAAACCAAACTGACCCACAGACACAAAACCAAGGCTGCTTAAATAGAGGTGGACTGCACCAAGCTTCCGACATGAGGGAGGAACATAATAGAAGAACAACAAACACAAAACCTAACAAAATAGAAGCAAAATCATATTTAACTTAATACAAACATATTAAAATGACAAAATAACTTAGGCTCAATTGAAAATAGCTTCAAAATTAACATTCCCCCTCCCTCGGTCTTTGGAACAATGGTGTCTTCCAAGGCTTCCACCTCCAGCTGGATTCTAATTGGGGCCCTTAATGGTGGTGGTAATTAAGAGTATTCACCACACCTGCCCTCCACTGAATAAGTGAGGATTTTGTACTCAGAATCTGCGAAACTCCTTTTCTCAGCCCCCTAGAAAAAACCTTGTTCAAACAGCCTACATGTTTGGAATCCATTCCCAGTCCTGACTGAGTGGGGGCCTGTACCTGCCGGGCGAGGCCGTGGCAGCTCAGGGGATGTTAGCACAGGTGAGGTGGAGAAACAAGTCGGCTGTGTGTGTTTTCCTGCGGGTTGCCAAAAGAGCAAATGTGACACCTTTCTGTTTATGTCCGATCAGATTATTTAGGACCTCATGCTTTATTCAAAGCTGTCCAACTCCAGCTGGGGAGGCGGTACCTGACTCTTCAGTGATGTCATCTTTAATGTGGAAATCTCTATATGAGGTTTATCTCTGTGGTCGCTTGTAGGCGTGGTAGTTTAGAGGGAGGAATTATGAGTCATATTTAAGCTGTGAACAATGAATATGAATGTTTAGTTTAAAGGCTTATTGGAGAAAAGCTCATAATTCTTCTGGCCAGTCACTGAGACATTTTACCATTGAGTTAGTGAGCTTTTTCTTTGCAACGTGAGCCAACAAAAGAGAGTTCTGCAGAGTTTGCGCTTAGAGGCAAAGATGTAGGTGTAGCTCATTATCATACATATAAATCCCCACACAATAGATGGGGAAAAAAAAAAAAGTTCAAGAGTGAATCTCCATAGGGTTAAATAGCAATGAGAGCTCATTTTTTATAATACAATCCCCACTAAAGTTGGTCCAGAAAAGGGGATCAGGAAAAAAACAGAGCGGGACTCTGCATGCTATTAAAATATAGTGATGCTGTGTACAGAATACTTTTGTTTTATAAAGATAAAGCAGAATTGGTGGCTGTTTGATTGAATCCTCAAGAAAACAACTCACTTTCAGTGATCTGACATGTGAATTTTTCTGGAGGTCTGGGTGTGGTCTTTGTAAAATAACACTCAGGGCTACGAAAGTCTTGGTACGAGAGAGAAACACAATAGGTAGACAAAGCCTATGCAAATGGACACTTCCCTTCCGTCAGGCCAAACCCAGCTCCTATTCTCACGTGCAGCACCAGAAAAGCTTGAGTTTCAATCATTCTCCCGCCAGTATTCATTGTGGCTCCCACCAGAGAAATAATTTGCAAAAGGGTTTCTTCTAGAAAAGCTGCTTATTGTGAATCGGTTGATAGAACTAAGAGCGATTTGGCATTTGGACCGTCTGTACGGGGCTCAGGCCTTTTGGAAATATTCAAATTTTGTGATGCGTTTTGCTCTTAATGCAGACTAAGCATGCTTAGAACACACCTATTCGACACAGGTGCGCCCTCCCCCCACACAGGATCCCTCGGCTGCTTGCATCACACACACTAAGTTCATGTAAAATTCCACAGGCTGTTGACACCCTTCGCACCAGATTCCCACTGCGTCTGCTGCAGGGCTGTGATAACGATCAGTCGACCACACTTAAGGACACACAGACACGCCCTTAGAGACACAACCCTGGTGTGTGATACTCCTGCTATGATTGCTATTGCTACTGCCCTGTCTAGAGCAGTTCTCTGAAGCACTGCCCAACTTCCTTTTGCTAACTAAGACACGCTAATATTTAGTATTTATCCTCAGTTTTCCCATGGTGTGGGCCAGAGCTCTTTTCCCAGTTTTGATACGGCTTACCCGTAATGCGGAAATAATAAAGACGTGCACACGCGTGGCGTCTCCACGTCAAGCATTACTTTGGTTTTCGGCACAGTGGAACACTACCTGGTCATCTGCACAAGCCCGCACATGCCTGATTTAGGAATGTCTGTCTGTGGCGACTCCCCTGTCTGATATCGTGTTGTGGAGCTGTTATTCGCATTCTGTCATCAAAAAAGGATAAATGCAGGCGGAAAAGCCCTTCCAGTCATGCTGAAAAAACACAAGAGGCAGCACTTTTTTAAGGGCTCGCACATCGTTGGCATGTTTAAAAAAGGACTTTCCCTCCGGGTTCCAGCTCCTGTCTGTCACATCTCCACACACACCATCACACTGCAGCAACCCACCAATGACTTGACGTGAACCTGAAACTATAGTCGAATGGGAGGAGAGTGTTCACCTGGGATAACAGAGGCACTTCCTTCTCCTCCCTGACAGTGAACAGGTTAGTGGTGCCTGCTGACCTGCAACCAATCCCACCCCACCGGCTCCCTCAATCTGAGGAAAGGTAAATGTTTTTTTCATTTTTTATTTTATTTTCATGTCTGCTATATACGTTTGAAATGCTCCTTCGCGGACTTCTTGTGCGTCCTTGGTTTGGGACCATCTGCTTTAGATAAGATTGCAGCCTCAGCTGTGATGCGCATGTGAAAAAAACTAAGGCAGATCGGGATTTCTCAGACGGTACAAAATGCTGACTTTAACGCGACAGACGCCTGTCGTGATGGGGGGGAGATCCATGTAATGACTCATCGTGATATATCCATGTGAAAAGCCCTTAGCAAAAAAAAAAAAAAAAGTGTAATCGTCTATATTCAAATATAGCTACGAGGGGATCACATTCTAATAGCTTCTCCAAGGATTAGAAATGCGCAGATGCTGGAAATGCTTTGATGTGATGCACTGATAACTTTTATTTAGGTCTCTACTAATCCGCCGTCCCACTCATTTAACGCGTTCCAACAAAAATAAAGGGCTCCGCAAAGAGTCCGGATAAAGGTTGGATGGATGATATTCTGGGGAAAAGTGGCTACTCACGGAGGAAAACGTTTGTTTGTGTCGCTGCGCTATTACGCACGTCAGGACGGTCCAAAGCAGTCGTTTTTTCAAATAAAAAAAAAAAAACAGAGAAGCGCCTCAGCGACATGCGCCAGAGCAAGTGCCTTCAATAACAGCCGAGGAGGTGTTCCAGCCACGACCACTGTGTCGGAGGAGCCCGGCGCGAGTGGGCGGCACCAGCTGGCGGAGTGATGCCCAGAACCAGAAGACTGCGCTGCGTTCACGGCCCGTAAAACTTACGAGCGTATACGCGCGCGCCATGGAGGAATCCCGGCGCCTACTCCTCGGGCTTCCCCCTGGCAATATTTACCCCCCCAGAGAGCTGTGGTGACGGATACAAAACGTCCTACCAGTCAACAAAAAGAAACGGGACACATGTCCCAGGATTACTGCTGACTTCTTGTATTATTCCCCAAGTTCTTAGCCTATATATGTCTTAGGAGTCATGGCGTGTCGTAGTAAATAAGGCCACATGTTAGAAAGAGTCAGGTTTTTGTTGTGGTTGACTCCAAGATGTGTTCATAAACTACATAAATATGTGACAAGCATTTTCAGTGAGAGAAAGCAACACAAGGCAACAACAACAATACTAATATTAAAACTGGACGTTGGTTGGTGCGCCAAACCTGTGGACATCTCCATCCTAAATTAGTCCAGAAGAGCATCACATTTTCTACCAATTGGTGTTGTGTGAGCTGTTCTAAACTTTGAGAAACTGGTTTTTATCTAGGTATTTATTATCCTGTTTAATACACGGAGCAGCGTTTGAATTTAATTTCCTAAAGTGATCTATCGAAGTCTTCTTTTTTTTTTTAAACGAAAATGATTAGGAGTTGAGCTTCTGGTAGGTAAACATCCCGCGTTTCCTTGTTTTCCTGTGGGAATTGAAAGCAGCACATTTCGCTACTCTTTCGGCACGATTTTCTCGGACCTTCCCCGCGTGTTATCTTTATCCTGCGCGTAAGAGCATCATGTCATTTTAACAGAATTCGTCCCACACACAAAAAGAAGACAGGGTTTTCCGTAGTTCTTTTTTTTTTAATGGTTTATCAATTTTTTTTCTGCCAAGACAATATTTTAATTGTGGCAAATTATTCCATCTACTGAGACCTCCAGTGACGGTAGGGCATTCCGTTTTTAGAGAGCGCCACAGACGTTTGCGTTGGGGAGATTACTTTGCTTTGGGGGCGAATTCGGCAGGATTTATCCGTTTTAAAAAATACATATTTTAAATGTGGAAAGCTCTGCTCCGCGTTTCCACGCAACAGCGCTGGCGGCTGTGAGGGGCAGATGCTGCCGCAGCGAGCCGCGGCTCAGTAGATGCGGCGGGGGTCTCTCTCTGCCGGAACCCCGGTTTAGCGCCTCCTAAAAACCCAGATGGAGCAACAAGAGGAGCCGCTTGGCGGCTTGAGCCGGCACGATCACGCCGAAGAGCTCGGTAAGAGATTGTTTTTTACCCCAAGGAGCGCAGTGGGAATGGCGCGCACGCAGGTGGTCAGGGAAAGATGCCCCTTAAAGCCCCTCTGGATGACTAGGGCGCGTAAGGTGACGGTGGCCTGCCACCTGTGTCTGTGGATTGTGCCATCACACCACTTTGAAACTCTTTTTAATAGGTGTCAGACACTGTCATCCCAGTTATATAGTGAAATATATAAAAATTGTCAGAATAAAGCAAATGCGCAAAAGTGGGCGGATGTGCCGAACATGCTGAAACTTGCCGAGAAGGGCATGTTGCAGCAAATAGCTTTGCTGTTTGCCTCTGATAAAGACCTGCCATGACTTTGGGGTGGGTTTTTTTGCCCACGCCACCCCAGACACCGTCCTGTCTGAGCCAGCGTTAGCTCCCAGATTAGGGGATGGTGAGGAAAATGTCATCTGCATGTCTGAGAAGAAGCCAAGATCAGACAGTTTGAGCAATTGTTGGGATTCTGTCCTGGAGCAACATCAGAGGAAAAAAAACATGCAGGTGTTTAATAAGGAAATAACTAAAGATAATTTGTATGTTGGTTTTCTCAAATTCCTTTTGGATATTCTGCTTAATTTCTTTAGTAATCCAATCGATATTCACAAAACCATACAAAGTGTTGTTTTTTAATTAGTTCAGCAGTTCATTAAACTTTTCAGTAAAAACATCAGAAGCTTCATTTCAAAGAATTCACTCCAAAGAAGGGACAGCAAAGTGTGTATTTATGTGTGTGTAGTAAATTGACATGAGTCCTAATCTGTCATGTAAACATCCTAAAGCTTTTGTAAAAACAAGCAGGGAGACAGCTAAAAGTTTTTCTTTTTTATAGAAAAGAAAAAAAACACTGGTGGTCTTTGGTGTCCAAGCACACCATGTAGAGGTCTACACACAACACAGTATGTAGGTACCAATGGGGGGTTGTGGTAAATTTCGATTCAAACTGTACCTCAGGGGTTCTGTTTCTGTGGGTTTTTCTGAGACATTTCTGTATATATTTCTGTAATGTGGTGGAAAAAAGCTTCCAGTCATACCCCAAACACCATGCAGTCAAAGTCTGATCATATCTGGGCTGGCTGGAGCTTTGGAAGAACACAACACCCAATGGCTTACTTTTACTGATAATCTCGTTTACTTTAGGCATTATGTTGAATATAATCCTAGTTTAATTGTTTAGCAAAGAAATACACTCAAACAAACCAATCAAAAAACATTGAAATTGTTCTCATAGGTTTGACAAAGTCAATTTCTTTCTGCAGTACTGACTGGCTTGTCTTCCCAGAGTGTAAAATGTGAAAAAAGTAGTAATAATTTTTCAGTGGGAATTAATCTAATATTGAATTCTACTTCAAAGTCACAAAGACCCAAATCTTCAGTTGTATCGTGTTTGCTTTGGGACTCACTGTGATCTCGACATTATAGCCCTTTGTTGACTGAGCTGGACCCAAAAGAAAAAGAATGCTTCGTGCTCAGCATCTTTCTGCCTCTTGACTAAGGATTTTCTGTCCAAGACGTTTCTTCTCGTTAAAAGAATACAGACTTACCGACCTTACCAATGAATCCTTCACTAATACTCCGCCGAACTGAGCAGTTTGACTCTTCGATATTTTCCCGACGCATGGCAACAGATTGCAAAATCAATGTCTGACATTTACAGAGAAATAGTTCACAAATATGATATGTAAGTGAACAAGGTATCCATCGGTGTCATGGTGAAAGCTGTTTCCTGTCCATTACAGCTGTGATTACCTGTGAAATGGGCCACATTCAGTTAATCCACGCATGAAAAGCTTCTGTATTACTTGTAGCAACTACATCCTTTTACATGTACTGCCAATAGACGTGTGAAAAGTTTTGGCGAGCAAAGATATTTCCTGTTCTTTATTATTCAACTGTGAAATGTACATCCCAGATAACAGCCAGTATTCTGCTTTAATGTTGCGATCCCAATCTCAAATCTACCTCTCTGTTCCCCTGCCAGCTTCTCCGCCCCTATCACCTTGTGAGGAGAAGTCTGCAATGATGAGGAGGAGCGAAAACTACCTCCCAGTCCCTGGTGAGGAGAAAAGCCTGGACAGAGACTTTGACGACGGCAAGGGCACGAACGAGTCCATAGTAAGATGCTGCTTTCTTATTAAGCGGTTATAGAGCATCAATTGTTAACATATATTGTGTGGTAAAGAAGCGTTAGCAGTATTTTGCAAAGCACATACAAATATTACCTGTAGGGGCGTTCCATATTTTAAGATAAGATAAATGTGGTGACTGATCATTGATTATCACTCCATGAACACTCATGCCCATTTGAGGTGGTTGGTGTCTGTTCCAGAGCTTTTCTTAGCATATCTATAGGGCGTAATTGTCAAACCCTGCATGTGGAGCTAATATATTTTTACCTCGTGTGTGGAAAAGTAAAAAAAAAAGAGTTTTCAATACGGATGTTACTTAGAAATTAAAATTAAAGGCAGGTATATCATGTAAATATACTCCAATCTGCCACTAAATGGCCATAGCGAGCTTACTTTTGATCTCTTCTCGTTTGTTTCAACACTTCTTGAGCCATCTTGGGCTTCACAAAGACTTTACTTGGACGGTCACTCCCAGCCACTCCCACAGCCTCACAGTGTTGCAACACAGCCCAGAACCAGCAGCCCTCCATAGGGGGGGCACACAGTTTAGGAAGGAATGAAAGCATGCCAAAGAGCCCGAGGTGTTCCCCTGACCTCTAAACCCTCAAGATACCAATCTGAAGGAATCTGGTCCAAAGAATCCTTTTCAAAAGTCTTGACTGGTAGAAGCAGTAATGGACATTTTCAGATGTTCTTTGGCCACACCTTGACCGGTCAGAGCCCTTATCTTTACTTAGACATGGATTTCTTTGCTGTATATTGAGAAATTAGTTTTATGCTATCTATATCTATCATTATTTCTTTTTTTATTTGCAGTGTTTTAGGATATCTAGTGTTTTTTTGCATCCCATGAAGACATTTGCAAGTAAATAGTCTGCTAAGACTAAGTGGACTAAGTCCATTTTGATCAAATACTTTGATGTCATACTCTGATATCGCTTGATACAGGCAGACGAGTATTCATGATTTTTGTTATTGTAGTTTGGAAATCCCAAAGAAATAAATAGGTTTAACTATGCAAACCTACATTGTGGTCCAGTACAGAAATGAAGCTCCTCCCTTTAAGGATCCTCATATCAACCAGATCCTCCCTGAGTCCTTCAGTATGGCCCATGATAACCCAGACAGAAGGGCTTTATTTTCACATTTAGTAGACAGACTTTAGCTAAACATGTAGGCAAGCTGCATTGTTCTGTTTTTGTTCTGATCAACAGATGTGGCCATCAGAAGCTCACACTTTTTTCCAGTGTGTCCTGAGCAATCAGGTGTCAGTACATTCTAGCATATTCATCTTTTTACACTTAGGCCTTCTTCACACTTTGCATTAACACAATTCTTTCATTATTGGATCGCAAGTGTAAAGTTCCGTGTCCTCTTGTAATTTTCCTATTTGCTTTAGTGCACCATGCGGTGAATATTTAAATCAAAATACAGAAGCATCCCGTAGCATTAAAACAATCGCTACTTTTCAGCTTCCGCATGCAGAAAAGTCCTAATGTGAAACACAGGACAGGCTCAAAAACTGAGTCATTCTGAGCTTATCGAGGGTCAACAGTGAGTGTGTGTGTGATCGTGCATGTGTACAATATGCATCTGTGGGGGTGGCTGTGTGCATGTGGAAGCCCAGAGGAGAGGAGACCCTCATTTTCCGGCAGCTTGGTGAGAAAAGAGTTTCTATTGGTGAGTGAAGCATACACCACAACATCCTCATCTGCCCTCTGAGAAACGAGCGCTGACCTTTGCAGCTATGACTACTTCCTGTTTAGAGAAGGCTGAACACGCGTGTGAATTTGTGTGTGTGCCATGTCCCCCCCCCCCCCCCCGGTATGCACACGCACTCGCATGGACCACTCATCATGCTCGCAATCACAGGCGCAGAGGAACAATCTGAGCTGTCGTCCATTTGGTTAGTAGCTCTAGAGAGGAGAAGCTTTTTTTTTTTTCCCGCATAGTTTCTGCTTTATTCAAATTATTGGAATCATCCCTAATCTGTAGTTCCACAGGAAATAGCAGTTTTCAGCTTCGGAGAGGCTTTGTGCTTCATTTATTTACTCCAGACATATTTTTTACACATGAGAATACTCAGAAATATGATGCTAACATCTTATCGGTCCTACCCCGACTCACCAAATATACGTTCATTTGGGGTTTTTTTTAGATGTCCCCAGAAAGCATTCCATATACTAACATAAAGTCATGGTCTTATCCCAATCAGAACCTTAACCAAACCAAGTTTCCTTGTCAGTGGAATGATTTACATCAGGACACTTGCAACACAAACAGTTTGAATAGGTTCGTCCATAGTTTGTCTCTAACACACCCCGATGATTTGTGATGGACACAAGGAGGACTGGCTTAGGAGAGCTTGTCTGGTAAGATTAAATAATTGGGAATGAGTACTGCTACCGTCTGCCTTGCAACCAAAGTCTCCACATAAAAGCAATATTCACACTAAAGTTCAGTTTGGTGAAAACTATACACGATAGCGTGTTACTTCCGTTTACTCTTAAAACTCTTCCGCTTCTCCTCTTCATAATTAGAGCCAACGCCTTAATTTCTCGTAAAAAGTAACAACTTAATTCACGTAACCCACTTCTAAAGGTGTCATGGCGTATTAGAGATCCTCACTTCCTCATCTGGGACAACTGGCAAATATCAAGCCAGTTTTATTAAAAAATTTATTAAAACTTCGATTTCCAGGCCTGATTGCTCAAATTTTACTTTGATATCTGAATGCCATTTCCGTATTTTCTACAGCTTTAAATTATTTGGTAAAAAATAAGGTGTGATTATAGGCCTCTTTAGCAGATATATTCACTGTCGTAATCAGATATTATGACAGTGTGGAGGCTCTGGAAGTCCTGCAGTCTAGCTAGTGAATACGTGTTATGAGAGCTCTAGCTCCATTATAATGGAAGAATAAATGGGCATCTGTGAGGCTTATGTTTTTATCCTTCCCAGTCTCTATATGGTGCAATATTTAGCCAAACACACAAGAAGAAAGATCATGTATGGAGTGGGATTGGTCCAGGTATAATACATGGCAATGTGTCGTAAGCTTGTAGGTTTTTTTTTTTCTTACTCCTGTTGAGCAAGATGCTACACTCAGGTTGCACCCACTGCTTAATGCCTGCTCACACTATGAAAAGGAGGTCCTGCCCTGGTGGTGGGATTAGTATTGTTAGTATGTTGGATTTATGAGTGAAAAATAGTAATCTCAACATTTTGCAAAAGAAAAACTCACAGATTTCTGTATCATAAGGTTGTATGGTTTTGTACATTAACCCTTTAAAGCCCGATCCAAGAAAAATAGGAAGAAATATTGGATTTTTTTAGTCTGAAGTCTTTCTTTGGCCCATCAACAACATATGAAGAAAAGAAAACGGAAATTAATTAGCGTGCAATAAATCAAAAACATATTTTGGTGTAGTCTTCTACTGGCTGTTATCAGGTTTATCTGGATGTGTACAACAGGGGTTTGAGAAAAGCTTTTACCACTGAATGATGCAAAAAGTCTCAGATCCAAAATACTTCAGAAACCGTATGCATCAAATATGACACAATTGGCATTATAGGGCTAACAGAATAGTTTGCTCCCATTTTACCCTGTAAGAAAATGAACCCACCAGTTTTTTTTTCTCTCTCTCGCTTCAGCCCATGAAAACTCTCTATGCGGGCGACGGCTCGCTGCTGCACCCGCACCTTGGGCCGCACTTCTCGGACGGCCGGCGGCGCGTGGACTACGTGCTGGCCTACAGCGTCCAGAAGCCCAGCAGCATCCGCCGGCGCTCCTCCCGCTTCGCCGAGGGCAACTTCTTCCGGCAGCTGCGGCGCAGCCTGAGCATGAGGAGCAGCCGGGCCCCGCTGCAGCCCAAGGAGGACCCCGAGCTGGCCGCCAAGGAGCAGCGCGCCGACTACCACGAGGACGACAAGCGCTTCAGGAGGGAGGAATTTGAGGAGAACCTCAGAGCGACCGGACTCGAGCTCGAAAAGGACGAAGGGGTAAGAGTTGCTCTAGGGGGAGTGTGGGGAATCTATTATTAAAGCAGGTAAGGTAGAAACTTAGATTCTGTTAGCTTTATCTTAAACTGATTAACATAAATGACCTATTTCAAAAAGATTTCATTTTAATTAAGAGTGAAAATGAATGGGAACTGTTCCAGCTAGTGAATTTGGCTTACCTGGCTTTGATCAAATAACAGTATTAAAGTAAAATAACAGGATTAGAAAAAAAAAAATAGGAAAAAAAGAAGGAAAAAAAAGGGAAAAAAAGAAAATAAAAAGAAAGAAAGAAAGAAAATAACAGGATTAGATAAGAGTAAAATGGGTTGTTAAAGGCAATTATAATCTGAACTGATGGATCAGCTCTTAGTAGACTAGGATGAAGCAGTGTCAGTGGATGTGAAAACAGATGCTTTTGCTGGACATATGGACACAGGCATGATGGTGACTGAGCACAGTTAGCAACAGGAGGTGCTCAGTGCATTACATCAGCTCGGCAGCAGATTTACTCGTACGTTGAAAAAGAAAAGAAAAAAGGAAGTATGGGATTTACATCGGGGTAAAGGACACCATGTGACTGCACAGGTACTGACAAAGACAAGGCTTTTAATTTTTATTACATTTTTATCGAGCCTGGCCTTGTTAGATCTATTCCTTCATTTGGGGTAAGAGAATTTGTCTTTTGGAGGAAGAGAACATTTAAACGAGCAGGGAAATGCTAAGGCATTTTGCTGAGTTGAGTCACATTTTCCACAATAAAAAATGACTCAAATAATGTACATGACATGGCTGAGATGATCTGGAACAGTGACAGCTCATGTCTGCTGACATCGGAAAGAGATTTGTCTTTAAAAAATGCCAACTCTGTAAGATTAAACATAAAAAATTAAACTTTTTAAATAAAACATTAAAAGATGTTACCCCAACAGCTAAATCCATGTAACAAGGTCAGCCTCAATAAGCATGTAATGAAATTAAAACCATATTTCTCTCAGTACCTGTGCTGACTTGAAGGTCCTCTGTGTGGAAGAAAAGCAGCAGTAGGAAATGTGAGAGCTGGTACATTTGTGATGCCTCTGGAAGACACCAGATTTTAGTAAAACTTAATGATATATGCTGAGTGTATTCTTGGGATACATTCAGGATCAAGTTTTCAGGCTCATGCAGGTTAACCCTGTAATGCCAAATGTATCATATCTGATTCATACGGTTTCTGAAATGTTTTGCCTCTGACACCTTTTGCATAATTTAATGGTAAAAACTTTGCTCAAAATCCTATTGTGCACAATCAGATATACCTGATAACAGGGGGCAGAAGACTACACAAAAAATAATCTTGACTTATCGCATAGTAATAAATTATTCATATTATAAAAGTATTTCTGTTTTTTCCTTTTACATATTTTGTTAAAAGGCCAAAAAAGGAATTCAAACCAAAAAAAAGTAATTTTCTGTTTTGTTCTATTCTTGGATCAGGCTTTAAAGGGTTAACAGTAATTGCGAGAGTGAAAAAGGGGGTTGTGGAGGCAACAAGTGCACGTGTTCAGTACAACACACGTCGTCTACCACCAGCACAGGCGTTTGAAAGGTCAGCCTCCATTTTCGGCGTCTGATCCGGCCCCGTTCAGTGAACAGTAACCTGGGATTTTTCAGACCGGGCTGCTGAAAAGGAAAAAATCAGCAGGCTCCATCGATCCAAAGTCGTCTGGTCTTTAGGGAAGCCGGCAATATTTTGCCCAAGTAAAAAAAAAAGAAAAAGAAAGAACTCTCAGAGACATCTCTGAAACAATGAAGAAATGTTCCGAGAAGTGGAGTAGGTCATTCTTTTCCCCACAAGGCAAAAACCCACTCAGTTGATGACATGCGTGCTCTAAATCTCATGGGCACTCACTTCCTGGACAACATGGAAGCACAACAACTAGAATGGGACAAGGGGCCAAAGAGACTGCTTGATCAATCAGTTCCTTTTGCAAAAAACACACTTTCAAACGTGTGCACAGTCTGTTTTGTCTCAGGTGGCAGTTTGGTGATGTAAAATCCTGTGATTCGAAACGATAAGCCGGCTTGTTGGGACTTGCAACTCATTGCAAGTCTGGCAATGTTTGAAGGGTTTTACATAACATGCATGCTGCAGATACATTAACATGTATGAAAAGAGGAGGAGTGGACTCAGTTTTTTTCTTAAAGCAAACAGCAGAAAGGAGTATATGTGTGGCTCTGCTGTATTTGCTGGTGTAATTGACTTCTCTGGGTTTCTGCTCCATTAAAAAACCCTTCTGATGGAATCTTTCAGCCTTCTCTACTGGTTAACCCTCAACACAACATTGTTTCTTTGTGAAAGAGAAGTTTTAAACCAATATGGTCCTCATTTGTAGTGCCTTCAACCAATAAAATGTTGGAATCAATCAATCTAAAAAGAGTTTGTAATGTGGTCCTTTGTATTTCAGACTAAAATTCCTGGGGTTGGCTTCTTGAAGATCCATGCCCCGTGGAACGTTCTGTGTCGAGAGGCTGAATTCATGAAACTCAAGATGCCAACGAGAAAGGTATCAGCTTTTCTTGGCTTAGAGGGAAAGATCGAAGGATGTTTACTCTTGCTCCCCTATATAAAATCATGTATCAAAGCCCTGTTGCTCTAACATGCATGTTAGAGCATGTGCCTGGCTTCCTTATCTGCCTCACAATAACTGTTTATTAGATAAACTAACCTCATCGGTGAGAATTTCTGTGTCGTGTTAGACTATTTTCAAATGTGTTAACAGGTATGCTTATTGTTGATATGGTAAGTGTTAAGATGCATCTTCTCACTCCATCTCCGAGAATCTGTGTCTATCACTGGGTGTCTGTTACGAACTGTTTTAAAACGGTTACTCCAAACCGAGCTCAGACGTCCCGTTTGCTCTGCAGGATTATAACGTCAAACAAGGCAGCAATGTGGTGGAGAAGATCCGACTGTTCATTCACAAAGTGACGACTCCTCTCCACCCGGACGTGGATACCAACCAACCAGAAAACGTCAAATTCCTGTCTCATCCCTTTTCTAGAGAGAAGCAGCATCTGTGAGTAACATCTCGGACCTTTTGCCCATACAGTTTGCGTTTTACTCTAAACACGATTACACAAATGACCTTCCTCTATTCTCAACTTTTGTGATTACTGTCAATGCCATAGAGCTTCTATAAGCTCTTTTTCGGCCTTTGTTTTTTATTTTCAACAGAGGCCGTGCTGTCACTTACTACTGGCAGAAGCCAGGCCTTTAAATTCACTCGTGAAAATTCACTCTTCCTTCCTGTCAGAAGTCACCGAAGACAAAAAGCAGACTTAAACACACATGTTGGATGTGTGTAAATCGGATGTAGCTATAAAAGGATTGTGAGAGGAACCTAAGATGTAATGACACAAACGTACATGTCCCTGCATTTAGCTGCCACTTTGAAGAATTTTATCAGAATTTTGTGACACTTTTGAGGAGTGCTTTACTTTGGGTTGTGTTGACACTGTTCAAACACACAGGCCATCGTGCACAATGATCTGCACTGCAATGGAGTCAGTATCAAAGTGTGGAAATTAAGAATTCTGCATATTGCAGCTGCTCTTCAGTGATGTTTGTGTCGAGTCCTTATTACATTTACAGCATATACAAGACGTAATTTCTGAGAACGATGTGACACCGAGTCTTTGGAGGAATGCACATCATTAAATTAATATATAGTATCAATAATGTAGTTGATCACGTAAATGCTGAAAGAACCCCAATATTTAGAATAAAAAACGACATGAAGAATACACAGCAGTCACGACTTGATGCACACTTCCTGTTTGTTCCCAGCTAGCGAAAAGTGCTCTCATATGTAGCGCTGAGAGAAGAATGTCTTACTCCCCGTATGTCGGGATGTAAGGAGAGAGTGGGCAGTGAGCGGCTATATTTACTGCTCTGACTAACAACTACCAGGAGATATCCCTCCACACTCTATCACTTCATCAGCCCAACACTCCAGGCCATTTCCCTGAGATTACACTTAGTTATAGTTTGATGTGGCTTTTAAAGTGCAAGGCCACCATCAGACATTGTCCTAGTACGGTCAGGGCTATGTCATTGAAACAGAATACAATCATTTCCAGCACTGCATTATTGAATTGTTGTAATGGAAACAGTTTAATATAATGATTGGATATAAAAGGAGCATCTCAAAAAGTCTCAGTCATTCACACTTTGAACTCCTGCCTGAGTACAGAGCTCACGTTTAACAATCTTACTTTACCTACGATTTTGGAACATTTAGAGATATCATGATGTCCATTCAAACTGACCACAACTGGGCAGTAGGAGGAATCAAAACAGAAACTGTTACCCTCTGCTGCAGTTTGAATGGAAAAACCCAATGACTACTGACCGTGGTGGTGTATTCTGAGTGGACCCATCCATTGTTGTAGGAAGTTGGATTTGCTCGAATGGTATCGATGGCATTAAGCATTTTCAGAGATTTCTTTCTTGCTGTGTCTGTGGGCATTTGGATCCCTCGGAAAGGGTTTTTTACTGCTGCCAAAAAAATATCTTATCCATCTGCCATCAGGCACTATGGATCATTTGTTCTGACATCCCTCATTATGAAATATTTAGTAGGCTGCTATTGGCTCACCTTCTTAAGCAAGATGCCAAAATGTACCCATTTCAACAAACCCCTATCTCATCTGGACACTGGATTTAGCTCGCGTTCCTGAAGGCTCCGGTACTTTTAATACAGTTCACAGTTCAACCTCCATGCTGCAGACACTACAGCAGCTGGTCAATGGACCAACAGATCACGGTTTGTGTCCAGAGGGTGGTCAGCAGCACATCACCACCACAGGGAACTGTTCTCAGTGTCTTTTCTGGCTGGGTTTGACTCTACGCTGAACATGTGTCTGAGCCTGTAGCTTTGTAGGAAGTGTGGCTGCCCGCCAATCAGACGGTCAGCGGTCAGACTCCCAGATTCCCAGATCTTTCACGTGGTGACAGACTGTGTCTTGAAGCGTCCCTCGACAAACAGTCCGTGTTATGTTGCTTTTTAAGTGTTCGTTGAGGTGGAAATGTGCGAGGCAAACTGAAAGGAGCTGACTCTGTACTGGGGGGCTGCTCTGGAGCGTTTCAAAACCAGGCTGACACACACAGTGGATACTGAAAGCGATAGCCAACATCTAACACAGCGGTTTAAAGAAAACTTCTTCCTCTCTGCTGCAAGACACAACAACTAGCTAGCAGCTCAAGATGACACCTGGTAAAAAGAAACGTGCAGAACTTGGTGGATTTAACTTTCCTTCCTTTTCCTGACATGTGCACTCTGTAGGAAACAGTATGTTTAACACATTCCCCAGCATGCATCTGAACCTGAAGACATCTGTTTATGCTCTGCTTTGCCAGATTCAATCTGTCTGACAGAGACAAATTCTTTGACACGAAGACCCGGAGCTCAATAGTAAGTATGTTGTGCATGGAGTGGTTGATAAGGTTGTGTCCCATTACAGCGCACCACTGTTTCCTATTAGGTCTCTTCCTTTCTATCCAAAAGAGTTGCTCCCACAGTCCCTCGTCATGTGTTTCTGCATGTGCATGCTCTGAGCCAGTCACACCTACACAGGGGTTTCCGGGGGCTTTTCTAATGAGGAGATGATGTGATTGACTATGCCTTGTTAGATTAAACACCTCAATCACAGCAGGTCTATGCTTTTGGCTGTGTTTCCACCCTCGCCAATCTAATTATATTGAGCTGTCTGCACATCAAACCCTCTCTGAAGACAAATGAAACTCACTGCTTCATCTGCACCACTCACTCACTCGCGTTATGAAACAAGAAACTGCTAGATTTCTGCTTGTCACCAGTGTCTTCTTGTTTCTGAGAGTGAAACTGCAACACTCTTTGGTTTTTAATGTGTTATGTTGTATTGCCAGGTCTATGAAGTACTGAAGAGGACAAGATGCACGAGGGAAAAATACGCCATGGGTAATTCAAATGAATGATTTGAATGATTGAATATGCAACTCATCTAAGTTTCTTTTAGTAAAATTTAAGAATAATTTAGTTACAATCAAAGAAAGCAGCCATCTTGAGATGTCATTTAAAATGATTGCAAACTGAAGTGCCTCTTCAATCTAATTCTATTAAATTCAAATAGATTTAATTATACAGAGCCGTCAAACAAGTCCTGAGAGAAATAGCCCATCACCTTCCATCCAAGTGACCTCCAACGGGATGTTTAAAACGACTGAATATTCAGTGGCAATATCAAAACAGTAAAGCTATATCTGTCTCCCCAGATTGACACGCTATACCCAAAAGCTTTTACTAAATTAGAGGAAATTTACTGTACAGATTTGCTGTTTGCATAGATCTGATAGAAATTACTTTTTGTGATGTCCCATGCACAATTCTGTCATCTTCATCGCTCTCACTTATAAGTGAAATGTTTCTGTAGCTAAGTGAAGACGAACAGATGACAGCAGCCCCATTATGTCCCCGCTTTGGCTCTTAAGTGATGGCCAGAATAAGCCAAAGGGATTCTTTTGATTAGCTCTCACTACCATAAAACTTCAGCCTACAGTATTTTGCATAAAATTTTAAATGACATTGTACAGTCCAACTGTTGGTTTAACTCTCCCTGAAGGGTTTCCTGTGTCAGTCGTCTCGTTGATTTAAATAATCCTCTGCGTTACAGGGATCACCAGTCTACTGGCCAATGGCGTCTACACGTCTGCTTATCCTCTGCACGACGTGAGTACCGACATCCCCTCATGCCCAGCGCTGCCTACCAGCCGTTGACAGTTGAAGAATATTATAAATACCGTTCCATTTCTGTGTGCGCTGTTATAAAGGAGCTCTTACCTTTCCGCTGCTTTAACAAAATGAAATATAGCCTTGTTTACAAATGGAGTTCCCCTAAGATCTCATGAATAAGAAATGTTATGTTGATCACACATGCGACAGGATATAATGACACGTCAAATGGCACAGCTTTCTGCCACACTTTGCAAACGTAGTTCTTGGCTCTTGTTAGATTTATCCGGTTCTTTACTGCCATCTCAGCCCTGAGCTGCAGGATGATGCAGTAGATTGGGTCTTGTGTTAGAAACCTTTTACACACGCGCCCATGAGACAGCCATTTGACATTTTCTGTCAGAATTAGATGGGTAAAAAGAAATAGGATGTACATTATGCATAAAAAGAGTTGAAAATGGAGCCCTTTACCTGATCTGTTGTTCCTGAAATTGCAATAGTACCCAAAAACGAAACAAACAAAGTGTGTGTGTGTGTGTGTCACAGGGAGACATCGAGGGAGCGAATGCGGAACCTAACGACAGAAAGGTAAGTGGAGCAAATTGACTTGTAGGAAGAATAAATCAGACTGTTAGACACAAATGGTTTGAGCCTGTGTACTGCAGATTATTTATTAGTCAGTTAAAAGAAAGCCTTGAATGATTCTAGGACCAGATGTACTGGACCTCTGCTTTTCAATTAATGACTCCTAGTTTTACCTCAAATAAACTGTGTTCACAGCAGGGTGAAACAATCTATTTATCCAGAAATACATATATACATATCTTTTTTTTTTTTTTAGTCATTGCCTTCCATTGTGTTTGCAAGAATGTAATTAACTATGCTGTTTTTTTGAGAGCTGCTCATGAGTCTGAAGTCAACCCCCTCGCACGCTAATACTCTCCCTAATGATAATGTAGGCTGTGTAGCTAAGGCAACAGCACAGTAATTTCCCCTCAGTCCCTCTCAAGCATCAGAAAAGCTTCAGCTGTTTTCAAAAGACCTATTCTTATTACACAATTCCACGTCCGCACTGTGAAGAACTGGCTTCCTCTGAGAATATGGGAATATGAGTAGAGATTTAATGTGAAATGTAGAGTATTATTTCATCGCGGACTCAATCTGCCCTCTGAATCCTCCACTGGTTTGTCTCCCCTGTGATTAAAAGCCTTCATTTGTGGCTTGTTGCTCAGCCTGTGAATTAAGTGGGAAATTATGTGTGAAAATCATCCACAAGCTCGCAGTGATTTACGCGATGTTCGACTGCTAGTACCGGGCTCGGAACATGTGCAGGGCTTAGTAATGCCGGCAGCTCTTTCATGATAACTGTAAATGAGGTTATACAGCAGGGGAGTGTGTGTAAACATGCTGCGACACACACACAGACGTGTTGCTCTGTTTCCAGGACCGTGTTGGTCAGGTAGAATTATTCCCCCTTGAATACATATATTTTATATATAAAATATGCTACACACTATAAAAAAGATTAACTGGGATGTATATGTATTAATTTAACAAAATCTGAACAACAAACAAACTTAGGTGAATATCCATACATTTTCTGAACCGCTTATCCCAAATAGGGTTCAGGTGAATGAAAATAGTTCTTTGTGGTTCATTTAAAATCTTTAAATATAAGTTTTTAGTACCGTTTCATCACAGTTACATTTTTTTCAGATCTTTGTGTTTTTATGTCTGAGTCAGCTTATGGCTGCATATGTATACATATTTTTATGGATATTTATGTGTTTTCCTTCACAGCTGCTGTACGAGGAGTGGGCCAGCTACAGCGTTTTCTACAAGTACCAGCCCATTGGACTCATCAGGTCTGTGCCTGTGGTTAGAAGTCCAGGTCTACTATGATGCTACTCTTTGTTCTGATTTCATTTGTTATGAAGTTATGATGTCATTTGTTGATGACGTGTATCCCAGCAATGTGTTGGCTGATGTCTCCTCCTTCAGGAAGTACTTTGGGGAGAAGGTCGGGCTCTATTTTGCCTGGTTAGGGGTCTATACGCAGATGCTGATTCCTGCTGCCATTGTGGGAGTCATCGTGTTCCTCTATGGCTGCGCCACTGTTGATGATAACATACCTAGGTAACCACACAAATACCTTTTTCATTATCTAAAGATACATTCCTTTCTTTCTCTTTTGGCCTAAACGGAAAGTCTTTCACGTCTCCTCAGACTTTCCTTAGTTTCCGTTGTAGTTATAGTTATAATTATAGATCAGTTATAGTTTCAGCTCTTATAAAGTCAGACAAAAACTTCATCTAAAAATATGTGCGCAAATGCTGTTTAGAAAGTGCCTTACCTTTGGTTTCCCTCATTTTTTCCATGTGGATGAAGTCTTCATAGTTCATGATTGATTTTCTAAAGGCGAGCACAGTCTGTAATTAGACTGCTTTATTGTCTGATACCATGACGACTAGGATGTTTGTGTCCTTCCAAAACAGCTCCACCCGTTCACATGAAATCTTGCAAAAGTTTCATATGACTGTCAACACAAAATCATTTACAAACCAGAACAAGTATTTTTGTGTTGGGCAATGTCACAAAACCACAGCAGTTGTTAGGAAATCCAGATTTTAAACCAATGACTTTATGCACTGTTTGCACTGAGCTGCAACACACTGCACACGAGTTACATTTTCTAAACTGCCAAATACAGCCGGTTTTATCCGGATCTCTACAGTGCATCACAGGCAAAGACACAGGCTAACCTCTATGTCCTTATTTTAGTATAGAATCGGACACCTGTTGGATTTGAAAAACACACAGAACTTAATCCGTTTCCTCATTCTGCTGTATGTACAGTATGTTCAGCTTTTTTTTGCTCATCCAGTAAATCATATTCTTTCTCATTATCTCTCTCTTTTGTTAGCATGGAGATTTGCGATCCCAGGCACAACATCACCATGTGCCCGCTGTGCGACCGGGCCTGTAGTTACTGGAAGCTGGTGACGGCGTGTGGCACGGCCCGAGCCAGCCACCTGTTCGACAACCCCGCCACCGTCTTCTTCTCCATCTTCATGGCCCTCTGGGGTAAGGATGCCCTGTCCAGCATAACACCGAAGACTATTTAACATGGAGAACCTTCCCAAATACTGGATTCACCCCTATCACTCGATCCGTCCCAGTTCACGCAGTTACTTCTAAGCTGTTCCGTACATCTTTGGTACGAGTTTGTTTTCAGATCTAGCGACTACTGCGTGAAATACACAATGCGGATCGGGGAGTTAGGAGAAAGACAGCCTTCTCTGATGTCCTGCCAGACCTTGCTGCCATCTGTTCGCAGCAGCAGGGCTTGGTACCAGAGAAGCATTCTGGGCTCAGATGAAGCCGATGTCTGACCGAGTCACAGCACGTCTGCCACCTGCATTCCTCTGCTGTTGACCTAAGAAGGCAGAAAAGCAAAACACGTCTGCACACCGAGTTTAGCGCCACGCAAATGTTTAATCAAATTTTTTTTCCTCCCAATTTTGAATAGATTCAATTAGTGTTTGTAATCTGGTGCTCTGTTAGCTGGCTGCCATACAAAGCCATCTCAATGGGCTTTTTACAACTTTCTTCACACTTAGTACAGCTAACATAAAGAACTGCATCATGTGAAAATGCCCTAAAAAATACTGAGGAGAAAATCAGTCTCAAATAATGTTCAGATTTTCTAAGAACGTCTATCAGAGAGAACAGGCCCAGAAGTATCTGAGTAGTAGGTGTGAGCCATTCCGATTGTGGAAATGTGAAGGAGTTCTTCTGATCGTTTACATCAGCCAAACATGCAAATGTAAGAGCAAATGTTGCTTTCCATTTACTGCCTGTATCAGAGTGATGGAGTGCAAATGCGGCTACTTTCAGCTTTATTCTTATTTCCCCTTTTATTATTAATATTTGGCATTTCCAGTGTCTAATATCCGAATCACGTTTGGCCTCGTGTAAACAGCTGAAACATCCACACTTCATAAAAAATAAAAAACTGTCATGAAGTCCATGCACAGGCAGCAACTGCTCAAAAAGTCGAGACTAAATAGTTTGTATTCCTTCTGAAAATGCTCAATGTTTATAAGGCTTGTTCTGCTAATATGTGGAGAATGTGCACGGTTGTGAATAATCTGATGGAATCTGGTAACCTCCAATGTTGAGTCCTCATCTGGTTTCATTCATAGAGGGAAGTGAGATGAATGTTGAGTTTTCTTTGTTCTTGATGCAGCTGTTCTCTTTATGGAGCACTGGAAGAGGCGTCAGATGCGGCTCAACTACGCCTGGGACCTGACAGGCTTCGGAGAGGAGGAGGAGGTGAGACAAACCTGCACATCCCTGCAAATCATTACCAGATTTCAGACATTCTCTGAGCTTCTTTCCTTTTTTTTTTTTTTTTTACTTTCTAAAGTTTTTTTTTTAACCTTTCCAAATGTTATTTTTGTGTTTTAATTTATTTATTTTTTCAAATCAGACATTTAGTTAATATTTTATTCTTTAATAACATGATAATTTATGCTGCAATTATACATATAGGATGTGAAAAAGCATATCAGTAGTTTATTTTGGGTAATGAGGTTTTTCTTTAACTCTGTAAATATGGGAAACCATAAAGTCGTATAATGGAATAATATTTGCAGTAACCATTGTGTACATGGAATGGTATAATCGCATGTTGTGCAAAGAAACACATACAGTAGATGTAATTAAGTGCACCTTCCTCTCGATTAATCACAAATCCTGCAGCGTTAATATTTTGCAGAACATACTAACTGGTTTACATATTTGCTAGTTTATATATAATAGTTCTTAATACATTTTTTTCGGATAATGAGCTCCAGCCATGTACTATAAATCCCCACTTTAGTGTGGCAGACTTGGCATGAGGCTGGATCTGGATTAAAGTCTTTACAGTTCCTTTCTTTAGTTTTGTTTTTTAAAAAATTCTTTATAACTTGATAGCCTGCACTGTAAAGTGAATGTAGACAATTTATTGTAAAGGGAAAAAAAGAATGTGTCCTTTGTCCTATATACTCAGGTATACATCCTATTTGCTTCACAGATATATATATATATGTATATATATCTATATACTTTAAATATAAACGTATAAACAAATTTAAATGAATTGGATTTTTTTACATGTGAGATTCAAAGTAAAAATTGGTGTTGGGCATAGATAAAAAAAGCTTGGACAAACTCCTCAGGGTGAGACATATGGCGTCTTTGTCTTGTCACAGAAAGCATCAGTAATACTCTGAAGTTTATTTATCTTAAATTTTAATTTTCTTGTTTGGAAAAGATGCCAGACATTAATTCACCAAGTCAATCTTAAAGCCTAAGACCCTTTAAAACTACACCTTACAAATTTGGCCTTTTGCTAACATCAGGCAGGCATTTTCCTGCCCAATAGTAACAAAATAAAGGCATTAACTGAAATGTACTCAGTTTTTTTAGTTTGAACAACAGATGGAAACTGTCAACAGGTCAGAGGTTAGCAATAGTCATGCAGTACAGCCTTCACGTTGAGGAAAATGTGTGGCATGTTTTCAGCCCTTAGCAGCACGATCGAATAATTGATGTGGATATTGTTCTTGCTCCACTTTCGCAATGTAAGAAGGCTGGCCAACTTAAAAGCCCCGATCACAGTATGAATATGTATGCACCTCCACTGTCTCTGCTGCGTTATGAGTGGTGAGTCAGCCCTTAACAAAGTGATTCCCACACACGCTGTATGTCTAAGAGTCTGCCATCAGCACTGGATGTTCTGCCTTAATCATAATGAAGTAGAACAGTGCAGCCATTTCTATTAAAGTTTTTTAAATGATCTAATTTCTGTAAAAGTGTTAAAGTGACATGCTTTTATCTGAGGCGCTGACCGCACACTGACTTTTTTTCCCCCTCTGTCTCTATGTGTGTGATGTACTTCGCAGGAGGAACACAAGGTTGGATTTTGCTTTGTTTATGTCTCTTAATCTCAAAATGACCTTCTTTTTTGACTCACCGTTTCAGCTCCGAGCTGCGGCCGCCGTTATCTAACACTTCTATCCCTCAACGTGCCTAACAATCTGCCTCAGGTCCTTGTACTTGACATCGTCCTTGCTGCTTTGGTACTGTACGATGTTTTACCCAGAGGCTGCTCTCCGCTCCTCCGGGTTCATCCTGATGCTGTGGTCTCCTGTTAGTCATTTGGCACTAGCCTGACAGCTACCGCTCTCAGGGGACACTTCTCCCTGTTTCTGTTTTTCTTGGCAACACTTCTTGTGTCTATTTATTCTATATTTTACATAATGGAAGATACTCTTTTTTTAAAGAAAAAGAGAAAAAGAGAGAAAAAAAGGGGAAAAAAAGAAAGAAAAAAGAAAGAGAAAAAAAGAAAAAATGTTGGCCTTAAACAAACAGTTGCCTGCGCTTTTCTCTAGTTTACTCTGATCCTGATGGTGTCCAGTTGGTCTTGCTGACAGGTCAAAATGCCACTTTTAATGAAAGGAAAATGTCATTTCCTTATTTTGATGAGTTCCTTCTTCAAAGCTTAAAACCTTTTTCCTTGGAATGCCTCTACATTAGGGTGACACATGCCTCTTCTTGGCCAAAAATGACCCTGCACCCCCTCGCCCAGTTTCCTCTCATCGTGCATCCCCCTCTTACTCGCCAGGGTCCACTGCAGCCGCATTACTGATGCGTTGGCACTCATTCACTTCTGCCTGCAAATTACATCAAAATAACCGCATTCCTCACCCTGAAAGGATTGACAGCAACACTAATCACGCCTACCGTCCTGTGGAGATTGCTTTATGAAATATTTAACAGCACATATTACCAAAACAAATTCGAACACACCAATCACCTTCTCGACTCAATTGAAAAAAAACTGATATCGGCCGTCTCATTTTGGTCTTAATTCCACAGAACATATTTCAGCTGGCGGGTTCACTTCCACTGTTATCTCGGTCAGTTTGTACGAACTGATCTTTAAACCCATTAAGACCTGATGGCACACCAGCGTGTCTGCGCTTGCACTTAGAGGCTGCCTCACATCTAAAGTTCCACTGAAAACGTAACAATGAACACACTTAATAGATAAAGATTTAGTGTCCACAGCTTGATTTTGATGTGTTCCACTTTAGTCCTTTCATGGTGAATAGATGCACTTTTCTCTTTTCTCGCTAACCAAACTTTGCTCAACTCAAACAGTTTTTTATCCTGCAAAACTTCATGCACCCGTCGGACGTTTTGTATCTCTCTCTGTTCTGAGAGCCACTGGTGTTTTGTCTTTTCTCACTCACTGTTCAAACTCGAACAGCCGTGCCTGTGAAAGTGACGAGAAACATTGCTTATTTTTGCAGGATCACAACCGAGCAGAGTATGAGCTCCGGGTCATGCAAAAAACTATGAAGCAGGATCAATCGGCCCCAAAGGTAAGACCGGAGATACCTTTTTAGCTATTTTAATTCATACATGCTCCATCTAGTGACGGGTGACTGTCTCGGAAAATGCTTTCAGAACTTTTTAGAAACAGTTTTTTCCCAACATTTGAGTCAAATCTGATACAAATATAGATATACCCCATATGTGTCTGGCCTAAAACTGGCCAAAGCCCTGCAAACTGGTCTGTGGTGACTGCAAAGCTTCTATATAAATATCAGGAATAAAACCAGGTAAGTGCAGTGTTTTTAATGCCAACCCAGCTTTATAAAATGAATGACGTACAGTATCAAAGGCTGAACTGAGGTCTGAAGGAATTAACACTGCACTCTCTCCTTGGCCCCTTTCTAACAGGAGGTTGTTGGTTACATTAGCAGAGATGCTTCTGAGCTTAGTGAAGCTCTGAAACCTGGTTTAAAGTTCTCAAAGAGGTGGCTTGGAGACATAAAAGCTCAAAAATAGAAGCTTAGAAACTGACCAAAAAAAAAAATATATATATATATATATATATATATATAGTGTTTATTAACAATCAATCAAATATTGGGTCCATTTGTGTCTAAAAGATCTTTAAAATGTCTAGAAGACGTGACATCAAGGATTGATTTAATCTGAGACATGATTTCAGTTAAAAACCTTTTTAAAAAAATCCCAACAAGACGTGTGACAGCCCTGTGTGCCAGCATGAAGGCGAGTCCAGGAGTTAGCATCCAGAAACAAAGAACTAGATTTCCATCTAAAAAACTATTTTATATGTTAGTATCACAAAAAAGACACATGGAACTTAAAAGGTTTGTGCCAGCTAAAGCATCCACACCCACTGTAGAAGAAGTTATTCCATTTACCACTTAGAAAACCGATGAACTCTACTATGAAAATTCATTAATTAAACTCTTCTAAGCCGACAGCCACAGCAAAACACAAGTCCTCCAGAAACTGAAAGCACTCAGGACACCAAGAGGACGCGGGTTTAAGGACAGATTCATCATCATGATGCTGATGAGATGCAGAGACCTGTTTTCATAAGCAAAGGGTTCCGAGCCCCTTCCAACAAGTGTTAGCATATGGTTGTTAATTGTTAAGGCTGTTTTTACATCATTTAAGCACATGTAGCTCCGGTAGCCAGGAAACTCCTTTTATTTTTTTATTTTTGCAGAATGTGCACGGTTGGTTTGTATCTGTCGGGCCTGAGCGTGCTGACCTTGTTTTCTGTTGACATGGACGTGGCGTGATAGCTCGGGGAGGAATTAGCTGTGCTCCGCTGGAGCTTTGGTGACTGTACGCTTATGCTGTGTGATGCGTGCAGCTGTGCACGGGGACATAAAGGCGCCATAGACATAAAACTGTGGGATGAGAAGAGCTCGAGTCCGATCTGGTCTATCACACGGCTGAGGATGTTTTAAATATGCTAATTTCTAAATGTCTTTGTGCAAAACTACCCGCTGTGAAGCATTTTTCAGGCCTACTCTGTCTTACAGTGTAGCTTATATTCACTTTGGTCGTGACTTAACTTGCATTGCTCCTGTTCCCTTTACCTATCACGTTGTTTTGTTCATTTTTCTTATTGTGATATTGTTGTTGAAACTTAATTGCTGCATTTTTTTTGGTCACCTTTAGGAAGAGAAGGTGAAGCTGACGTGTACAGACAGACTGCCGGCTTACCTAACCACTGTGGTGATGATGGGCTTCATGGTGAGTTTCCACATAATCTTCCCCGAAAAAGAGCATAACCACCAAGAGCCACTCCCAAATTCACACAACAAAATACTATTTCTTGAATGACAGTAAGATTAGAAAATGAAAACCAAATGGATTAAAAGCACAGAAACCTGTTGTAAGGGCTTTCTTACTAATAGCTATTGCAATTGATTTAGCTATTAATAAATAGTATTTTGGCGAATGAATTGCAGACACTAAAAGCCTCACCAATCTATAAAAACATAGCAGAAGTGTCTCCCTTTTAGCAAGGTATGGCCCTCCCTCCCTGGTTCATCTCTCAACATTACCATGGGCATATTAGATGGAATGCCGTTTGGCAGCAACTTCAACTGCTGTCTCATTATTGTGGTTTGTGTGTGTCAGATAAGAGCTGAACCTGCCAGACACTTTTGCAAGTAAAGTTGATGACAGAGGAAAGATTTAGCTCACTATGTCGTAGTAATATCAGGAAAAATTCTCAGTTAACCATAATGCATTCACTTCAAAAGCTAAGATTTCATGTTAAATAGCATATTTTGTTCTTACGCCACATTATAACTACTAAATCATTGTTTTCTCATGTTCCAGCACCCCTGATTCAGATTAATATGTCGTTATCAGACTCCTGCAGAGGTGATTACCTGATCCTTTCATCTGAATCAGGGGTGCTGGAGCTGGGACATTAGGGTTGATGAACACTGTCCTATAGACAGTCCTAGATATAGATGAGTAATCACAAAGAGATAAATGCAACTAGAAATATGAAAATGATTTAACCTTTTTCTGGATATTTTGCATGTAACAACAGTCTATAAAGAGAATTTTCTGGATAGAAATACTCACGTGCAGTGACTTGGATTTAACTTATGACCTGATCAGGTTCAAACCCACAGTTTGACCCCATATTAATGCCAATGTTATACAGCAGTTATTGCTTCCATACGCAAATATGAAACAATTTGGTAACTGCCAGGATGCATGTGAAAGCCTGATGAAGCTGCCACATTCCACCACCCGATGGAACAACCCCACGCTCTCCTTTCCTCCAGGTGACGGTGACGTTCGTCATCGTCTTCGGCGTCATCCTGTATAGGATCAGCATCAAGGCCGCGCTGCACATAAGCAGCTACCCCACGGCGCGCTCCAACATCCGAGCCACCGTCAAAGGCACCGCCGCCGTCATAAACCTCATCATCATCATCATCCTGGACGAGATCTACGCCGCCATCGCCCGCTGGCTCACCACACTGGGTAAGGCAACGGGAGGTGGCAACCAGCCCCCCCAACTGTGACGAGAAAAGACTTACTACTAGCTTCCTGTTCCATTTTAGCCCAGCACACATTTAAATGGATTGGAACTTCCTGGAACCTTCATGGCCTCATGTGCTTGATGATGAGTAAATAAAAGTACACTGGTTCACTTGTGCGCTAGCAAGTCACAAATTGTGTTGTTTTTCAGAGGTGCCAAAGACAGACAAAAGTTTTGAAGAGCGTCTCATTTTCAAAACTTTCATCCTGAAGTTCGTCAATGCCTTCACGCCAATTGTCTACTTGGCTTTTTTCAGGGGCAGGTAAAGCAACAACCTCATACGTTTTTTTGTTTTTTTTATCTTACCACATTCAAACCAAACCTCATGGTGGTGTTGAGTCTTTCTCTCAGATGTATCATCAGTTTGATCTAAAATTGCTCATCTTATATCTGGCAGGTTTAACTGAATGTACTCATACCTGTACATTTCCTCCTCTTGCTAAAAGCATGCAATTGCCATATGTTACAGGCTTGTTGGAAGACCTGGAAACTACTTGTATGTCGTTGGCTCCTACAGAATGGAAGAGGTAATTCTTTTAGTTTAAATACATTTTTCAGTAAACAAAGGAATAATGATGAAATTAATACTACACCCAAAAGAAAAAGACCTGTGTCATCCCTGTTTCATAAAATAAGTTAAATCAAACAGATTGATAGAATTAATGTGATACAAAGACACAGAATTCAAAGACAATTTTTTAATGGACAGATTTTCTTTATGTCAGGGTTTTGTTTCCTCATTCCTCTTTATTTGTCTCACCTCATTTTTAAATGAGAGGATAGAATTATGTGATAGGTTCAAAGCCCAATAAAAGCTCCAACTAAAGGTCCTCTAGGACCAGTTGGTTGCAGAGAAGTCACACTGTCAGACCACAGAGTTAGGGGTCTTGTTTTTTGGTTTGTTTTGAAATCACTTTAACACAGAGTAATGATGAGATCACTTAAAATTTTCATGATACAAAGAATCAGTTTCTTTTAATGACTAAATCTATATGATTTAGGTATCTTATGATTTATGTCACAGACTGTTTAAAAGTTTGACTGTTTGTCTATATGACATAGTCTGTCTTACATGTCGTAGACAGTCATATTTTTGGGATGAAATTAGTCAATATATCCAGTAAATGTCAAATGCACATATATATATATAACTTTTGAAATAACTATTTTCTGTTAAACTCAGCCCTGGTCGGCTTTCACCACTTACTGTTACTCTAAGACTTACTCCTATAGCTGCCCCTGTCTTCTCTGCTGCAGCATTATTGCCCTGCCCTCCTACATGTGTGTTCTCTCCTCCCTCCAGTGTGCCCATGCAGGCTGCCTAATGGAGCTGTGCATCCAGTTGTGCATCACCATGCTCGGCAAGCAGCTGATCCAGAACAACCTGTTTGAAATTGGCATTCCGTGAGTACGAACCAGAGGACGTTAGCAAACTACACACAAACTACACATAAAGCCGAGGCACACGGATGACGATGTGAGCAGCACACCCTCATAGGTCACAGTACGTGGGTTTAGTAAGTCACATCGTGCACACCCACTCAGCTGAACTTGCATATGAGAAAGAAGGGTTTCAAAACCCTGTCTGGTTTTCACAGCACACTTACCTGGTAAACCAGACAGCACTTTGCTGAACTATTACCGTCTGCAATTTTCTCTGACATCCACACGGTGAGCGCAGTATGGGGGATGCGGTGTATGGGTGGTCCGGCTCTTCATCACATTCCATCCCAGATGCAGAGTGGTGACGCATACAAAAATAAGAGCTCAGAACTAGCAGATATTCCAGATGAATGTACTTATTATGGCTTTGGTTTCAATAAAAAAACATGTTAGAGGAGATCAAATCTTTAAAGAAATCGAGAAATTGCATGAATAAATTAACTCCCTCATACGTTTAAGTAGCTTTTTTAAGCTTACACATTCTTTTCCGTTGGATCTCTAAATAGGCATGTAAATTTGATTGTCAAATTAGTTAACAGTCTCCCTGATTTTTAAATAATGAATTCCTTCTGTTCTTGGTGTGGCATTTTCACCAGAATGAGATGAAATCCTACTCTGATGCATGTCCTGTTAATGCTCACTGGCACAACTTGTGGTCTAAAATGTTCAGTAGGGAGCACTACAGTTCATTACCAAGTATTACACTTCATAAAGAACTCAACAGGCACAAGTGACCGTGTGAATGATCCAGCCCACCATATTTAGGACCCATTTGTTCACCAGGGACTGATGCTTAAAGTGATCCCACTTTGTGATTTGTGATCTACACACGAACTACCAACTTTCACTAATAAATTATCCATTTTTGCAAAGCTGAGAGTATTTGTGTTGGTGTGTGCAGGAAGCTTAAAAAACTGCTCGCAAAGAGAAAGTCAGAGCTGGAAGAGGAGGAGCTGAGCAAGACTCTCCAGCGTCATGAGAAAGACCACTTCTTGTGTCCTTTTGCTGGCATCAACTCTGAGTACATGGAGATGAGTAAGTAAAAAAAGTGTTTGCTTGTTTTTCCTGAGCGTGTCTGATCCTTCAGAGCAGCTTATATATTAATAATAAGGTTAATGTCAAAAAGTATAAAGGGTGTAAGCACCTTGATCAGATTTTTTTCAATTAAATTTTAATTCAATTCTTAAATTGTTATAATCATGTTGGATCCTTTCATGTACTGGCATATTCATCTAAATAAGAAAATACAAAAACCTTGACCTATGATCCATTAAAAATTCAATTTCTCGTCCTGCAAAATCCAAATCATGTGGAACCTCTAGCCAGATAGTTCTTGATTTGTTCGAGAGGGTTATTTACATCTGTGTGTGATGGGTAAAGCAGAGTGGGTGGAGGTGTTCTCAATGCTGTTGTAGCCCTTGATCCATATGTTCTATATAAGGAGAGGAGATCATAGATTATTGTGTAACGACGCTTCCAAACACAGTAAGGTATGAGCTGAGCTGCTTTCTGAAAACACCGGTGTTCTGTCATGGCCCTTATCAGATACTTCAGATGGGCTCTGTAAACCTGGATTACATGTATTTAGTTCTACATACGTTCGATCACTTCTTTAATCAGTTCTTGCAGCCAGATCTTCATTTGCTTTACGTGATTGTTTATTTATCACCTCTCGTCCATTAACACCTGGAATAGGCTTCAGCCCTAAGCGGTGCAGAAAATGGATGCATGGATGGAATTCTTTTGTCATCAACTGCCAAAGATTTCTATTACTGGCAGATAGTTTCCAAAATGAGCTGGCAAATCAAATCTTACATCTTCACAGAAACGATTTAATGGCCTATACAGTGAAGCAATTTCTGAAAAAAGGGGACGCTTCCTCCTGTGCATGTCCACCAAATTTATTGCCGTCTGCTTTTCCTGCTCTAGGCCAGTTTTAAATCTACTTTTTCTGCAGTGTTACAGTCTGCAGTGACGTAGCCTCTGGTGTTGTTAGTTTTCATGTTTCAGTCAGAGGGAACATGTTTGAATCCGTGCAGATCACTCCATGTTTGCTAAATAAATGCCCAGCTTAAACCTGCCATTATAGACACACCCTCATAAAAAATGTTTAACATTTGATGGTACATCACTTCATAAGTGTGCATAGGTTTGCTTCCATGATATTTGAACATATTCTGTACATAATGCGGTTGTGTGACTAGCCATAGATTCCTGTTGATTCAGATGAGAATCGGATAAATGAAAGGATAGATTCATTCAAATAGGATAAATGATAATTTATTTAAACAAGTCCATGATGTTATACATGCCCTTGTGAATTTTCATTAAATAAGACAATCAAATTCAGAAACAAAAACCTAACCTGAGTTATGCATTTATTATTTTATATTATTTTAACCCATAAGAACCCAGACTGACACAAGAGTAAGAAAAACATGGATTTATTCCAAAATGCCAAATGGAGCATATGGAAATCACAGATCTTTGACATTTGATGGTGATACCTCATTGAAAAAAAATAAACATTATAAATGCAATTTATTTGTTGAGCTTTTCATTTCCTGTCATTTCTCTTTAAGGAAAAACTGGTCTGGGCTCTTATGGGTTCATGTAAGGAGTGTTCTAATCATGTAATGATCATTACTTTTGTGAAATAATTCAAATATGGATCACTTCATGCATGACGTTTTTTTTTGTTTTTTTTTTGCTGCTGCTAATGTAACAAAGTGTAACACAGAAAACGGAAGCACAGCAGTGAGTTATTTTCCTCCAGCACATAACAAATCCCTTTGAGTTCCTTTGTAAATCCAGTTAGGTGTGGCCGTGTATTGGATCCTAAACACTGAGCTGCACAGTCGTTTTGTGCTTGGGAGACAGCACTTAATGTGTTGTGTTATTGATCAGTCCAGCTTTTAAAGTAATGAGTATTGACTGAAACTTTCCCCATTTTTTTCAGTCAATAACTGGAAGAAAGACTGTCAGCATGTACAGTGTGTAGATTACATTTACAAAGACTTTGAGGGTTTTGTTATTTCTTATTAATGCCAGATTTTTCAGATAAATAACCACCAGCGCTACTCTGCAGGCTAACTGTGGTTTATAAATGTGGTTTAGACTTAAGCTAAGTTAGAAAACATACTCTACTCTGTTAGATGTTATTCAGAAAAGACTTCAAAAATTCAAATTGTTAAAATAATTCTGTGTATTTGTCTCATGAACTATAACTAAATGAAGGACGCTTATGAAAATCCCAAAAAGTAACAGCCTGGGGCCAGTTGCCTGTGGGTCACAGGGCTGTTCCAGCTCTTTTGAGCCAGAGAAAAGTCAGCTGGGTTTCTGATCTCCCTGATTTATGTCCAGGATTTACATACATATGAAGCCAGTAGCCTCTTGATCCATCCAGGGCCTCTGATGGATGCCCGACTGCAGCATTTACTATGTCTTCCTGTCATTTTTCTAATGAACTGCTCGTCTCTCACCAGTTATCCAGTTTGGGATGGTGACTCTTTTCGTGGCTTCCTTTCCTCTGGCTCCGCTCTTCGCTCTTCTGAACAACATCATCGAAATCCGGCTCGATGCCAAGAAGTTCGTCATGGAGCTGCGCAGACCCATCGCGGCCAAAGCCAAAGACATCGGTACGTTTACCCACAATGCAGAGAGATGGAGATTGTCTCCCGGAAAATTCAGTCGGCATTCGTCTCGTGGTGTGTAGTTTGGGACGAACAAACGGATTTAGGACGTTGCATTTGGGAAAATATGCAGGTTTCTATGTGTTGTCTTCTCAGTTGTAGGATAACTCATATTTTAACAGCTCGGTGAGAACCGTCCACAGGGACTGTGCTGGTTCCTCCTCTATGTCGGGCTGCCACTACCTCTAAAGAGGGTCGCGGCTCTAACCTGCAGATATTTGGATTCAGAGTTTGAAAATGAATGTGATTCATCTGCTGGTTTACCGCTCTGAACACGCCGTCTGTTTTTACACTGAGCAGGCCTCCCCTTGGCGCTGCATTACACCATCGAAATCCTGTCTCAAAAGAGCACACTCTCCTCACATGGAGAGAGTGACATTGCCCTCTAGTGATGGAGCTTACTACTTATCTTTTTGTGGTATTTGCTCACTGGAATTGCTGACTCAGACTGACCGACAGTTTGTTCTGATCCTCAGGTATCTGGTACAACCTCTTGAGGGGCCTGAGCAAAGTAGCAGTCATCGTAAATGTAAGTTTACCTTCCCGGTCTTCAAAGGTGGATTCTCAGAACCAGTCAAGAAAAAAGCTAATCATTTTTACTAATCACAGAAGAAGAAGAGTTCACTATACATCAGCAGCAATAAGCCTAGAAGTCTTATTTTTCTCTGTGGCATTTTCCCCAGACATTTTCAGCCAAGGAAATGTGTAAGCATTTGATAGCCCCCATCACCAAGCTTATTGGAGAGTAATGTCCACATGTAGATGGGTCCTGAGTTTTAGCCCAGGTTAGGCCCGGTCTGAACAGCGTTAAGGCAGGAACTTAACAGCCATTTATAGTTCACCTCTGGTATTGATTCTTTATACCGAAAATATGTCCTCATTCTGGTATTTTTAAGGTATAATTGCTGGAGCTCGGACACACTTTAAAGACATTGATTGCATGAATTGTAGGCTTTTTATTGATTAATTGCAAGCTTATCAAATAGATATTTCAAAAACATATTTTAACAAGGAGGCCTACTGGTCTTTTTATTTTATACGTCCTGTTTATCAAGAATACTTAAATATCTGCATGTAATTGATGCGTGTAAATGTCATTTCAACCATTTCAAGAAAGAATAGTCTCAAGAGATCATATTCCGGCTGTTTTGTAAACTAAAACAGGTGGCTTCAGATGCATTAGCTCCACCGACGGGGTCTGCATCAGTGTTAGTGTAGATAATCTATTTGTTTACGCATTCATGAGTGGAAAAATAACCCGTTTAAGTCCCAACTACTTCTTCCAGTTGCTCCACTACCCACTGGCCCTGCTTTGAGGGGCCCCTCAAAGACACAGTCATAGGGTTACTCAGTCCATAAAGAGTGTAAACTGATGAGCTGATGTCCTCCCCAGGCCTTCGTCATCGCCTTCACCTCCGACTTCATCCCTCGGCTGGTCTACCAGTACACCTACAGTCCCGACGGCACGCTGCACGGCTTCGTCAACCACACTCTGTCATACTTCAACGTCAGCGATTTTGAGCCAATGACGGATCCTCTGGAGCCCATGCACCTGGGCCACGAGGTTATAATCTGCAGGTTAGGACCTCCTTACTGAGTTTTCCTGAAGCATGTTGGTCTTCAGGGAGCCATGACGCCTTTCGTTCATGTCAACCTCTGAACATATTACAGTGAATAATCTGATTCTGCTTCTAGATATAAGGACTACAGAGAGCCTCCTTGGTCCAGCACGCCTTACGAGCTATCCAAGGAATTCTGGGCCATTCTAGCTGTCCGCCTGGGATTCGTTATCGTTTTTCAGGTTTGAAAAAACACACAAATGTCATTTTTGAAGGGCTTGTGTTATCATTTTTGAAGGGCTTGTGGTGTGCCTGTTTGGAAAACAGTCAAGTTTTTTAAAGTAGACTCAATCGTATTCACTTTGCTTCAAAAAGCTGCTGTGTCACTGTCTCTTTTTTCTGTTATTTTGTATTCAGAATGTGGCAATATGTGAAAACAGTTATCGGAGCTCCTCGCAATGATTTATGTATTAAGATTATTTGACTTATTTGACAAATTTAAAGAGAATTTTAACTGTTTTCCATCAAATTAAATTCAGTTGTATTTATATCGCACCTTGCTCAACTGTTTGGTAGAGCACATTTTCCATTGGTTATTCTCTGTTATGGGATATACTACACTTAACTAAACCAGCTGTAAAACTGAGTTTAGGATGTGATGCCTACGTAAAGCACAGGCTCTTGCATTTCTGTTTAAAAATGTCACAGTTTTACTAGAAACCGTCACCACAAAAAATACATTGATTATGGTTTTTAATGCACCAAAGAAACTTCATTTTTTCCAAGAGTGGATGTAGTAGTAGTGGTAGTAGCTTTTTATTTTTAAAAAATAAATTTATTCCCAGTATAGGCAGTTTTTGTGTAGTAGTAGTATACATTCACACATACAAACACAAGAAACACATAAAATATTTTTAAAATGAAAAAAGATAAAAAAGTAAGGTGAATAGATGAATAAATATGTGCAGTGCAGAGGATGAATAAAGTGAAGGGCTATATGTATGCAACGTATGACTATCTGCTTTTCCTGGTGAAGTTTAGCAGCTGAAGAGCAGAGGGAAGAAAGGAGTGTTTGCATCATCTGTGGATGGTTAAAGTTAAACTAGAGTCTGCTGTTTGAACTCTAAAATGAGATTTATTGACTATGGGACTCTTCTGCTGCGTGTAGTTAAAGTTTTAACGGTTTCTGCAGAATATTAGAATATTATTCTGTTGTAGAATGTCCAGGTACTGTTCGGAAAAAGGCTTTTTCCATTGATAGAGCTCCTCTTTAACTCTGCCCCCACAGAACGTGGTGATGCTCATGAGTGACTTTGTGGACTGGCTGATACCCGACATCCCCAAGGACATCAGCCTCCAGATTCACAAAGAGAAGATCCTGATGGTGGAGCTCTTTATGAAGGAGGAGCAGGGTAAACGGATAGCGGCGCGGGACCACCACAGCCCGGACAACTTCAACAGCCCCTCATCAGCCCCCGATTCGCATCCATATCCGCCACAGCCCCGCTCCCGCCCCGTCAACCACGCCAGAGCGGGCTGGTGAAAAAAAGGCGAACAGCCTCAGCAGTGACAGATGGTCAGTTTTTCATCTTTAGCTAACCTTTTATTGTGTTTTTACAATCATTTTTCAGGACTTTTGACATAATCATACGAGAGTTTTTTTTTCCTCTTATCCTAACTACATTTTTTTTTTCTCTGCACATGGACAGTTCCCTGATGTATGATAATAATCCCTCATAGTTTCTGATTTGGTGTATTTGAAAGAACAAAAGCCATGAGCTTCATAGGAGTTCAAACTCACCTGAGGAAGGAGGGTCAGATCCGTCCGCATCGTCACATTTTTAATACAGCTTTTTTTTTTTTTAAGCACACCTTCACAAATCCGTCCAAACGCTTCTCCTCGGACTACTTTTACTGTTGAGATCCAACACAAGGAGAGATTTCCTGACATCTGTGTTTTTAGCTTTGATAGTCTTTTTTTAATTTTTGCACAGTTATGTATATTTGTGGGAATTGTTGGTGTTTTTATATATAATATCTAACGTGGCCTGTTACACATGCTTAGTTTGTGGGGAAAAATGGCAGGTTTTGGAAGACTCCTGTTGACTGGTACAATGAACACTATATCGATCTTTGTCCTAATTAGTACCTTTTGGATATAATCAAATAGCCTGACAATGCTTAGTAGTGTCATTTCTGGAAGCACATGTCACTGTATTAACTCTAATTAACTGGAACCCGTATAGCTGCAGCAAACAAGATTTAAGTTTCAAGTATTATCATATGGTGTCATGTTCCACCTCAGCGTGCTGAGATGATGTATATACCTTGATTCCCTTTTTATTAAAATCACTTAGAAATCAGAAAATGAGACACTGAAAAATGCTATTTAGTGTTCAAAAGATTCATCCCCTTTTTACATTACCGTTTGGAAAAGTGGACAAGCCAGTTTTCGAAAAACATATATACATATTCCACTCATCTAAACAAGATGGACTCTCCAGGAGCAACTCAGAGCTGGACTTCTGACTCAGTAAAGAAACAGCCGCCATTGATCTGGTTCTCTCATCTGAATGTGTTGAACAGCTCGTTTTGGACTTTATGTAACGACAGTTTGATGGATGAACATTTGGAATTATCTGGAAACAGATTAAAGTGGTATAGGAGGTGGATGGATGGATGGAGGGATGGATGGATGGATAGTTTGAGATGGAGAATATTTAACTCAGGAACAACTGTTTCTGCTAGAGGGAAAGAAATACAGCAAGCAGCCAGGTTAAATACTAATCTTCGCTTTGTCCTTAGGATTTTTGACCGATCAGTTATCTCCTCTTCTTCCATCTTTTTTAATGTTTTGTCTTCATGATCTCAAACTGGCTCCATTTGATCACCAGTATATATAATTATATGTAGACTAGACCACCACACAACCTAGTTTTTCAAATAAATGCACTAAGTCTACTCTGATTTTATTTTTTAAACACTTCAGCGTTTAGCTCAATTCCTGCTTGTCAACTTTATAAAAATCCTGTTACTATATATACAGTTTATTTTGAAAATCTTGCTGAACATGACAAGGTATAAACTCTAAAAGTCACTGTTTTTTGAGAATGTATGAGCATCATGCTTTCAGTGGGCTGCCTCTTGTGATGTAAAATGATGCCATTCATTCACACGAACATACTCATTTTTCCACCTCTTGTTATTATCATTATGTCCTAGCTGACATAGATTTTTGTTTAGTTTGGTTTCCTGGAACGGAGGTAATCTATGAAATGATTGCCTGATGCCGCAATAAAGAGCCCGGTAGAACTTAAATTCAGCTCAGCTTTACAGGTCATTCCATGGTGATCACATGTCGTGGTGTGTTCAGGGTCAGCCACAAGTTACAGTGACTGGGACACATGAATCTTGCCTCTCATTCCCAGTTTCTAATTTGAATGGACTATAAAGTGGTTCGAGTAAGAATTTCTTGGGTGTTTTGAAGCGTTGCAACGACATCTAAATATATTTTGTATATTTTATGTGTAAAGAGCGTTGATTGTTCAACCTTTTCAGTCTGAATGGCCATTATACTGGTTTAGATGAACACAAGCAGGCTCGTGGATACTGTTACAACCTTACTCTGAAAAGCACAGTATGTTAGTGAACCAACATATCCGACTCTCAGCCTTACAGCCCCCTGCTGTGCCCGGGGACCACACCTCCATGATCAGTTCACGACCTTGTAAAAGGGTCCATTAGAAGCTGTTCCCACAAAGAAACACCAGTGTTTCCTGGCAAAGCAGTTCTTTTTCAGTAGTATGTTGCCTTACATTTCCTTGTAAATCACAGAGAAACATTCTTTTGCTATTCCATCCTTAAAGACTGAATTATATTTGCTTTTTCGTATTTTAAAAACTGCAGGTATGTGGGAATGACTGGATATCATACTTGAGAATCCAACTGTAATATAGACAGAAATGTACAGTGTCAGAGCGCCCCCTGCTGATGGATTCATCAGCCCCACTTAAAAGCCATGGGCTCATACTGACAGAATGTATCTAGTTTTGTTCCTTTCTGGTAATGTGCTGTTACTCTGAGGGCAAAATGTTGACATGTTTTCATACTTAAGTGTTGCTGCATCGTTCATATCATCATAATAATTGGACTTAAACAGTCCACAAGGGACCAGTTATGTGCCAGCCAGGGACTTTTTCAAAGACTGCAACCTATCATTTTGTATAACAAATGTTTTAAATCAGACTTTTCTCTTTTAAAATGTTGCATCCTTCTAGGTTGTGACGGAATAAGAAATGCACCTTTTATGAAAATGATCTTTTTGTTAGTACTGAATGTGTATGTGAGTTAGGGCTGATAAAGTTTTGATTATCCTGCAGGGTCTCCGAAAAAATACACAACTCTTTTATAACCTGCTGTTATATGTGAAGACCTTGTCTTTTACCATATTGTATTTTCAGCATCACTGATACTTGTGACATGCATCAATTATAATATTTGTCAAAACACATTTCAGTGTATCTGCATGTTTAATCTGTAAGACTGTTTTCTGACATGTTGTCTTTTCTATGTTCTGATGGAATCTGAAAATAAACCACAGGTGAAATATCTGGAGTGGAATTATGTTTGACAGTTTCTTGCCTCTCAGTTTGTTTTGTTTTTTTTTCTTTTGTTTTTCTGCCACTTTAAATAATTCTATGTATTTTTAGGGAATTTAAACAGTCAGATTTTAAATGTCAAACAACGGTGACTATATTTTTGACAAATATTTTTTAATGAAAATGCAGGTTATGCAGACGATTTCTCCCTGTTTCCAAACAAAACCATTGTTTCACTATTTGAAAACATCGAATGCACATGCGTCTTTACGACGATTGCGCAAATCTACAGAAACGGTGTCCATCGACGAGAAGTTCATAACTGCAAAACTGTAAAGATATTCTACAATAATTGTCTATTTTCTCCAGTTCAGTTAGTTTATTCTAGATTAAACTTGGAATGAATCTGGTCTGTTGTAAAGCTGTGACTTTTTCTTTTTAAATAAAAATTATGAAGATAAACAGTGTTTGTGTTGCTTTGTGCTGTCTAACAATAAACAAAATGATTTTTTTCGTGTCACATGCATTTTCAGTATTTGTTTTTCTAAGTGGACCATACATCCACCGGCCTGCCAGAATTAGATTCCCCAACCATAGACATGTATACATATGTATATATGTCTATGTTTTTAATGTCCTCTTAAAATCTAAAGCACATATCTCAAACTCAAGGCCCTTCTATTCAATAAGGCAAGGCAAGTTTGTTTGTATAGCACATTTCGTGTACAAGACTATTCAAAGTGCTTCACAGAGAATTTAAAAGCAGATATATAAGAAAAGAAAAATAATAAAAATTAGACAGATGAAAAATGAAAGGTGCAGATAAAATACATTCAATTTCCATAGGCAGTTAAACAGAAGCGTTTTCAGCCTGGATTGAAACATTGCCAGAGTTAAAGCCTGTTTCACATCTTCAGGAAGACTTTTCCCGATTTTAGGAGCATGGAACTGAAATGAAGCATAGCCTATAAAAATTTTTTTAAAAAGCCTCCCGAAAGATTGCGAAATTGTATGTGACCTACTGGGGGAATTCCAAGTAGCTGGTTAAGAGACAAACATGATTAAGTTGACCTGGAGGCAGTGGGGAACCTGTTGATGGAAGAGTTTGATGCTTCAAGTTGATACTTCTGGGCTGTTCCATCATAAGGTTTACCACTAGGCTTAACTTGCCCCTATGGCCTTTTGAGATGCCTTATTTGTGTTTTGTTTTCTGTTTTTTGTAAACTGTATGGCCTTTCTCACGTTTGAAATAATATAAACAATATCTATCAAACTTTTGACTGCCTTTTTTTAATATACACAGTACTTGTACTTTTACTTATACCTGTACTTTTAATACTTGAGTAGACATTTTAAATACTTCTATTTGCAATACTTAAGTTTAAAAAATGGAGTACTTTGTACTTCCACTTAAGTATAGTGTTGAAAGAACACATCAACTTTAACTCAAGTCAACTTTTTTATATAGTACACGAACTTTCTACTCCACTCCTCTTCTCCAGTACTTTATACATCTCTGTGTGCAATTGAGTTTGACACCCCTGATTTAAAGTGTGTAACTACTTCTGACGATGCTTTTCTTTTCCAGAGGGGTGAACAGAGTCAGACCCCCCTTTTACGGGAACGCGGAGAGCGAACAGCTGACTGGAGGAAACAGCCTCGCGCGCGGAAAGGCGGAAGTGAAAGTAAAAGTCGAGGGTTTTTCCTTCATGAGGCTGACTTTTGGCGTTTCGGGAGGGGGACGTTTTGGCGTGTTCGGGAAGCCATGAGCGACCTTCGGTTCAACGCCCTCCTCCTGTACATCTCCGACCAGCTGACCGCCGACCAGCTGGTCAAGCTCAAGTTCCTGGTGGGGGACGTGGTCGGGAAACGGGAGCAGGAAAAGGTCCAGACCGGGCACCGGCTGTTCCAGCTCCTGTCGGAGAGGGGCCGGCTCTCGGCCGGGAACACGGCCTACCTGGCCGACCTGCTCCGGCAAGTTCAGCGACACGACCTCGCGGAGAAATTGGAGGCCGGCGACAGCCGGGCCGAGCCCGTCCAAGATGAGCTGGACGACGCGGAGAAAGGTAACGCCGCGTCCGTGAAGGCAACACCGGGCTCTGGGGGGGTGGGGGGGGGTCTAAAACTGTGGCTCCAACTCAGGGGTGTCAAACCCTGGCCCGCGTTGTACTTATAGTTTTCTCGCGAGACAATACCAAATGACTACGAGAGCTGGCCCCCGGTATTATACTGTACAGCGCATTAACCGCTCATACTACAAATCCCATAATGCCCTGCTGTGACAGTCGGTATACACTACAACTGTCACTGTGCTACCCCTTCCCAAAAACGACGAAAAGAAAGGCAGAAAACACGAGCTTTCTGGACAAGCAAATTTTATTTTGATAATTAATTCAGAAAGCTGCAAATAGAAAAATGTTTTTAAATCTTATTTCATAAATGAATGCCATTGATGTGTGTTTTTTTATTTGAAATTTGATTTTGCATGTCTCCACTATTATATAATGTAAAAAAAATTGATTGATCGACTGTAAATCCGTCTGTTTTAGGAGGGAGAACTCTTCCAATTCCCACTAATGTCCTGTTCCCTCTGTTTTTAGATGGATCTGAGCTTCATACATTTATTAAATTCATACTTTTATATTTGTCAATCATTTTTTTCTGATGTTGTGCCCTCTTTTGTCCTAAAATGCGCATTATAGCAAAAAGGATGTCCTGATTTTATGATCAAATGTTGTTCCTTCTCCGATAAGAAGGAAGGCAGGTTCACACATCTGCTACATACACTGATTTGTTATCTTATAGAGTATAAATCTTTAAAAATCCTCCATCTAATCCTAGTATGTTTATTCATTATTGGTTCATCCTAATATGTTTATTAGGATTAGCAGGGGAAACACACCCCCATTTCCACGGGTGCTTCAGGTCTGGAGGTCAGTGACCTCCCTGCGTATGAGCCTCCCAGTATGAATTTGATGGAGTTCTGAATCTAATGTCCATCTCAACTCAGTGGGGATGGTATCTGAATGTGAACTATCACTCCCCAGAAAGTATCCCCCCTGGTTTGACGGGCCAAAAGAATCTGTTCAATCCCCGTTCAACATGAGTCTGACAACTATGTAAATTGGCTAAATAACTTTAAACTTTAATACACGCTCTGATAGGCCGGTACATTTCCTTTGAGTCTTTATTTAATTGTCTAAAATCATCCGGCTACTTGGTTTAACACTTGGAGATTCCACAGCACAGGCCTCCGAGTCTGAGTCTGTGATTGGCTGGAGTTTGTGCAGGTGGTTGCCGGTTGGAGCAGCGAGCCTTGGAAAGTGCCATAGGTCATCATGCGTTTTCCATGCAGAGCATGCCAGAAAATTGTACATTTTAGGGACAAGCAGGTGCTAAAAGGTCAGATTTTTTTCAATCTATTAAGCCTAAACTCACCAGCATCAACCCAGATTTCAAATGACTTCTCTAAAATCCATTCATGGATGTTCAGCGTTGGGTTTTGGGTTTTGTGTCTCCCCATTGATTTAGGACATCTACTTCTGTGGCTCTGATAAAACTACATTGTCTTGTTTCCATCTGGAAAAGTGTCTAATATTTCCTGGAGGTTGGACCACTAATCCCTGAAAACTATTAGATTTTTTAACCGTGGCAAATTCAGGTCATACGTGCATATCTTTACACATTCTTAAAATCGTATTCATTTGTTTTTATGAATGGATTTTTATCTTTTTAATTTTCATTTTGTCCACGTAAATGTATCTCTCCCTCAGCTAAACTGGACATCGCCACGGAGGTGATTGCCGAAAACCTGGGAAAGAGCTGGCGCAAACTGGGCCGCAAGCTGCGTCTGGGCGGGGTCAAGCTCGAGTCCATCGCCAACAGACACCCCACCGACCTGGAGGAGACGGCGGTGGAGCTGCTGAAGGAGTGGAGGAAAAGCCAGGGGGCCGGGGCCCGAACGGACGAGCTGATAAGAGCTTTGAGGGACTGCCAGTTCAACCTGACCGCCGATAAGGTGGAGGAAGCCCTGCACAGCCAGGGCCTCTGACAGAGACTCCCAGATTACACTGCCTTACACAATGCCATGGCATTAAAACAATGAAAACTACGATTGTTGTTCACGGCTGCATGCCGATGCAGAAAATTATTTTTGTGCAGATGATGAATGAATGTGTCAATAAACTATCACCTTGATCCACGCTTCCATCTATAAGGGGTTGTTGCTATTATTCCAGCCGACACACAGATGTTCAGGGCTTACTCTCTAAAGCTGCCCCCTGTTACTCTGACGAGAAGCAGGGTAGATATAAATTTATTTTCAAGTCTCTGTTAAAATCAGATGTATGAATATTGTTATCTCTAACAAACAGGTGATCCTTCTATGAAGGAGATAGTGGTATTGTTGCATTATGGTATACCCAGAGGGATAGCCATGTTAACAGCTGATCCTCTCCAGAGGGCTCTGCTGCTGTTTACCTAAAAACAAACTATGGATGCGTGTGAGAGGCAAAGCTGCTCGATGTCCTTTCTGCTGCATGCCATCAAGTCAGCTGTGGCATTTCCCACCACACAGCCCCTGAGAATCCACACGCTGGGCGAGATTTGAGTCATCATGCTAAACTCCTGCTTCACCAAGAGATTGAATTGTCACGCCCCTTGACCCAGAAGCAGTTCCAGAGATGCAGTTTGATTTGCTGGAGCCCCTCGACGGAAGGCCCATCTGGACTAAAACATTAGCCGTCATTTCACTTAGCAACAAAGAGCTGAGACCATCGTTGGGACCAAATGTTTAGCTTCCACACAAAGATTTTAAAACTGTTCATTCAGGCCCAGATAATCATCCAAATTAATCGAAACTGTATGAACCGAAGTGTTTGCATATTTTTTATTTTTCAGGCTTGCGGTCAGATGTCAGTGAACGTCTCATCCTTTTGCAGATTCCGCTCTCCATCAGGTCACAGCCACGTTGTGATGTCATCAAGGGGGCCATTGGTTTCTGCAGAGCACATGCATGTCAGTCAAGAAGCCTTCTATCCTCTACTTATTATGTCATCACAGGGGGACAGAGAAATGCACCCGGTTAGGTAACCCGGTGAGGTTCGATTTGCCATCAGTATTATGTAGCGTGTTGTTTCATGTGTGCGTTGTGTATTTTGTGGTTTTCTACTCACAGCACTTGTAGAGTCTGTTCAGTCTGTCGATATCATTCTTGCTCATCTCAGTTGCCTTTCCAAAGGACACGTTGCTATTAGGGATAGGCTCCATGGTTGGGTAGTTGTTCTTGGAGAAGGCGTACCTAAAGCATGGCAGATGGCACACAATCCGTAATCAATTTCAGTGTGATCACATTGGATGGAGACCATCCCTCATAATGGCAGTTGTTTCAGTGGGGTTTCAGAGCGGGTTCAGTTTGGTTGCACACTGATGCGCTAAAGGATGAAACCTCTAAAGAATCCAGCTACTTCACTGAGTGACACTGTTTTATTTGGTTTAAGGCTTCTGTAACCAGAAGTTGAGTATGAGGACCTTTAGGTCTGCCACTGTATTAAGAAACACTTGAGCTTATTTGGCTTTTAACTCAATAGTTTTTCAAACTTTAAAAAAATGAAAATCTTGTAAATATATGAACTGCCAGCCAACCGGAGACAAAACAGAGAAGCTTACTGTACCTGTGGTACTGCATGACAGAGTTGTAGTCGTAAGAGGTTCCCTGGTTCAGAGTGGCGATCTTATTGAAATTGTGCTTCATGTCTGCAAAGAAGAGAGAAGTTATGACTAGAAAAATATAGTTTGACAGTGTGTTATGGATCAAAGGGACAGCTTTCGCCTTCAGAAAAGTGCGTCACCATCGATGATGTTGTTCCAGTGCACCCTGATGTGGTTGTCCCTGTCGTTGCGGGTCTGCTCGTGGTTGAAGCCCAGGGCGTGGAGGAGCTCATGCTGCACGGTGTTGTGGTACAGGCAGCCCTGTCTGCTCAGAGAGACGGTCTGACCTCCACCCGTACGGCCCACGTACGAGTAGCATCTGGGATCACAGAAACCATTTACAAACTCACTGAAAGAGCCATGGGCTTTTATCAGGATGCGGCCTAAAGACGACTTCAGAGGGCTGGGAACCCCCCGCGAAAATCAACAGCATAAAAAGCATACCAAGTGAGAGGATGGACAAGGCCTTAGTATTTTATCTTGCTTTACAACCTTTGGGTCATTCTATGGTGCATTCAATTGTGTATCCTGTGTCATCTCCTGGATTTCAACAAGCAAAACTACAAATAAAGAATCAGATCTTTACCCGTTCCTGGACTCAATGTTCAGCCATTCACGGTCACCACTGCGGTAGGGTCTGAAACGGATGCACGAGAAGGAGGAGAAGGATTCCAGCCCACGGACGATGATGGCTTTCTCGCGGGAGGCTGTCAACAAGCACAGCGTGTCCAATTATTATGATTAATTACCCTCATTTATTTACTCTCCAATTCTGGGTCACAGGGAGTCTATCCCAGCTATGATGGTTACACCAAGGAAAAGGAGTCCAGTCCATCCCAAGAGACAGATGAAGCACCATGAACGTTCACTAATTCAGGCAGTTCAGAGAGACTAGTCAACCTAACATGCATGTTTCTGGGCTGTGGCAGAGAGCAGGTACCTGGAAATAACCCACACTTACGTGGGAGGACATGCAAACTCGAAAAGAATGTGTTTCTACTGAATAGCAATGAAAACAGGATGCTCACAGTAGTGGTTTGCAATGTAGTAGGGAATGTAAACCTTCCCGTCAGCGTTCTTCAACCACATGCAGCCTCTGCTGGTGCAGGGGTCAGCATTTTTTTCCCCCTCGGGCCTAACAGCGATGTCTCCTTCAACCAGGGATGGTTCATCGAAGTCAGCAGCTGCAAGATCGGCACAGATTTGAGGAGCAGTTAGGAGCACGTGATGGATCCGAAATGATTTTTTTCATGTAAAGCGGTGCAGCTAAATATGTGTAAATGTGAAATTCAATCAAGTCTTTTTGTTTTTAATCAAGAAATCAATTGTATCAATCAAATCAACCACCTTGTGGAATCTATAATGCTGTTTTAATACACTCAGCGACTGATTGATGGCCCAAATACAGCAAACATAACCAACTCACTGCGGTCTCTGTTGGCTCTCTCCAGCAGCTCACCAACAGAAAGCTCCTGGGTGGTGTCCTCCTCAATGGCAGCTACCTCTGTAAACCAGGCCGTGAATTAGACTCTACGATCTTGCACACCTCACCCGCCTTTCCATCTGAGATCACTGACATTATCAATGCCACTGCAGAGCAGGGTTCAACTTGGTTGTGATAACACAGTAAATCATCAAATATCTACCAACACGAAAGGGAACATTTAGAAAAGATTCATGTCTGGTTGAAGCATAGAAGGTAAAGCTACCATAAGATAGTCATCATTTCTGTCTTACCTTCCTGCACACAGTCCCAGCGACATGGAAAAATAAAGGGGAAAAAGTCACGGATTAAAGACAAAATTCAAACGGGCTCTTTTGAATTAGAAAAGTTGACTGATGTCTGTTTATATGGTACATATATACATAGGTCCATGAATCATTTACCTCTGCCCAGGAGGAGGACACCAGCAACAGGGCCACAAAAGACCAAGAAAAAACCAACATGGTTGCAATACACCTGCCAAGATGGAGAAATGGATTAAATGCTGTCCATCCAAACAGTCGATGCCACACTGAGGCCTTACAGCGGTCTAATGTGATGAATTCCAAGCTTACCTTAGAGCAACTTGCTTTCCGTCTGCATGCGAGCCCTTTATATGGTTTAAGTTCTCCAAGAACAGATGTCACAAAGTGCAGATCAAGCAGCACATCGTATCACCGTAAACACACACTTCTGAGTACTGTCAGCCCGTGTGAAATTTGCCTTTTGTTCAAACAGGCGTTTTTTTCAGGAGGAGCGCTCCATGCTAGGCAAAGACTTTCTGTTAAAAAGAATAGCTTTTAGTTAAATGACAGCTATGACTATGTGCATTTGAATTGCATTGCTAATTTAAAGGAGGATTCCAGGGACTCTGTCAAACCCATGTCACTCGTATCAAAGCTAATATGTCTGTCACCGTGTCACAATGATTAGTAACTCCCTGCCAGAATACAACATCCTGTGAGCATTCTGTTTTTGCTTTCACGGAGAGAAATCTAATTTAATGATGCCACTCAGTAATAAGACACACTTATGTAAATGAAAGGCATTCTAAATGACCTGTCTGCTGAGCATGGTTTAAGAAAGTCTGGTTTGAGAGCAAAATGTGTCATTTGTGACACTGTACAGACATGTATATGTGTTCAGGAGGAGATAAGTGGGATCATATCTGTGACTTTTGGTGCAGCAGATACATCCACTTCCTGTTTCATGGCAAAACGCCAAAGCTTGAGGGCCCACCGTACTCATATCAAGCCCCTGAAAGCTTCAAATCGCACAGAACAGCTGGTGCTAGGAATGCCTAAGCACCCCCAGGTACATTGTCATGACTTTTTGGACTGTGCTTGGTCCTCCAAAAACAACTAATTTAGGACAAATTAAGAAAAATTTATGTGAACCAAAACACTGGACTGAATCAAAGGCTTTCAGGTGACTTTTGCTTCAAACTGGCACCACATGGATAAACTGAATGGCATAAAGTTACATATGGTTTGAGTAACGTAGGGTTAGCGTTAGGGTTACTCTCTGGGGTAGAGTAAGTTTAGTATATTTCTAACACTTACATGTATTTGTGCACAACATTCATAGCTAATAAAACAAACATTCACACAGAAATAAAGTATAGTAATAGTGTATTAAATAGTATTAAAACAATTCATTCATCTAATCAGTGTCTTGGTAGCACTAAAGGAGGACATCAGTGTTAATCAGTGGGAAATATCATTTTACAAAATGCACTACATTGATTCACACGGGTCATTTTGACCTGATGATGGCACTAGATGAAAATCAAACGGCCAAAAGTTTTCAGCGTAGAACAGTGTTGCAGCAACTTCTGAAACTGTTTTTTTGAGGTTGATAATGTTTTGTAGCGTTGTTCTCGTGCCATGTTTATTAACAGAACTAGTGGAAAATCTGGTAAGAAAAACCAAAAGACATATAGAACTGCCCTCCACTCTTACTTCAGCTTCATGTCACAATACAAACCACCTTCTGTTTCAGCATTAAAGGCCTCTTACTTGCAACATTATGAAACACTATTGCAGAATTCCAGACATACTTGGCTTTGTTTTAACTGACTGTTATTCTCTGTGGTGACTTAGATATGGATTAAATTAATTAAGCTTCATAATTGGGCTTCACAGTGGTGTGAGAGGAGCCTTTCCCGGAGGACTGGGGGACCTTCTGTGTGGGTTTTGCATCTTCTCCCTGAGCATGTGGGGGTTCCCCCTGAGTAAGTGGGTTAAGTTGTGATTATGAATATCAGAGTGTGTGTGGTTGTTCATCTCCGTGTGGCCCTGTGATGGACTGGTGACCTGTCCAAGGTGCAAATGGCAGCAGGGTGAAGATCCAGCTCCCCTGCCACCCTACTGGGAGTAAACGGCCGAGGAAATGGGTAAATGAATGTTTCCTAAATGTGCAGCCGGTATTTCAAAATGTGGTCAAAATGTGGTCTATGTCAGTCAGATCAGGGCATGAGAAAAAGGCATTTCAAATCGGTTGGAAATAAGAGCTTGGTTTGCTAAAATGCAAGCAAAAGATACAGAGGAATCATCCATGTCATGCCAGTAAGAGCTAATCCCACATGGCTTTCAGTCCGAGGTGTCAGAAGCATTAAGAGTTTTTTCTGTTTGTTCCTGTCTGAGTAAAACAATGACTTTCTCGCATATCCTGAAAATATATTTGAATAATAGAACATACAACAGCTAAACTATCTTAACTAGCTTTAATGACATGGCTTAGCGATAATAGTTTATGTTCATCTAATGATCTTCTCTTACTGCTGACTCAGCATTCTTTCTTCTTTTTTTCATCAGGCTCTTTTCTGCTTGGCTGAAGGGGATGTGGCCAGTCATCTGATGCCAACTCAAAGTGCTGGTCAGTTCCCAGCCTCTTCTTCGATACTGTTTGGACAGAGCCATTAAGCTTCCCATGATATTTCATAGCATGAAGAAACAAAGCGAGGTCTTACTTACAACCTTTAAACCGAACACAAAACAGATTACAGGATTCATTTAGGAGCCATAAACTACAGTATTTAAATGTTAAACGCTGTCAGTTGGCAGGACAACATGGGAAAATCAGAAGGCACATGCAGGAAATCATTTGACTTTTAAACATTTACATGAGAGCATGGTTCCATGTTTAACTGGTCAGATAAACTGTATTATGTTACGTTACATGCACAAACTCTGTTTCTGTTTCTAGTCTGCCGAAAACCCCAGTCATACCTAACCTGACTCAAAACTACCCAAAAAGAGACAGTGGAATCACAAATCAAGAAAATCTACTGCATTCTAACAGTATTGAATATTCTCTGTCAGCTTTTAGTCAAATAAAAGGTATGCAAGAAATAACAACTTTGGGATTAAACCGCGATTTTCTGTCCATAAGACAGCCGCATGTGCCCCATTTACAGAGTTCCTGACAGGCAAACAGGGTGTATGAAGTTCCTTGTACACTCCCAAAGTAGCAACTCTGATACATTAATCTATTTCTGTAACTCACAATTTCATCAACGGATTCTATGAAAAATAACAATACAGTGCAAAATCAGAAAATTAAAAAAAGAACATAATTCCATGAGCAGGCGTTGTAAAATTTATACATAGTATATGTAGTATATGTATAGGTTTATATATAAGTGTGTTCCCGCAGAGTTGAATAACAGATATTACACCGATACTTACTGTGTCCCAGACAAAAAAAGTCTTACCAGAAAGCGGGACCTGCAATGTTTTCGTCTTGCATGTACTTTTTTGCAAGAAATTGCAAGATCATGTGTTAACTAACGCAATACTGCAACTGTGCCCACAAATAGAAGAAGTGATGTTGACTCAAGCTTTTGTAATGCTGCACTTGAGACTTCAACCACACAGGGATTGTGCAAATTTATTATTTAAATACAATGTAAATAATCCAAATTCTTAATACATAAACCATATAGGAATCAGGATGGAGATAATTCTATCTTTCAATAGATATTTGATCAAATGAGCATTGTTTTGAGATTAAGATCATTAGAATAAATGTGAAAAGCATTGGTTATTCATAAAATTATACTGTAGGATGCCCAGAGACATTGATTTATTGATGAATACTTTATTGATCTCACATGGAAATGAACTAGTGATGAACTGAGACTTACCTTCCATAATGCATGAGAGAGAAATTACTGAAATCCCTGGGTTCTAAAGTAGATATTGATCTTTCCCAAACAAGAAGTGGGAAAAAGCTAAGGCTTTTTTATAGCATGGTTTGATTTCATAAAGTCGAATAATGATTTAACAACATCTTACATAATCATAAAAAATCATCTCTTATATCACAAGTAATATAACAGCAACAATGTTGTGTCACAATTATGGCAAATCGAGCACGCTGCAAACCTGAGGATTTACTTTTAAAACACTAACTTTTCGATCTTCTTCAATTTGAAACGTCCATCACTTGGTGAAAACCACAGCCATGTTTGGGTAATAACTGCCACCTCCTGTTGGGGCAACAAGCCTCTGTAAGCGTGCCATATTAGGATGAACATCAGTTGGCCCTACCACCTATATAAGTTTAAGGACTTCCATTTCCTTTGAGTGTTTTTCTTGGTTGGCCGCAGATCTCAGTTATCAACCATGATCCTCCTGACTGCGCTGCTCTGTGGGCTTCTCTGCTTGGCCCACAGTTCCAACTTAAAGGTAATGCTGCTACTTTACATCTATAGTTGGAGAAACGTCCTCTGTTCATCATTCGTTAACTCACAACGAAATGCAGATCTTCCTTAAATCATACAGGAATAAAAACATATAGAAATTTGTAAGATCATTAAGAAGATCATTGGATGCATTTTTAAAGTAATCAAATCTAATATTGTAATAGTTGTATGTAAAAGATAAAAGTGGACATTACAACATGACATTGCTGTACCTCAGGTTGTTGTTAATGTACTTTTTTATTGCAGGGTTTCATTGGGAAAAGGGATAAAACGTCTGGTAAGATTTGTAGACATTTTTTTTCCTAAGATGTTTGAATGCAGTCACACACATACAATACAGTAGTTCATTTTGACTCAAAACATTCCTGTTGATAGAAGGTACCACTGTCCACACATTTAGTTTTCTAGAAGCAAATCCAGTCTTCTGAAACCATAAAAACGTATTGTTTTTGTTTTGTATCGATAGGCAACACCATAGAGGACGATGACTTCAGTATCTCCACACTGCTGGAAAAGGCCAACGCCAACGTTGGTATGTTCCTGTCTTTAAGGCCGTGTTTCTTTTTTCTCTGAGTGAACTCATCATTGAAGAGCACCACACACTGAAGAATGATAGCGAGAGTGTATTAAAGCTCATCTGACGAGCTCTAATCGGACCCCTGCTTCCCAAGCCAGGCCTCACAGGAGCATGTCTCGCGTACGCATAAAAATGACTAATTCCTTTGAACATTTTGCAGGAAAGAACTTGGATGAACCTCTGGTGATGTTTGGAGACATTGCTATGCCAACCGGTTTTGGGAATGCCGATCCATGCACGGCACGAGGCTGCCTGTGGCCCAAAAGCACCGACGGCAACGTCTACGTACCTTTCCGGATCTCCAACCAGTTCTGTAAGTTCCAATCACACTCTGAAATGTACTGTTTGAATGAGAACCTCTGACACGTGCTGGGTTTTTGTGCGCATTTTCTGCGGATAAAGTCGCAAATGGACATTGCTGACATTTTCCATTTTTTTTAATTTCCTGTCAAGCCACAAGGGAAAGAAACACCATTGTCGAGGGTTTGAATTCGTTCGCGCAGTCCACCTGCATCCGCTTCACGCCCCAGCAAAGGCAGAGGGACTTTGTGGACATCCAGTCTCGCTCTGGGTGAGCACCACAGGAACAGCACAGGAGGATTCTCCATGCTGTTTTCTTATTCATTAAAGACTTCTCCGCCAGTCTTCTCACAGAACTCATCACCGATTCTTTAGTTGGAAACCTGAGAATATACCACAGTAGACCAAAGGAACAAAAATAACAGTTATTGGACACAGTTAGGTATATCAGTGCTAGGCTCTTCACAGACAAAACCCTCTCTTTGGGTCTCAGTCTGCAAAGAGCCCTGAGATCTGGCTGTAATGGGTCTTTGTCACCCCTCAAAGGAGGACTAGAAAGAAACCGATTGCTTATTTGGCAGTTTCTTCTGGGCATAAACAAGCCAGGTCGTAATTCATGTAGATTACATTGGAATGTGGTAACAAAGTGTACTTGTGTTGACCTAAAGATGTGTATCTAATGCAACAGAGAAAGAAAGAGAGAGAAACGAAAATCTGTGATTACAGCTAGAGAATTTAACCTATAAATAAAGTTCTAAAAGGAATAAAAACAATCAGTAATTTACACAGATCGTGTGATAAAATACAATGCTAAAATGAGTAATTCTAGCCAGATTCTAACAGGGTGGGTGACTGTCATTGGGTGTTGCAGGTGCTACTCGTTTGTGGGACGCCGCGGCGGCGGCCAGGTCGTGTCGTTGAGCCGCAACGGGTGTGTCTTCAGGCAGGTCATCCAGCACGAGCTGCTCCACGCTCTGGGCTTCAACCACGAACAGACCCGCTCCGACCGGGACAATCACGTCCGCATCCTTCTCCAGAACGTCATTCCTGGTGGGTGCTGACATGACGCTCTGCAAATTAGACTACTATGTCAGCAAAACCTTCAGAAATCTCAATCTTCTGTGAAATTAAGTGAAGTCACTTAACTTCACAGCACAAATGAACAAATGAGCCTCATCTTTTTCTTACTTCTGATACGGGAAAAACCTCAATTTGCTTTAGAACGCAGAGATTTCACTCATTTCTCTTTCCATTCAGTGAACCTGAAGGCTTTTGGATAAAAAGTAAAAACTGACTGTTTGTGGTTCTTCTGCAGGACAGGAGCATAACTTCAGGAAAATAAACACGAGAAACCTTGGCACTCCCTATGACTACGGCTCTGTGATGCATTATTCAAGGTATGTCTCCGTTCATCTCACCAGACAGTACAGTATAGTTTTATGAATAACCAATGCTTTTCTGGGTATGTTAATCTCAAAACAATGCTTGTTGGATCAAATTACCTGTTGGAAGATGGCATTATCTCCATCCCGATACCTATATGAATTTGGATTAATAATTGACATTTTTCACATCGTATCAACATTAGAAATTTAACTTTTTAATGGAAAGACACCAGATGGAAGGGCCCTGACCTCTTCATTTATTCTTTTTTTAATCTTTATTCATTCTTTCATTTTTATTTATCTTTTATTGTTTAAACTAATTTATTTATCTCAAACCAACCTGCAAGCCCACTACCAATTATATCAGAGTGCTCCAAACAATAGTAAAAATCCTCTCAAATATTTATCTCTAAGACTAGGCCTTCATCTAAATGGACTCTTTGGTACTGCTGATCGAAGTTGAGCTGCTAATTAATGACAAATTATTCAAAAACAAAGCAGAAATAAGTAAGATTTCTACATTTGTGTCAATCATTTCTAAGTAGCTATTTTTGATATTACAGCTAGTATCGGCCAAAGTAATATTTATCAATGTTCAGTTCTTGTGATCCAGGTTTGAAGATCCACCAGTTCTCAAAGTTGTGACTAATTTTTCTTTGCTCCTTTAGGTTTGCCTTTTCCAGAAACAGACAGCCAACCATCGTCCCCATTCCTGACCCCAACGTACAAATCGGCAGAGCCACCCAGATGAGTCCCACCGACATCCTGCGCGTCAATCGCCTTTACCAATGCAGTACGTGCCTAAGTCATTCCTCAGGAATTTGTTTTTTCTTACAAACTATGTGAGAAGCTGGACACCAGGCTGCACACAATGCCGGATCAAAGCTTAGACCCAGCTCATTCAGAAAGAATGGGACACTATATACACATTTTTTACTGACACTGTACACAGGATGTTTAAAACTGCTTTATAAGACCATACAATGGTCCATAAGAACCCAGTTTGTATCCCATTCTGATTTTCCTATAAGTCAGATCTCTAAACAATTGCTTGGGTGGCAATTCATACCTAGAAAACATTCTTTTAACAGTTTCTATTCCCATATATCCTCACAGAAGCGCACAAGGATTTGCATGAAATGGGACAGTCAATATAGCAACCTCTTCATTTTCAACAACAATGCTCACATGCAAAATGTTGATATAATGTCTTTTAACAGGGAAGTGTTCAGAACAAATTGCTCCACGGGGGAAAATATTTTTGGAGTTGGCCTTTGATCAGAAAATAACCAAAAGTCCCTGCAGCAATTATCAGATTAGTGCTGGATTGATTATCACACCACTATCTCATCCGATGGGACCACGTGGTTAACCAATGAGGCAGAGGGATCCTTTGGTGTATTTAAGTGTTTGCTTTATTGGTCCACAGTGGGCAGATTCACATCTGCAAAGCCTCAAGAAAGAGTAATTTTTGTACAAGATATATTTGTCCTCCCTTCAGATATGGTCAGGGTCTCCCACACTAAATGACTTCCTGCTTCTCATATGTTGTGATGTTTTCATGGGTCTTTTTAACCATTATCACTTTAAAATAAACCACATACTCTTAAAGTGACAAACTCAGAGTGTATTCTCTATGTGTGATCACATTACCAGTAAATCTCTTCATAAAGAACTCATGCAGTCTTTTCTTTATCACTGGTTTGTTGCAGATGCAAATGTACCAGAAAAAAAGGAGAACGAAGTGCCAGAGGACAAATTCTATGCATATTAAAGGTAAATATAAAGAATGTTTCTAAGATCTTAAACCTGAATTATTATTCCATTACAATTCCAAAACAATAAAGACTTGAAATTTGGGCCAAATGTAACTTCAATTACAGAGTAACTAGACTAAAATATAATTTCTGTGAAAGGTGTCGATGTGCACCACGCTAATTTCTGGAAGACAGAAACAAAAACTTTAGTTTATTTGCTCATTTGGGCTCAGTTTTAACCTTTCGCTCTCTTCCCAACAGGAAATCAGCTAAACAGCAGAAAATTGTAGAGAGTAATGCAGCCCTTCATCTATTTTCAACCCCAGGATACGTATTTTGTGTTCTCTGCTCCAATCAAATTCTGAAGTTTTTTTATTTTATTCGCTTAGGTGCTGACTGAATAAGTCATGAATATGATAGACAGCTGAATTGTCTGCTTAAAAGAAAATACATGGCTAATTAAAGAACTGCTTGCAAGCTTGATGCAGTACAGAAATGAATAAAAGTACTTCTATTCAACATTCGAATTGTCTCATTTCCTGTCACCCAAATGGACTTACATTGTAAATACCTTTGATGGACTTACGAGATGATTTATTGATCGTTGAATCAACACGGACACACACACACAAAATGAAGCATGAGGACAAATATGTTTTGTGTAAGGGTATTAGCTCATATGCCTCATTTCCATGGCATCAGCAGTGGGTGCGGCGGCTTTACGAACACAGGTGATCAAACAGGCGTGCTATCTTTGACCGGCACTCCACCTGGTTTGCTCTGAATGCTGGGCTCAGCATTAACTGCCCGGCACCGGTTTGCGCTAGCAAAACCTGTGAGAAGGGTGCACTTGTTGCATAAGTACATAATGAGTCGCTTGGTGGGAACTAAGACAAACAGTGATCTTGGCAAAAAAACGCTCACTGTGATAAAGCGCTTTAACCCTATATTTGACATTGGATATTTCCTCCAAACTATAACACAATAATTCTACTTCATAAGCTACCATGACAAAATAAAAGGAGACCTTTCATAGCCAAATCCCAAATGTGGTTATTCGGTGTTGAGACTTCAGTCTTATTCTTATTTTGTAGAAAAAAAGGTGTTGCCTACAGGTGACTTTAAAAGTGGAAACACATCTATCTAAGGCAAAAGGGCAAAATTAGCTTTTTAATTGCACGATGAAAGTCTTCGAAATGTCTTCTGGGTCACTGTCTGCTGTGATTTTCAAATTAGTTATGAGGGGGTTGGGAGTAATAAGGCTGTTTGCGAAACCACTGTCATGAATCTCTGATTGTGGTGGTTTTGTTCCCCTTTTGCGTCCTTTTCCTCAGTGTGTACGCTGTGTCTCCCCCTGGTGTATGAGTGTGTGTGGTTGGGCTAAATTCCCCGTCTGATATATTTGTCTGACCATTTCCTCTTTGTGCCTGAGCACTGCTTCTTTTTGATTCTCTGTTTGTATTGAGGGTCATCGTTACCTATTCTGGCACACTGAAAGTTTTTTGGGGGTATTTTTAAACACCGGAATGCACTGAGAATCAGGTTGAAGTATCGGATTAGCTGATGAGATACAGGCGATGCTCGGGATAATCTCTGAAACGGTGTGAAACCAGTTAAGGCTGAGTGTTGAGGCTGAACGCTTCCCAGGGGCCTGAGCACCTTTTAAAGAGACAGGAAGGGACCATTATGAATTGAAGGGGAACTGTGCACTTTAGAGTTTAATTTTACAGATTTACATTTAGGTATAGCGATCGGATTTAGCCCTTTAAAGCTTGATCCAAGAATAAAACAAAACAGAAAATTACTTTTTTTTGGTTTGAATTCCTTATTTGCCCTTTTAACAAAATATGTAAAAAGAAAAAACAGAAATACATTTTTAATATTAATGATTAATTACTATGCGATAAGTCAAAATGATTTTTTGGGTAGTGTTCTGCCCCCTGTTATCAGGTGTATCTGATTGTGTACAATAGGATTTTGAGCAAAGTTTTTACCATTAAATTAAGCAAAAGGTGTCAGACGCCGAACATTTCAGAAACCGTATGTATCAAATATGATACATTTGGCATTACAGGGTTAAAGGTAATTAGTGATAGCTAATGTTTAATAGATCAATTATGTTGACGTGTTCGTTATTTTGTAGATGTTTGTTACTGTGTACGTATATACAAACACAAACACATACATGTTTGTGTCTCCTGTTGATGGTAGGTCAGTTTGCTGGGGTCGGTAGTCGGCTTTTAAAGGCTGTTTATTCACATGATTTGGCTGATGGAGACCTGTGAAACAGGATTGTCTACCTAAACCCCCAGTGTGTCTGCACCTATTATCTGCCTCACGCCTCCTGCTTAATCCAGCTGCCGAAGGCCTTCACGATATTGTTCAAAGACATTACACTGAAAACTTTCTATTCACCTGAAAGTGTTAAAAGTAGCTAAATCAACGAATTATTATTTTCTATGTTTTAATTCCTTTTTTTGCGTTTCCGGGTATCATGATGCAAAGCACTTTGAATTGCTTTGTGCACAAATTGTGCCCTGCAAATAAACTTGCCTTGCCTAATTCTTAAGCTGACAGCAGGGACAAAAGAGGAGGAGAAACTAAAGAAAAAAGAGGACCAAGACAAAGAAACAAAGAAGACATGGGAGTGAGGACAACAAGAAAAACGAGACAGACCAGGAGCTGCGTTTATAGAAATGAAACAGAAAAACACCCTGGAGCCTCTGCAAGGAAAGACCAGGCAGAGCACCTCACAGAAGTCAACTGGTGAAAAAAGCAGAACAACAGTGCAACAACTCCTTTCTTTTGACATGGTATCACTACCCCACAGAGTGTGTCAGCCTTCACAGCCCCACAATGTTCACAGCATTAATAAACTCTTTATTTATCTATTGGATGTCCTTGTTTTGGGTAAGCAGCTCTTATTGTTGCCTGGCGCTAGCCCGACTCTCTCTTTCTGAGTCGCAACATGGTTTGCCTGAACATCCTGAAGGCCTACTCGAAGCTCCGTTCAGACTGCATGTCTTCCACCTGCCGTAATAGGTGAATCTCTCAGGGAGGTCCTAGTTGAAGATGTCCCAAACTGAGGCCTCCACCAGGTGTAGTCGGTTTCCCGTCGCTATCTGTTTGGCCTTATAGGATCTGTCTTCTTCTCCAGGAGTTTTGCTCCAGTGTCTAAGCTGTGCATGGAGAGGGAGCCTGAACTATATCTAAAGTAATAATTATAACTACATACTGAATGGTAATAATTTTTAAACGTGTTCACTGTTATTCTGCCAGGCTCCCAGGACACATTTCTGAACACACTGACTAGAATATTTCTTATTAGTCAGGGTTAGGGTTGGGCAGGGCGTTTGGAGGGCAGTGTTCTTCAAAGCCATCTGTTTGGCTGGCAGTTTCAGAGCCAGACTGATAAAGAAGGCCATCCCCGTGCTGAGGTCTGTTCAGGACCTGATTATCAATTATCTTTGGTCCCAAAGAATAACCCCAAGGCATCCTCTTTATAACTTCCTGTTCGATCACTTTGGGTCTCCCTCAGTAGCGGGGCAGGAGGTCCCGTCATGCAGACTTAAGCTCAGTCAAGTATTGAATAAAAAATTACTTCAACCACAGCAAAAGAGTGCATCCCGGGTTTTGTTATTTCTGCCAAATGTGAGAGAAACCTGCACTGCTGATAAGCCTGTGGTGAAAATTCCACTTTTTAGTTTAGTTTTCTCAGTCTTAAAAACTTTCTACCTTCCCTTTAGGAGAGAGATTTTTATTTCTCCCACTTTGGATAGGATGAGGGGAAATATGTTTGTCTTAATTGAATAAATTAATCAAAATAAATTAATTTAATTTAATGTTCTGTCTTCTAGTAGTAGATCTTTTTTAGTAGAGTCCTTCCGGTGGCTACCGCTAGGGGGCGGTACTGTTTTGAAGCGGAGAAAAATGGACACCGTTGCCTTCCTCCACAAGGAGAAAGAGGAGAATTTCCTGTCTCCCTGTATCTCCAAAGATGGCGGACACGTGCGGGCAGGTACTGCTTGGATCAGGGCTCACCGTCCTCTCCCACCCTCTGATGTACATTAAAGTTCTGATCCAGGTAAGAGGCCGGCGTCTGTGCGGGGCTCGTGCGGACGGAGCGTGCTGCTGCTCGCGCCGCTCTCGGCCCCGCGAGCGGCCTGAGGAGGAAGCTGTCAGCCCCTGCGGCGGTAATAAAGCTTGTTTTTAACGCCGTTTTGCCCGTCGGCGCGGTGGTTCGGGCGGTTAGGCGCGGCGGCATTCTCCCCTCAACCACTCTAAACGAGGGGCAGAGCGAATGTCCGGCTAGCTTGAGCCGGACTCCGCTTCTCCCTCTGTTGTCCCCGTGACCTCTGTTCCCAAACACTCGGTGGGCGGAAGCGCCGTGGAGACTCGCTTTAGCTTGAACTGCTCTGAAGTGTTTGGCTGTGTTTGGGCGCCGAAACCCGCGTAACACGCCTGATAAAGGGGGTACAGAGCAGTCCGGCACAGCCCGGGGTTTAAATGGACCGACCCCTGGTTAGCTGTGTCCTGCTATGTGCTGCTATATGAGTGGTTAGCCTTCGCCATGGTACTTTTATTCTAAATGTCCTGGAGCTGTCATGTCCACAGCTCCGTGTGTGTGAGCTGTGAGAGCTTTACGAGTTAGGACGTCCCTGTGTTTGTGTTTGTGTGTGTGACCAGGTAGGACATGAGCCGCTCGCCCCCACCCTGGGCAGGAACCTGTTCGGCAGGCAAGTCCATCAACTGCCCGGATTGTTTGCTTATGGTGAGTGTGTGATGTCCACCAACAGTAAGAGCACGGGGCTAGCATAAAGCCAAGATCTGTACAGGTAAAGTCCAGGAGATAAGGGGCTGAAACATTGTCGCAGAGATAAGATAACATCAGGCGCCCACGTTCCCAGCTTGACTGACTGGGTTTGTGTTGCTCTGCCTGCCAAGCCAGAGCTCACATCTGTACAGCTGTGTGAAAACAAGGGCTTTATTCTATCATGACGGAGACTTCTGTATCTGCCTTTTGGTCCTGGCTTTTCTGTTCGCTACCGCTGTAAATGCTCATATTTCCAGATTCTCATCATCCTTCACCGTTTTAGGAACGGTTGTTTAATTGTCTGCCATGTTCGCATGCAACCTGATGTGTGTTTTTTTCCACTCCAGCCAAACACATCGTTAAGATCGACGGGAAAGCGGGGCTCTTCAAAGGGCTGGCTCCACGGCTCTGTGCCAGCTCCATCGGCACAGTTGTGCACAGCAAAGTGGTGCAGGTAGGTCCGAATGCACGGGTGTTTACATGTAAAGGAGGCGGGCCGAGCCACAACTCCCATCTCTGGACGAAGTCTCTTCCTTGGATGGGGTTGTTCTGTCAAACGCAAGGCCCAGTGTCACTGCGTCTGATTTAGTTTTTAGCATTGTGCTATTGAAACTTCACACAGAAGTTCTCGTCATGAAACACTGAAAGACCTTTTTTATGACCCCGTGTTGATGTTGGCTTTTTGTTGTTCCCCTCACAGAAATGCCAGGAACAGGGAGGACCTCAGGTAAGAGACTGTCGGCCTCTGCATGCTGAATCCATCATGCCGTTTTTCAACGTTTAAACAGAGTTTGGGCCACTCTTTCTATCTGTGCTTTTGTATGTGGCGGGGTGAGCAAATTCCACAGCGTTTTGTCCTCCACTGCTCTCCGATTTTGAACAGTTAGGGAGTGGAGAGTCAAATGTGCAATGATAAAGTATGAACTATGGGGTCAGACATGCCGATAGGACGATGGTGACGGTGACTGTCTCTGGTGTCCAGGTGCTGGGCGGCCAGCAGAAGGCTGCGGAGGGCTCCCTGCAGCACGTTGTCAACGAGGTAAGACGTGTTGTCTTAACGGGAAGAGAACACCACGGAGGTTTCGTGGTCTTTTTTAGAGCTGCCATGTGAGGAGTTTTTAGCATTAGATCAAAACCTGAGAACCTGAAATGCTTTCGTCGTCCAGTCCTGTGTTGTTTTATGTGTGGGTTCCGCTCAGCTGCTGCTCAGGATGGAATTTAGCCTTACAGGTTCAACACATAACAGCTCCAGTTTCTCCCTCTGGGGCTGGTGCCCCCCTGATTGGGTCCATTTAGTTTAGATTTTTGATTTGACCATATTCATTTAGTCCCGACTGGTTTCATCCACTGCCCACCAGCTTGTGAACGACAGCCTTTTTTAGGGTTAATGAGTACTTCATACATACTTAGGACAGGGAAGGGCTACCTTTTTAAGACCACATGATTTGGTAGAACCCACTCAGTTCGTCACACATGGCCTTCATGTTTCCGGCCTTCTGATTTGACTCACGATCGTCCACTAAGTTGAAGATAAGCGTGACCCAGACTGAGGCACTCTCTGTCTTTCTGTGCCGCAGACAACCAAAGAGATGATCGCCCGTTCCTGCGCCACCGTCGTCACACACCCTTTTCATGGTAAGCCCCCCACCCGGTGTGGAACTCTGGCTTTACACCAGTCCATTCCACCATAATGTGGATAGGAGGAATAGCGTATGTAGACATGAGTTACCATGTGGGTCACAGTTAGGACCTGGAGCATGATCCCTCCTGGGGTTAGTGCCTCACACGTATAGATTCATAAGCATAAGCCGGTGATCCGGTTTTTGGGGTGCCGTGAATTTTCTCCCACCCTGTGAGCCGGCCCCAGTCTCCGTCTTGGATCTAAGCTTCTGTGAGTGCGTCTGAATTCTATTTTTTCTCCCCTCACTTGTGTTCCAGTGATTACTTTGCGATGCATGGTCCAGTTTATTGGAAGGGAAGCAAAATACAGGTACATTCTTTTAAATCTAGCAAGTAGCCCGCAATAAGAAGAGCCACAAGTGTTGATGAGAGCTTTTTTTTTTTCTGTTTTCAGTGGGGTGTTTGACTCCGTTGTTACAGTTTACAGAGAGGAGGGCATTTTGGGCTTCTTTGCGTAAGTAATATCTTTTTTATAGGCTTTGAACAACTGTTTGATCCCCAGTGTCCCAGTTTAATATATAAGTAGATCCCTTAATCCCACATGCTTCATTAATTGATGCACAGATCTGCATACTTAAACCAAAATTAATTATTTGACCAGTTGCTGGATTATGACACTCATTTCAGGAGCTGTGATTCCATTCAGCCTGAAAAATGAATGAAGGGCTTCAGTGGGGCCGTAATAGAACCGAGCTACACTCCGATAAATGCCGTCAGAATGGAACTCCTGTCTTGAGTTAAAGAGGATTCAGGGATTCAGGGTTCTCTGGTGGTGGCTTCTGCTTTGACTGATCTATTTTTTTCCTCTAACTTCACACTCTTCCTTTTCTTCCATTCAGTACACACACAAACTTGTTTTTGGTTGTGTGTCTCTGTGTGGTGAGTCAGCTTTGGCCTTATCTTAAGGGTCCCAGCCCAACGCCTAACCATAACCTGAAGCTAACCCTAACCCTAGTTTGCTTTAGACACGTGGCTGACGGGGTTTCCCCACAAAACCTCACAAGGATAGTTTGTTTCCCGACCCTGTGTGGGCACACTCTCCCACTTTCACACACACACACACACACACAGGGCTGTGTCTACCATCACAGATGGGGAGAACGCCTCGGTCCAGTCCACGCACCAGCACATGTCCGTCACAGGTGGAGGGAGATGAACACAGCTCGACTGTGGCTCCTTTTTGGAGGATGGATCTTGTTCTAGAAGACATTGTAGCTTGAAAGAGCAGCCTGTAGCCGCTTAGCAAGGAGATCTGGCCACCGCCTTGCATCCGGTCATAGGGTCAGGGTTAGGGTCGTTGCTGATCCTTCAGTCGATAACTACAGCCCCCTTGCTTCTAGAGGTAATCCAAACTTCACTTCAGATTTGGAACCAGATGTACTGGCAGGCGGGCCTCGTACCACATATAAGAAATGGTAGTCCCAGGATCGAGGGTCATTCCCATCTGTGTTTATCTTTTGATTTATTTTGTACCGTCCAGAAGGTTGTGTCTGCAGTGAAGTACCCCCACACTGCCTTACAGCAACCCGGCACCGAGCTTTTGCTGCTTTAAAAAGAAGGCCTTCTTCTCCTCTTCCCCCAGGGGTTTGATTCCTCGCCTGCTGGGTGACATCCTGTCGCTGTGGATTTGCAACCTGCTGGCCCACGTCATCAATACCTACGCCATCGACGACTCGGTACGTCAGCCCTCCCACCGGACAGTTTGTTCTAGGAAGATTTGGTTTTCCGGTTCCGTCTGGGACGCCCCAGTTTGGTGCCCGCTTCCTGTTGTGGCTACTCCTACACTGTATGCTAACTTAGATAGCTGCATGGTGTCACCTGATGGGACCAGAAGGTGGCCGTCCAGAGGCTGAGCTGATAGGGCCTTATTTCCCTCCAGTATCAGTCGATCCCTAACTGCCCTCCCTAAATTCTCTGTGGCCATTTGTCTGGTGACATTCAGTCCCCTCCTTTGTCAGAGACCTCAAGATGTTTTCGGGGTCAAATCATTGAAGATGAAAAGCCTCTGCTCTCAGCACTGCGTCTGTATCTGTTGACTTCTTCTCTGCTGTAGTTTGGAGGTAGAAGTAAATATTATTCACATCGTGCTACAATTGCACCGTCCATATAATACTTTCCAAATCCCCAAAAGAAAAAACTGGATATATCTGTAATAATCCTGGGTGTGGTAGTTAGTAGCATCGCCTCACAGCCAGAAGGTTCTGGGTTTGAGTCCCTGAGGGAACTAGGACCTTTCTGTGTTGAGTCTACATGTTCTCCCTGTGTCTGGGTTCTCTCCAGCTTCCTCCCACCGTCCAAAAACCTGCATGTTGGGTTGATTGGACATTCCAAATTGCCCTTAGAAGTGAGTGTGACTGGTTGTGTGTCTCTGTGTGGTCCTGCGATGGACAGGTGGACCGTCCAGGGTGGATCCAGCCTCTCGCCCATTGACAACTGGCTCCAGTCCCTCCCGTTACACTAATGGATGGATGTAATAATCCTTATCAAACGTGTCCTGTTGCCGTAGCTCAGAACGGAAAGAGCAGCTCCCGCCCGGCAACCGGCTGAGCTGTAGCAGAGCTGGAGGGAGGCAGGAGCCCTCAGAGGTCCCGTCAGGGTTTAAAGATTCCTCTTTAAACAGAGAATTCATAACTGATATCGTGAAGAAGCTGTTGTGCCTGGATCATGATGAAGGGGGGTGTATGCTGTACTTTAGCCATTGGATGAAACAATCCCCGACCCCCACGTTAATGCCGTTACCCTTCCTTTGCCCAGATGAGTCACACCGGCGAGATCAAGAACTGCTCTCAGGCTGTGACGGGGGTGAGTTGACGGAGCGCCGCCAGCGCCACAGTAGGTCCGTAGGCCGGTCTGACCTGTCCCCCCTCCTCTGCTCTGTCCCCCAGTTCTTCGCTAGTATGCTCACATACCCTTTCGTGTTGGTGTCCAACCTCATGGCCGTCAACAACTGCGGGTGAGTCGGTGGGATTTTTGCTGGACTTTGTCTTGAATGAAAACCTCCAGATGACCGGAGCCTCTCGGTCTCTCTCTCTCTCTCTCTCCCTCCATCCCTCCATCAGGCTCGCTGGGGGCCTGCCTCCCTATGCAGCTGTATATCCCACCTGGGTGGATTGCTGGAGGCATCTAAGCAGAGAGGTGAATGCATCCCAAACTAATTGCCATGCTGTCACACAGATGACTCGGATAATAATGATAATAATAATAATGAATCACAGATTAAAGATTACTCGGCATGTGACCTGTGAAACGCACTCATCTTGAGCTGCGTTGGCTCGTTTTTTCATCAATCCCTTCCTGTGTTTACTCCAGGGCAACATGAGCCGAGGCAACAGCTTATTTTTCCGGAAGCTTCCAGCCGGGAAGATGTATGCAATCGACCAGAAGAGATTTTTTTAAAAACCTCAAAGCGAGCTGCACATAGTTGGGATGGTAAAACAGAGAAAAATCAACATTGCTTAAGGCTGGGCAGTTGGCACTAAAATCTGTTTTTGTATGCACTTGTTTACTATAAGTTTGTTTTTTCCGAACAGCCTGCCGCCATCTGAAATAATACGAAGGGGTTTCCCGGCAACGGTTCCCCCGTCCCAGAGCAGGTTTTGTTATATTAACAGCAACTGAAACAGAGCAGAAATGTGGATATTCTTTTTAAAAGGCATTAAAAAAAAACTGAGGGGGGGGAATGGACCTGCTAGCAAACAACTGGTCTGCACAATGCGATGACCCAAACGCGTGTGCCCTCGGACCTGTATTTTTATAGACACGCTCTGGTCATAACACGACGGGATGTATTTGAAAGCAGCTTCTCTGTCTGCATGTGCTGGCGTCTAATGATTAACGCGGGAACGATCCAGTGGGACCCTCTTGTCATGTGGTATTGTCTTGTTTCTAATAGCTCATTTATGGTGCGTCTGTAATGTTAATGAGAGGGGCAGGGTTTCGGTGGCTGTACGGTGGAGTGGGTGGATTTATCAGGGGCTGGAAGACGACTGAACTCACTCTGGGCAGTGAAGTGTAATTGTGAAGTGCTAATTCTGATCGACCCAAATAAAAACAAACTTTTTGACCCTGTTTTTTTCTACGAGTGGATCTTGTATGGGCGGAGAAAATGTTCTAAGGTCCGGATGCCTTGCTTTGTTTTGGAACTGGGAAATCCAGATGTGTTCGACCCCTACGTTCTGCCACTGGAATGGATCTTGGTGGAATTTGGGCTCTAAAGACGACAGACTCGACGATTCGAAGGCACAAAAATCTGTGAAATCGGCCAAGCAGAAGTCCTGGTATGTGTTTTTAGTCATAACACATCTTTCCCAATCAGGCTGGAAGGAATAAGGCATCAAACTATGAGACGTGATGACCATTTGAACTGCCACCCTTCATGTTTCCAGACCTAAATGCATGTTTTAGGAGCTTACTGGGAGTCTACTGGCCAAAGCCTCTCATTGGCACCTCTGACCTTAGCTGCTTAGCATAGCAGAGAGCAATGGGCTAAATAAAACCTGAACACCAGTTTGGAAGATCTCATATGGTTCATTTTACAAGGTCCAGACACAAACGTATTTTAGGTCTGGTTTGTTAAGCGACAGCAAAATTTCAAATTAGGAACAGAACTGTGCAGCTGGATTCACCACAGACATTCAGGACGGTATCATCTCAAACTTTGACAGCATTAAATGGTGGACAAGGAGCAGGCTTATTCTTTTATTCTGGGCCAGAGAAACCCTTCAAATGATCTACTGCTATGCCAAGAGGGTAAAAAAAAAAATACAATTCCTACCTCCTTTAATACCTCATCCCCCTGCCGTTTGTCAGGGCACAGTTTACACATATCACAAGAGAGACAGACAACGCGTAGAAACTTTCAACGTCCATCCAGTGATGCATCAGCCTGACCCGAGTCCGGCGGGTGCCTCTGCTCCCTGTTTAGCCGAACCAGGTGCTTCTATCCAGTGGGACCGTTCTAAAAGAACACCTTTCAGAGAAGACACGTACAGGACAAATCCTTCAGACACCGGGCCGCTGGCCTGCTCTGCCCTTGGCTGGGGCCCTACAGGACCGGTGGTCAGCCCTGTGTGTCGGTGGCCGAGCTGTCCGTGGCGTCCATCGGCAGGCTCGCGCTGTGGAACACTTTGATGTGCTGGGTCATTTCCTTGCGGTTGGTCACGATGTGGCCGCACTGCACGCAGGTGTAGCGCCCTCTGGTGTGCTCCCACAGGACGCGCCGGCTGCAGGACACACCTGGGGACGGAGAGAGGCCACAGAAGGGGTCAGCAGAACATTCCCCCCCTCACCCTAACCAATAGGCTCTGTGGAGGGCCCTGGGTCAGAGGCTCACCTTGGTTCTTCTTCCAGACAGCAGCTGACCCCAGAGGGGAGGCGGACGGAACGGCCTCGGGCAGCCCGAGCTGGACCTGTTGCGGACTGTGGATGACGGCGGCGGTGTCCACAGCTCCCGGAGCGGCAAAGTTCGGACAGGGGGGGCCACCGGGGCCCTCGCTCCTCATAAGAGGGAGGTACGCCGTCTCCGGGAGCTGTGGAGGCACGGGCATGGAGGGGAGGGTCTCCGAGAGAGGCGTAACGGGGGGTGCAAACACGGGGGGGTCAGCAGGACCCAATCCGTGGGGACCGGTGGTGTGAAATGGCAGGTCGTGCCCTGGAGACGCAGACCCCAGCGGCGGGGGTTGCTGATCGGTGGCCTGGGGGGGCGCCGGTTCGGCGGCTCTGGGTTTGCCCCGCGGCACTTTGGAACAGGTGTGCAGGTGCCCCAGGAGGTTTCGGTAGGACCGCAGCTTGGTGCGGCAGCTCTCGCATCTGCGGAGAAACGGGACAACCCGTCAGGGCTCTGGAGATCCGGGCCGAGGCGGCTGACCGGCGGAGACGGACAGGATGGACTCACTGGAAGTAAATGTTGGGCTTGTGATGATGCCTCATGTGTTCCATCAGTTTGTGCATGCTGGGGAAGGAGCCGGAGCAGCCGGTGGTGGAGCACAGCAGCATCTTACCTGAGGAAAGGACAGCGGTTAGCTGGGGGCAGCAGCTCCAAAGGTCAGATGGGCTGATTTGGACCTGCTGGACTGACCTAAGATGGACTGACTGACTGACTGACCTGGGATGGACTGAGCTGGGATCTCATGGTCCCTCAGGTGGCTCTCCAGGGCGCTGGGATCCGTGTACATCCGCTTACAGCCGTGCAGTGGGCACGGTGTCCTTCTGGGTCCTGAAAGTGACCAACGACACTCAAACGCCAGCATTAAACTGGACTATAAGCTAACAGTAAGCTAACAGCTGACCCGGTTTGTTATGCTAATTCGCATGCTAGCTATTATCTTTCCTCTAAGCAGCTCACGTAAGCGTCGGTAAGAAAAGAGTAATAATGTACGTGAGTGGTAATTTAGCGTGACAGAGGGCTACAAACCTGGGTTCTCGTGTTCAGACGTTTGGCCTAAGATGGTGCTGCTGGTCGACATCATAGCTGCAGACATGTTCAGCCACCAGAAAGCTGTTCTGTGTTACGACCCCTCCAGGAAGAAAACACCGTCCACCCAACGCCACCGCGAGGACAACCGGTAGAATTTGTCTAAACTGCAAAAAAACTTAAAACAGACGTGCCAGGTGCATTTACTCTGCATATAATAGTATCCTTGTTACCGTTAAAGGAGAAAATAACACTGGCTAATAACAACAAGTCTAATTCTCCCGGCGCACACTCTTAACCAAGAGAGCGGCACCGCCCCCTGCTGGAGCGGAGGTGCAGTTACACTTTACGGCAGCTAAACAAACAAACCTGTTACCCGGGGAACACGTAGTGTGCAACATCTGGCGCGCACTACTTTAGTCTTGGCAGTGCACGTTGCCCAAAAATTATATTACATTTTAAAAAGCAGATAATTTAAAAGTAATCACATAGTAACCAACAATGTATGTACAACAAAAACGCATTATCCAAATAACGGGAAATCTCTGTTACAAAGTTTATTCAGCTCTTATACAGGTTGTAGAAAACATTCATTGGAGAGTTTGATGTCCCAGACTAATAATTTACTGAACAAAAATGGTTACTGATTATCGATTACCATTGGTTCCTTTGTGGTTTAAGCCATACTCAGGGAACTGGCTTGTTTGGATTGCAGGAAAAAGCCTTATAACTGTAAAATGTAAATAAGTAAATAAGAACATGGCAACTCGATTTAGGATCACAGAGCTGCATCTGAACAAAGAACAAGACTTCTGGGACTAAGAGTAGACCAAAGTGGAGTTGTAATACATTGTGCCTGTGCAATTTGCCTGAAACAAGACACTACATATTAAAATAAACACATCAGATTAACGGTGAACCACAGAGAACAACATCACTGAATGACGGGGGACTGAAAGTCTTTATTACAAAGTCAAAAAAACATGCCGTCTATTAGCTAAAACATGGCTGAAATTGAAATGGTCCCCAGCACACCAGCAAATACAGAGCAAAATGGCTTAAAAATACATAAAGAGACCAGAAGTAAAAGCTTCCTTTTGTCTCATTTTGAGATGTCATTATGTCCTGATAAGACAGAACCTTTTAATTCATTTTTTTCTCTCAACTACAAATTTCCATATTCACTTCACCTCATTCAGAATCATTGCATGACAATTATATTTTGAAAAATTGCTGATTGATTTTTAGAAAACAAATGTACACAACGTGCACTTCACCACTTTCGCCTATGGAAAAAAACAACCTGCTAACATGATTATTTTTACTAAAATAAAGCACAGCAAGTTCACCATATTCGACAGTGATAAAAAAGATTAAAAGATGACAATGATTTACAACTTATAAAATACAGTATAATGTTACAAGAATGGCTTAAATAATTTTTAAGTATATATTTCATGCAAAATATTTTTGAAGAGATATAAAATTAAATCATTTCCTACAACAACATTAACATTGGTGAGCAAAATTCATCTTGGAAGGCAAAAACCAAGAACACTTACAAAAAAAACATTGCATGCCACTCTCTCTCTCTCCCATTCCTGTAGTGAATCATTTTCATTATGAAGTGTTTTTGGTTTTGCCATTTCTGCAGAAGGTAACCTTTGAAGGAAGATTTGGCTACAGAATGTCACACTGACCATTCTTTGACTTCTTCAACAGCATTTGAAGTTACTGGGATCAATTTTGCTCTCTGAACTTGCTTTGTATTACCTCATTCATCTGTACAGGCATCCAAAACTGGGAATGATACCCAGGATCTAAAAAGAAATAAATAAACCTCTAGGGCTTCATAGCCCAAATGCAGAGAAAGAAATGGAACACAGTATAAAACAGCTGGTAGGTGTACTATTTTAGTGTCTTTACGTGGCTGCCATTTGAATTCATGTCTGAGATCCAACAGTTCGGTGTTGCTGTGCATTTCCCTGCTCAGCAATGATGACAGTGAACACATCACAAAGTCCTGAGATGTTTAAACTGATATCTTGTCAAGTAGTCTGCTTCGAATAAAACACATTTTTATGTCACAGCTATTAGTGTGCCTTCACCTGAACTGTTTTCAGCTAGGAAGAATATTTTTTCCCTCATTTCGTTCAGTTCCACTTCAGTAAAGTGCAAATCATCTTAATTCCACTGCTACTAACATTTCTGTAAAGAAATACGTTCCTGACAAATAAGAACCATATTGCACTGATATAGGTTGTGTAACACCTGCTGTGTGTCGTCCCATTGTGGGGCAGGTTGTGCGTCACTTGGTGGAGCAGGTTGTGTCGTCCGATTGTGGAGAAGGTTGTGTCTTCACATTGTGGAGCAGGTTGTGCGTCACATGGTGGAGCAGGTTGTGTCGTCACATGGTGGAGCAGCTTTTGGTTGTGTTGCTTTCCGCGTTTGCCTTCTGCCGGATGCACTCTGAGTAATTCAGAACAAAGACACCAGACATTATCCACAAACTGAGGATGGTTCACTTCACAGACTGAGAGGTCAAACGGAATGGTTCAAAAAGAGGTTGACTCTGGCGGGCCTCACCTGCCAGGTCTGTGCGGGAGATTTCCACCAGGGCCTCATAGAGGGCCTTGACGGGGTTTTGTCCAGCCATCACCACTCCATGCAGCCAGATCAGCAGCATGCGGTGGCCGTGCTCCTTGAAACTCTTCGTGCCTGTAAATTCAAAGGTAAATTTAACGCAATCTTCAAACTCGATGTTAAGGTGGATGAGATGTGAAATGATGTGGCTGCATATATTATAAATATCCTTTCAATTCAGGATTTCTCTGACCTGAGACCGGTTCAGAGAAGGAATGGTCCAAAGAGTGCTGACTTTGACTCGATTCCATGGTTTTTAAAGGACTAAGCAATGACCTCCCATAGACAGATTGAGGAAATTTTTTCTTTTTTTTTACTTTAGATCACTTCAGTTGCAGTGCAAACTCCTGATAAGTAAGTCTACTTTAGAAGAAGATGCACTTCTCAGTTTTTACTTGGATTATGACAGTCTTAATGTCTGATCGGTGTTTAAAAAATAAAAAACTAATGATTTCATCCTCATTCCACCCCGTCAGCTTTAAACCTGTCCCTGCTACTGCCCTCTACAAACTTTACTCCCATAACACCACTTCTGATCTGATGTGGATGGACTAGTGGCTTCTTCTTCCATCTCTTTTTTTCATATTCTGATTTCTGTTTCTTCCTCTTTCTTCATTCCATTGTCACATCCTAGTATTTATTTTTTCATAATCATTCATATTTCTCACAAACTCTCTGGCAAAGTAAGTAATTAAATATGAATACAATATTCATTTTTATATTTTATAATTTATCAAATCATATATAAAATGTTAAAACCCTGTGTTGTACTTTCTGCATTAATGAAGGCTTAGTTAATTACATTAATCAAATCTTTAATGAAATCTTATCTAGTGGCAGATTACTGACACATCTCAAACAGAAAGAAAGAAAGAAAGAAAGAAAGAAAGAAAGAAAGAAAGAAAGA